AATAATGGTTTGGGATTGGCACCAGGGGAGGCCACTCAGATTTCAAAGTGGGCCCATGCCACCACTGGGCACCTCTTTGGACACACCCCTGATCAGAGCTCTATCTTAATCTGGGATTACTAAAAAGTGACACACAAAGTTACATAGTTGAAGCATTATTCCTTTTTGACAAAACATGTTAAAATGTATATTTGAACAACAACTGATTTATGTATGATGAAAACAACGAATTATCACGTACCTCAGATTAAAAAAGACAGATAAATGCACATTTTCCCCCAAATAAAACAGAAATAACTACAACAAACGCTGAGAGGAGATCAGCCCAGTCTCAACTATTCTCCCGCCTGTTTGATCTGACAATATAAGGACCTCATAGCAATGGTGATCAATCATAAGGGTTAAGAATGTACCCTTCAAGATGTTTCAGTCTGTGACCGGGGATTACATGATCAATACCCCATTCAGTCTTCAAACAAAGCTGAAGTGATATAACTGCGGGTTGAAATGTCAGCATCAAAGCTCATCTTGATCCACTTGCACGTCTGTTATTTTAATTGGCCTTATCTTGTCTGTCAGTTTTGCTGCAGAGTGATCTAACACTGGTGAAATCTGACTGCCTGTTTGCTTCAGCTGAGGAATCCCGAAGGAGAACTAACAACACATGCAAACCCAGCCACGCTAACACAAAACAGATGGCTCCATCCTCAACCATGTTATGAGTTACACTTCACCACAAAATCTTTGAGTAGTCATTGGAAACTCCTACAACTATTCCCCAAACGCCCGGCCTCTGCCGACCCTGACCCACGTCTGGTTACGTCAGGGGATGGGAAGACCATGGCCTATTTGTGCCCCTTTGTTAGTTTCCCTCAGTGTCCCACAGAGCCGGGGACCTCTGGAGTAAAAACACTCGACAGTAGCAGCCGGCTTGTGGGACGATTGAGCACATTCCAACGTCTGGGAACGTCCTGATAAAACTTAGACAGGGGATATAAGTTTAGCAGGAGGATGAGACGCTATAACTGATGGCTGTAAACTACAGATGAGATTTATTGAGGAGTGTAAACAATATAAATGTCCACTCCTTTTCACTAGAAATAACCCAGATTTACCAGAAATAACCAGTTTTTTTAAAGAGATATTAAAGAGATAATACAAACAAACCCATTTGTATTATCTTATATCTCACTCAATGGGAAACAATAAGAAAGTCAATAAGCAGTATTGATAATGGAATCAGAATCGCTTAATTCTTAACAATTCCCATCCCTACTGGGCACAGCCAGCTTGGGGTGAGGTGTCTTGCCAAAAGGTACTTTGGTACATGGAAAGCAGGACCTTCTCTTGCATTTGTTGTCTAACAGAAACAAGCAGTTGTATGGCGTCAAATGGCTCCCATAAATCCACCGCCCAGTACCAGCTGAGGGACTGTTATAGTTGGGGATTGATTTTCTGCTCCATGTACACGACTCAATCAGACTGAATCTGGCCTCAACAATCTGGGAATGCTCCAGAGTTCGCACACTGGGCTTTAACCTGAAAGTTGAATGGCTTAAATGCGTTGCCAGACAGCAGAATGGCAAACAAAACATCCAAAGATAAAAAAAGTGAAATAGAATTAGATATAGCTGTTGTATCACACTGCATCATATGTATGTAGTCAGTCAATTTTGGTAAAGACCAAAAGTAAAGCTTAAGGATATAACTTGGTCCTTTACATTTCTCATGTTTGAATGTAAACGGCTGACATCCTGCATCTCAGGTCCTCAGAGTGCGCCAGTGTCAGACATAGTCTCTCAATTCTGTCCTCTTTATCCCCCGTACAATATTGCATTCTTCATACCACAGCTCCAGTCAAGCTACAATTTCCTTAAGTTCGCTTAAATCATGGCCTTTTGCAAGAAAGCACAGAGAAGCTAAATCCAAGGGGTTCATGGAAGGATGCTCACAAATCCACATCAAATTGTGTTTTATCTGCTTCAATATGGTTCAGCTGAGTGAGCTTACACGCTGTCGTTTCTGACAGGCTTCTTTATCTTTTCACTGCTGAACAAAACCAGAAATTACGGATCATGACTCAGTCTGCAACTGTTTAAATTCTCCAAATAACACGAATCACGTCAGTATCATTTATGAGGTTTTTTAAAGACTTATTCCCATTCCTGAAAATATTTATGTTATCCTGGCAGTAGTGATGTTTGGTGAAGAAACAGCCCTGGGGAATGAAGAGGTCCTGATCTGTGGTTTCCTCTCACACCACACTGAGGCAGCAGGGAGGAGGTCCTGTGGTCTTTTCTCTCCACTTTTGGGGGACTGAAAATATTTTGAACGGTCCTGTCATGATATTGAGGGTACTTAAGGAGACTAATGAAACTGTGTGGCTGAAGTCTGTGGCTCTTGATAACCATCACCACTAACCTGATTGTCTGTGTAACTGAATGAAGATGGTTTGAGACGAGACAAGCTACATTTAAGATGTTTGCTTCAGGAGTTGTGTTTCTCCTGTGTCCTCCACCCTGTCTTATAAGCAGGGAACCTTCCTCCTCCCCACTGTTTCACTATACTTCCACAGCATGCCCACACTGTTTTCATGCCCTTCATACACTTGCCACCCACTGTGGGGAAAAAAAACACACTCAAGTGGAAACAAAAGCAGCCTGTCAGGCCTCTGCTTAGAGCACAGGTTGACGCAGTGGCATTTGAATAATTAGTTGATGAACTGCATGTTAAAAAGTGCTGCTCCACAGTCTGCTTAGCATCAGCGGGTCTCACAGCTTCTTGTGGTTGTTGGTTGTAAAGCAGAAGTCTCTGCTGATACAGGCGTCAACGCCAGCCGAAAACACTTAGCCTGCTTCAATTAGCTGAGCTTTGCATTACCAGACAAAACCACTGTCTCTGACAGTAAAAATCAATGTCTGACACTTACACTGGCTCCAAAACACAGCAGTGCATTATCTCTACAGAGCTGCACATTGTCAGTACAGCTTTTAGGAGTACAATGTTCCTATAGGACAACTTTGCTGAATTACAGTGGAGGCAAATTGTGTTTATCTGCATTTAAATGTTGTTTTATGTCTTTATTGTTGAGCCTCAGATTTAATCCCTTTTATTGCATGTCCCTCATTGCCTGGTAGTCAATGTTTACAGATGTTCCTTATTTAATTTTGACTCTGACCGATTATTTTCCAGCACTCCCCGCCCATCAGTACCAAGGAAGACTAAGCGGCAACCTCTGGTCCTGAGAAACAAAGCTGATGCAGGAAAAACTCACTTGAGACTCTCTGAAGAGGCACCACCCAGAAACCTTGTACACACTAAGCTGTTTTTAGAGCAAAAATTAACACGTATAGCATTTTCATTTTAAAAGAGAGGGTGAAATATTTCAGACTTGTAGATTTCATACTTTAATTGATTGCATTTGAAGTAAGACAAGATGACTGTGACAAAAAATGGCTACAGGGTGAACATGATGATTTGTGTATCATTAATTTGAGATGACAGACATGCACTCTTTTCTAATCCACACTTAAGCCTTGCAAAAGGGATGTCCTGGCTTTCACCCACCCACGGGGCATTATCACACGTTCCCTAACAACCAACACCACCTTCTTATTCACATATCCCAGCATCGTCACCTCGGTCTGTTAACTCCACCAGCTTAATGTTCACATCTGGAAAAACATCCCCCCATCCTCTTTTAAGTCTGAAAACAGACAAAGAGGATCCTGGGATTGTTGTTAGATTACACAAAGCTGTTAGTGCCTGTCCCCATTAGAGCACATAGCTATTAATACTAAGCTTTAACAAGAAGACAGAGGGACATAAGTAAGGCTGAATACACACATGGGATTACACTGTCTGATCTGAGACAGATTACCATTAAATGCAGCTAAACCTTTTTGACTTGTGAAATTAGAAGGTGTGAGCTCACCAGCCCAAGAGATGTGATGGAGATGGACTCTCCATCATTAGTGTGTTTTTGTTAGAAGTGTATATTTAGCGTAGGCTACCTCAAATGTTAAAAACAGGATCTCAGTACGTGCTGTTCCTATTTTTAAAAAAATTTGGGTGTTAATCAAGCGGAAGTGTTTAAAAATTAAGCCAATGTTCAGTTCCTCAAGTGTCCTCTTAAGATTGGCTGCAAAAGCCAAGAAATCTGCAGGAAGTCCCAAATAAAAACCTGATTTTTCTCCAGATTTTAACATTTTAAGTATCAGCTTCAAAACTTGATCTCATTGCTTTACCCAGATACATGGAATCGGGGTCAATTTGGATGAAAATTGACAACCCTGTTGATATTTCACATATTGCTGTCACCACTTTGGGCTTGGAGTGGGTGAGTGTGTGTGTTTGTGTCCTATTTGTTCTTGTTTTCCTTTTTATTGTTTCGTTAAATGTCAGTGGCTTTTACGACAGTCTGACCCCCTACCCCCAAGGGATTTATGAAACTACGCAGTATCCCCCTCCACTTATAATCCATCCATATATCTATCTGTGGGGGAAGCCAGTTTATTTATTTCGTAACTAGGACAACAAAGACAAAAAGGTCATGTTATGAATACCACAATCTGAAGTTTATCTTTTTAAAAACTCCATTGATACGAAGGTTTTCTATCAGCCTCCCTCTCCACACCTTCACACACAAGCGGTTCACTTTGTTGTTGATTTTGGGAAATGGCCATTGAGTCACTTAGAGTGCTATTGGATCTGCATTGCTGAATCTTTGTGGGACAGGGGCCGGGCCAAGTATTGATCGTTGTATCTCTACTATGAGGTTCACTGAAAGCACTCCGAGTCATTTATACAAAGAGGTCAGGAGAGGGAAAAAAACAACTGCTGATGGATTAGAATTTCTTATTTCTTCTGTCTCACGGGAAACGTTTGATGCAGTGGCAGAGTTTGTAGAAAAGGTCAAGAGGTCAAAGTGCTGATGTTTTCAGAGGCAGAAACATTCCCATATCTATCTTTGCAGTTCAAGTAAATAAAGACACCGGTGCGAACATTTAAAATATCTTTAATCATTGGATAAGCTTGTATAATTTACATACTGCATAATATATTTCTCCACATCAATGAACAGAATCAGTTACATCTCAAACATTTCCACTTAACAAAGAAAAAATAATGGTTTTCCTGTGGGCACACTGCATAACAAACTAAAAATGTGGAAATAAAAGTAATCCCATTCACTCAAGCAAGATATTGAACTGGCTGATTCGGTGAACTGCAGTTGGTGGCTGATTTATTTCAATCCTTGAAGGTCTTTGTTTTCACAGTAAAATCTTGGACCTGGTTCAGAGCTCAGTGTGTACCCAGTGGGGTTCGTTTCGATTCACTTCAGTTTCTTGAAGCATTTTGGGACGATAACAAAAGGGATGAAGTTCAAATAAGATTCAAGGAGAGAAAAAGCTGAACAGCCCTCTTTGAGGAGCTGTCAGGTACCAGGAGACCTACGTCAGTCCCGGGTTGAATTGTGCTTGTGTGTGTTTGTGTATGTAGAAGAGGAAGGAAGAAAACAGCAGGACACCGGGGGTGGAAGCTTCCTCTTAGCTGCATGCTGTGCTGTACTGCTCGGTTCACTGTTTATCCCTCCATTCGGCCTCCATGGAGACATAACCGGTCTGTCAGTATTTAAGTTTCTCAAAAAAAAAAAAAAAAGGCCAAAACCTGCAGGGAAAAGGCTCTTAAAAGCATTTCAGATGATTCATAGAGAGGATGGCTGAGCTGTGTGTTCATGTCGATGAAAACTCGCCTAAAACAGTGGATTTCCTCAGTTCTTCGGGAATGCAGTTAAACATTTTTGAAGTTGACATCAGATGGTTGGCTCAGGGTGGCTCATGACTCCTATCGCTCAAGAACTTTCATGAAATCTCTTCAACATTTCTGTTTGATCATGTCGATAACATTAGATCTGCGGCCAAACTGGCTCTTTATCTGGTGAAGTAAAATCACATTTTTGATCCTTGGCATAATGATATTGTTAGAAGTAAACAGTAAAAGTAAAAAATGCTCTAAAAAAGTCACATAAGGTTGGTTTTAATCCTATTCTGCAGTATTTAATTCATTAGGTATTGCTCGTGGGATTCTGACCTTTAACAGATTCATGAGATCTGCAGTTTTAAATGTTAAACAAGTATAAATACATTTTTAGTCACTTAATCAGCTGTTGTAAATTACACTAATTTTTCTGCAGGACTTTTTTGTGCAAATACAGGAGACTTGGTATCCCAAATTATTTAGTTTTAACAGCAGTGTGGAGACAAAGCACGACTCAGTTAAAACTTACCGCTAAAAACCCCTTTATACAGGGCACCTTACTGTGAAGAGGTAAAATCAATATCTGATTAATCCTCAATAACCAATAGAGGTGTTCAACATAATGCTAATTATCAGTGTCCTGTATCTGTTCAAACTTTACACCACTCATCTCCCTTCATTTCAAACAGAGCCGCTAATACCGCCAATAGCTCTGCACTAAACATTGTTCTATGTAGCCTCTAAAGCTGAGGCCAGTTGGGTCTCATTGCCATGGCAACTGTGTGGATATCCACTCATCTATGTAATCATGTTGTTTGTCTTGTGCCCAGAATAGCCGGGAGGGTTCCTGGCACCTGAAGCGAAGGCAAACACATCACGCACCGGGCATCTGATAAATCCTGGGCATCATAAAAGGGCAGATGAGAAGGATTTCAGGATTGTGTCGACCTTGATACCCACTAAAATAAAGTCTGCATAGCGAGGAGAGGCTTTCAGGTATTTTGGACCAGCTTGCCAGTTTATAACGTCCATTCTTCATGCACAGAGTCATTACCTCTTTTTCATAAAACAATGAGGCCACAGGCGATTTTTCTCCTGGCTCCTGGACTGTCAGCACTCATTAAATCTCTGCCAGTTTGTGGTTTTAAACAATGTTTATATTCCCGTTTTAAACTGTGTATGCCCAGTGAAAACACATTACTGCATTAAACTCCAGTTTAGCTTCACTGAGAGACAATGTAGCTTCATATAATGTGTTTTACAGGTCTGTTCCCTGCTCTGAAATGTTGGGCTTTTTCCATATGGCCCTGCAAAATTTGGAAAAGAAAACCACAAAGTAGCAGAGCAGACAGCCTCTTTGGCATGTAACGCCGCTTTACAGCCAACACATATGTCAAAAAGGAGGGCTTCAAATGACTTCATGTCTGTGCAGTCAGTGGGTGATATGCCATGGCTGAGATAGTTTTCTCTCTCTTTTTATGTTATTTTAAGGGAAAGCAAAAAGATGGGGAGACAGATTTATAAAAATTTGACTACTTGTTCAAGAGTTTAAGGTCCAGTTCGTGCAGTTTTTCCTCGCCTGTCTCCAAGACCTGGCCTGAAGTCACTTCTGTGGTGCTTGCTTTATGATGCTGTCTCCAATGAGAGGGCATTGTGTGTGCATGATGTGTGTGTTGGCACAGACTGATCATTTCCATCCGAGCACTGTGGTGACAGAAAGCAGGGAACACTTCAGCGGCTCCAACAAATGGAGATGTAGAGTTTAGCATCTTCATGTAGCTGCCTAGTAAGTCTGGATATCTTCATTGATTGAAAATGAACAAATATCAACCAAACTTTGATAGCTGGACTACTCTTTCAACTTTAAATAAGTACTGACTGCAATATGTTCATGCAAAGTACTCAGAAACATTGTACTTAAAGGACTGTTCATGAAAAAGAGCGCTGCTGTGATTTGAGAAGATCTGAGAGGGTTACAGAGGTCCACATCCAGACATTAAAAGGACCGAGGAGTGAAGGGAGACTGCAGCATAAGAGTAACACTGATGATGTAACATGTTCTGCTCCTTTTGTCGACGAGTGTTGCAGCATTAACGTTTCTAAAAGCAGACCGGAGAGAAGGAGTAACACTGTGATGAATGAGCTGAAAACTCTTCAAAACCTTTGGGATTAGTCTATTCTTATCCAAATCTGACAGGCCAGCTGTGCTCAGCCAGGTAGTCAGCATGTGTGTCGACACTAGCTGAAGCACATACACATGCATACACAGACTCACACATACCCTCCCTGTCAGTAGTCTTGGAGTTTCCTGTAGAAAAACGACGGTATTATTTGATTTTATTTGCTGAGCAGACGCTGCTTATATAAGCCGGTAGAGAGGATTCGAGAAATACTGTATTGCTTTTCTTCTCTGATGGTGTTGGGTCATGACTTTTTCCAATAAAGCTCTCAGCACAGGGCATGCAATATTCAACCCAGCCGACATAACACTTTTAAAGTCAACACTCACATGGCGAGAGCACACAGACTGTTGGTCTAGCCATTTGTACACGCAAGCAGAGGCCGGTAGGAGCCAAAAATAATACAAACAAAACCACTTCAAAAACTCAGATTATCTAATCAACAGTGCAGTCAGGTAACAAGGAAAACATTCAGGCATTTGTAGTTAAGGTTTACACCAACCAGGCACAACATTTGTTTGTAAAAACTAACACATTACCATAATGTTTTAAAAGAAAAAGAACCCATTTCAATATTTGCTTACAACCAGTCACAATAAGTACCTGATTCACAAACTAGCTGTATTGCAATTCAGTGAATATACAATATTGTAGAGGGCTGTTTAACACTGTAGGTATTAGCTCCACAAAGACATAAAGGCTAACAGTGGGTACATTATTTCTCAATTAGGAAAACGTGAAGTGACGTGACCTCACAACTCTGTTGTCTATTTTCACATCCTCTACTTTTTGTTTATTTACCTATGTCTGTAGGGATGAACATGCCACAAGTTTCACCACAAGCTCTTTTAAAAAAGTTGGTTTCACTCCCAAGTCCTCATTTACCAGCACTATGGACCCTTCGACAGATGCACAAAGCATTCCTTGGCATCTGTAGAAGTGACCTTGACTTGGTCTTAACTCACAGATGGTCATTTTAGACACCAAGAAATGGGAGTGGCATTTTGCTGCTGTGCGCAATTTATGACTTTCTTAAGGTTAAATAAATGCTCTTGTTGTTTTCGTTATTATTTCAATTACGTTTAAGACTATTTTTCCAATAGAAAATAACATGTCTCATATTGTTGCGTATCATGTACTATCAAATAATAAATATCATATAATGGTACAGGATCTTATTGTAGCATATGGCTTAATATATTTTAATATATCTTCAATACTGTACCACATCACTTATTACCACATTGTATTACATTGTATGACCTTGTATCATTACGTATCATAATAAATTCTATTGTATCGTATCGTTTTGATCGTATTGTATGATACAGTAAGATATCGTACTGCATCATATTGTGTTGATCATCTCAGATTGTGTTGTCATACAGTAGAATATCATACCGTTTTGATCGTATTGTGTTGTGTGATACAGTAAAGTATCATAAAGTATTGAGGTGATTTTGTATCATATGGCATTGTATCGTATCTCATCATATGATACAGTACAGTATTGTATCCATCAATCTGAAAAAATTCCATATCTTAAGTACCGGGTTGGAAAAACTTGACATTTAAAGAAGCATGAATTGGCCATGAAAGGATCTGCAGAGGTGTAACAAAGTATGGGTATTTGAGGACTTGGGATAGGAACTTGTTTTAATCTTTTTAAATACTTCAAGTAATACTGACAATACCTTCAAATTTTCTGTTAAATGGTCTAGGTTAGAAGGTTAATACATACAAATTTGAGGCTTTGACTAAATAGGTTGATGAGCAAAACTTTGGTCTCTTAATTTAAATGATAAGATAAGTAAAATTACCAAACCACAAATTTGCTGTTAGTAGTCAAATTAAAGACAGCAATGATTGTTGAAGCCCCATAAAGAAAGTCATTAAGTAGACGCCAGAATAATACTCTTTAAGGAGGGTCAGGAATCTTTGTTAGGGTTCTTTATCCATTAAATCCATGAAAACCTGGGGTTTTATAGATTTAGTGTAAGAAGAGGATTTGCAGTTTATAGGATTTAGTATAGTGAGGAAAAAGGTCAAATTATGAATCAAATCTTCTAATTTACTGGTTATACTGTGACACTCTGAAGTCATGTTTCTGCTTTCTTGCCGTCCATCTCGCTGTGCTTTTGACAAGCAAAGAAAAAAGAAATTAGGAAAATCAGGGAATGCCAAGAGAGGCCCTGAGAGAAACTAGGATACAGGATTTTTAAATGTGTTTACCTAAGTGTTTTGTAGTAGCCCAGTGTGGCCGGATATGGTCAGAATCCTGTTATGTGCATCCGCCTTAATACTGACATCAATGTTTATAGAGAGTTAGTGCAGTCACAGGGGAACATTGGGACAAACATGTATTCTTTGTCTCTCAAACCCAGTGTTGATCATCACGGACAGCCTCGCTATGTGCATTTCTAAACAGCAGTTTGCTTTTCTTCTCTACTCCAGTGATCTGGTCTTTGATTCTATAGAGAGGCTGTTCAACAGTGGCTCCAATCGTCTCCTCTCATTATCCTTCTCACAAAAATGTCACATCCTCTTGCGACTGCACCCACCGCCAGTGTGCGTCGTACTCCAGATGCATTTTGCCATTCATTTTGCAAGTGTCCAAGTCAATCTTGCCGTTTTTGTACGGTTTAAGTTTAGGGCTCATGCTGCTTCCCAGCTTCTCGTTCAGGCTGGACCGGGTTGGGCTGCCAGTTTGCACTGTTGGTGGTTTCTCCAAGACGCCATTAACCTTAGCACCTTGTGTCTGGCTGTTGCCCTTAGAAACAAGGCTTCCTTTGCCAGTCTCTGCCGCCTTGGTCCAGACTGGGGTGTCCTGCTTAGGGCCCTCAGACTTGGCTTGGGGAGAGCTGACTTGTTTCACTATTCCAGATCCAGTGATGGTAACAGGAACACCAGTTCCCGGTCCACCATTCACCTCCATCCCATTTCCAACCACAGTCCCATTCTCATTCGCCTTAATTCCACCTCCAGCCCCGGGACCAGACCTCACCATAACCCCAGCCCCTGCCCCAGATGCAGTGACTGTAGCCCCTGTGCGGCCTCCAACAGTGGCCTCTGAGACCTGCGGTGTGGTGGAGCAGATGACTGACTCTGAACTGGATGGGCAGTACTCATCCATGTCATCTGCCAGGGTGTCCAGATAGCTGCCAATGGAGATGTTGTCCAGCTTGTCATTGGGGTCCTGAAGGCTGCTCCAGGAGCCCCTCCAGGAGGTGTCAGGACCCTCACCAAGACTGTACTGACTGCTGGTGAGGCTGCTGCAGCGGCTTGTAAGGGTGCTGCGCTCCTCCAGAAGCCATTTCACTGCTTCAATGCCTTCGTGGACTGCCAACAACTGCTGCAAGATCTTCACGTCCACGGAGCGCAAGTGAGCCTGCAGAGAGGGAAAGGAGATATCAATGTCAAATCAAAGAGACGTTAAGGTAGAGATGTTCTGCAACCATTTTCCTTAACACCAATTTAGACACAGAGTTTCAGTATCGGCTAATGCCAGGAAGACTCCAGAGACCAGCGAGAGAAAATAGGTCACAAAGTCAAGCTTGGTTCACACTGCATTAGCTGATCCTAATGCCGGCTCATATCAGCTGACAGCTCGGCCAATTACAGTCCACACGTCCAATTAGAACATTTCAAAACAGTGCTTATTTAAACCGCTTCAGCCTGCCATCTATTGCTGCTTCCTTTGCACTACCCCAGCTCTTCCATCTTATCCTGTGTCTTTGCTGCTGCTCTTCCTGCCTTGGCTTTCCACATTTGCACATGCAACAAAGGAGAGGTGTGCTCTCCTGGCTGCAGACTTTGACTTTCCATGTATGCACGAAGGAGAGGCAGGACAAAACCACCAAATATAACTCCTGCATGCAAATAATGACGTCTTTTTGACTAAGTGGTGTTGACTGAACTTTAAATGGTGCATTTACAGGCATACTTCGCCTGACTCAACTTTACCAAAAAGGATTAGATCAGGGTGTTTGGTTAATTTACTTTGTTCATGTTCTGGTAGTTTGCGATTCCTCATAAGGATAAAAACGCTATAAATGAGAACCAGACCAACTGTGAACCCAGGGAACCACGGGGACTCTGCAAATATTTACTCTAAGCATTGGCTCCAACAACCGGTGCAAACACCATCATATTGTGATTAAACCTTTGCACATTCCCATAATTGGAAGTAAAGTGTGAGAGAGACTGGCAGCTTGAGTATACACTGCATTCAGTGTGGAAACAAGTGAGGTGGAGGTGAAGAGGAGTGACAAAGACAGGGAAACAAGACAAAAAACAAACAGAGGGACAAGTTGGAGTTTCTGACAAATTAAAAAAAGAACAATCTGGGAATGCAATCAAGACAAAAAATGGAAAATTTGTCTTAATACCCTGTGGGTGACACAAATTGCTCAAAAATATATTTAGAAATGGTGTCATCCAATAAAATAAAGCCACCAACATATCACAGACACTTGATCTGATGCACTGTTTGCATGTGTGTGTAGGCCATTAAAAAAAAAGCTAAATGATGAATAAGGGAGAAAAGACAGCTGCGGTCATGGAAATTTCCTCCCCTGAATACATTAGCAGAGGTCTGCGGTGAGGTGCAGGGGCCAGGAGGTGATATATGGCACCCACAGCCAAAGCTCAGTCTGATGATATCCACCCCCCTCTGCAGATAACCAGACGGTCTCTAAGCTCTGAATTAAGTCCTTCAGTATCTCTTTTCCCTCATTGCAATAATTTCTTTTTTGATTACTTTTTCCATCTGTCTGAGTTCACTGTCAGTAGGTCTGTCCTTTTTAAGGCCACTACACATCTATCTTGAGAAAGTGAAGCAGTTTTATACGTCTGTGTGTTTCGTCTCACATAACTGTGGCAACTTTAAGAGCTCAAAACCAGTTGGTGTTCAGCCGGTGGAGAAGTGCAAAAACTGCAGTTCCTTGGGTGTCCAGTTAGGAGTTAGGTGTAAGTTTTCATAATTAGGGGTGATGATTATTTGACTGGAATGGCAGGCACCTTGCAGCTGTTTGCCAGCAGAAGCCTCCCACAGATTCACATATTTGCTGATTTTTTTTTTGCCCATTTGGGGTTAAAGTTGATTCAGCATTTCCAATCTGGTGACTGCCAGTGTTGGGCTTTAAAATGCTTCTTGGTTGACATTTAGTTGGCCTTTAGTTATCATGTCCTCCCTTCTGCGACCCGTCCCAAGCTCAGAAATTTAGAAAAGGAAATTGTTACCCAAAAAAAGTCCTTCAAGGACAGACGCATATATATGGTTTGGCACTCTGGCACTTAAAACTTCAATATATTTTATCATGACTGTAATCTCTATTTCAACCTGTAACTACTGCTGTCTGATAAATGTAGCACACCTTAAAATAGAAGCTAGTGAACTTTGGCCATGAATACAGTCCATAAGCTCATGGACTTGCTTGTGTTACGCTACAAAGTCTTACCACACTGTGGTAAATATACAGCATTATGATAGAATGTATGTAAAATACAGCATGCTGTCATACAATTGGCAAATTCAGGGATGAGTCCAAAAACAGCGCTTGTCAACATAAATAATGTTTATGATCCGAGTTAGTGAGACAAATCTGTGTTTAACACTCATACCAAATAAAGGTAGAACGACAGGGACCATATGTGACCCAGACCTTTGGTTTTTGACCTTATTGAGGTTTGGTTTACCTCATTGCTATTTCCTATAAGGTCCTTCTGACTCTTCAGGTTGTATGTCAATAAAGCATCAGGCTGGAACATATTGATTTCTGTCTTAGTCCTGCATAACATTAACTTAACTGGATCCGCCCAGTGGAGGGACGCATGCTTGTACTGCAGATTGAGTCAGTGTGGTTTTCTGATATGAGCCTCGATAATGCTGAGAACAATTTCAACTTGTGGAATCCAAACAGCAGTAACCACAAGGATGAGAAGCATCTTTCTTAGTCTGTTGCCAACTTTGTCAAAATATCAGTCCAGTAGAAGTTGTTTGTAAGAAAATAAAGGCGTGGACTGTGTGGTTAGCGCTGGAGCAGGAGCAGATTTGCTTTATCCAAAATCACTTTTAGATAAAGAGTAAGACATAAAATCAAATATGTGAATTTAGATTTGTAACATCTGCTTTTTTCACCATATTGACAGAGCTGTACTGCATGTGAAACAGACAAACATCACATGGTTAAAGGAGCAGTTTCTAAACACAAAGCAGGAACCAAAGCCAGCTTTCTCTCCATATGTGCTGCTGACATCCTGGGGCAAAGTCAGACACATGAGGTGGAGTTCAGGTTTGAGGTTTGAGGTTTTTGGCTGGCAGAGGACTGGCTGAGCTAATGAGGGTGGCAGTAAAAGTAGCTCATGGCCTGTCAGCGCTGAGGTGGCACAATGCTAACGAAGCCGAGCGCTCCAGCGGTCTGTGCTGGCTCTGCTGCTGTTGAGCCGGGCCCCTCTGACAAGATTAGATCCACTAAATTCATGGGTTCTTTCACACCTCTGTGTTTTACTGCTCTGGCTGGAAGGCTTCATTTAAGCTCAGATGGTAATTTAAGCAGGAAAAAAATAGTTGGGGAGAGTGTTAATCTTGACCGTGCAAGAATATTTAACGTTCACAGTAATAAGAAGACTTACTCTGAGCATGATGATAGTAATACCACAAGTTTTTATCTGAAAAATACCAGAAATAAAAAGATAAAATCTGAACTAATCTGTAAGCTAATTGATTTGTTCCGATTAATCAACATGCCCAGAAAATATCTGGCAGACTAATCAGCTGCTGAGTTGCAAAGGTATTTGTTCCCCTCTTAAAATATACTCAGGTGTGAAGCACGTTATTGATCATAAAACAGTTTCTGAGACGATAAAAAGCTTCAGGGAGCACAGTATAAATCTGCTTATTTTCTCCATTAAATCAATGGGTTGATAATAAACCTAAAGATATTGAATTTGCTGTGATAGTTTTTTTATTGGCATTGCACTAAAAATGCCAGTGTGCCAGTTTAGCCCTGCGGTTTGAGCCTGAGCCCCGTGTATATCCACTACAGTCCATGCTGCAGTGGTCACCGGTTCAACTTCAGGCCATGACACTTTGCTGCAAGTCGTACCCTCCTCTCCGCTTCCCACATTTCTCATCTCTATTGGCTGTCCTTTCCAATAAAGCAAAATGTCCCGAAAAACAACAGCAGAAGAAAAGCTAATCCTTGTCCCAACAGTCTGTGTGCATGCCAAATGCCTCTTGAATTGTTTGTCATCTCAATTATCTTCATTACTCACAGACTGAATGCAGCCTTTAATTGGGTACTCATTATAAAGAGTACCCAGTCTAATCTAAAGGGTCAAACTGGGGTCAAAGGTTTTCATGTGACACATGTCAGGATGAGGGGCAGGAAGTGGACATTCAGGAGTCGGCAGCGTCAGGGACTGAAACACCATCAATCATGTTTGACTCATGTTTGTGCCGTCAGTACACAGCCAAACAGATTTCAGTTGCTTAGGCAGGAGGCCAAGCAGCTCCTGGCTGATCCATACGAGCCTGGGAAGCTCATTTTCTGCTTTTTGTATCTGGTGCACGAGAGCTTGTGTTTGCACTGCGAACAATATACAGCTAAATGTCATTATTTATGTACAATAAATCTGCAGAACGGGTGAGAAAGTAAAACCTGATTCAGGCTTTTCCTGCATTGAATCATAGTTTAGTCTCATGGCAGAGGAATCTTCCCTGCTTGCTTGTTTTTCATAAAACCGAAGTCTGCATATCCTTACCTTTGTAACAATGCAGACAATAATCCCACCATTTTTCATAGATTTTTCATAGATCATAGAAAAAACATCCTTTTATATCTCTAACCTAAATCTATATTTTATTCAGCTCTCTAATAACCAAACACTCAAGTAAGTTAATCTAAAAACTGCACAACACTGAAAATAACTGGTTTTGGTCCATATTAGTGTAAGAGTACGTATAGCTGAGTTTGAGGACTCGTGCTGAATACCAACAGCGGGAGATGATGGCTGATGGAAACTCTTCAGTGATCTCCTCTCCATCAGGGAATTGAAGTGAAAGTGTTTTAAATCCTGATTCTGACTGACCTATTTCTCCTTCCCTGAAATAGAAGAGACGTGTAAGACCTAGAACGTGCCACAACTCCCAAACACATCAAGTACCTTCAACAGCAAAAGCAAGAGCTTATTGTTGGAGAGTTTAACATAACAGACTTCCATTGGATTGTTTCCCATCATTTTGTAGCTTTTTGAGGAGATTTTCCAGGAAATTTTTATTTCTGGATAAAGTTTTGATTTTGATGGAATGTTCTGGATCAGAAGTTTGGAGCTGAGATCCCAAACAGCTAAAGTCTGTTACACGGCAAAAGATTTCTGAAATCTAATTTGCTTCTGAAAATGTCCGAGACCCTAGACAAGACAATATATAATGAAAGATTAAACAGTTTGGTTCCTGTGCAATGATATTTACTCTAAATCTCGTGAAATCTCTTGTGGTCAAACGTGACTTTAAGAGTCAACAAACGTGGACAGTAACTGTTGCTAACTTCTCATCTTCCTGGTGTTTCCTCTGCAGAAACAAAAGCTTTTCAACATCTCCCTTTGTCATTTCCGAACCGGTACTTTTTTTCCAAACACGCTCTGTTGACACTCACGTTGTTGCTGTGTATCAGTAAGTTGGTTCTGTTATTCTGACATCCATCTAAATCCATGCTTTGTATTTACTATCGTTGTCACAGCTACATTCTTTTGAGCCTCCCAACTGGCAATCAGGTTGTTCCACGTGCAAACAGATAAAGTTCATGCTGGCTGTCTTTGAGGATCCCCCACACATAAGGATTTCTGATCGTAAACACAGAACTTGTTTAGCATTTACGATATCACGTTGGGAAGGCTCCAATCATCTGCTGCACAGATTTACAGGGAAGAAAATCCCTCTGAACACACCTCATAATCTGGCAAGATAATCTTCAGACTGACTTTTGTTAGAAGAGAGGAATCAGGCATACAAGTGGCACCATTATCTTGTGGTGTGTATCCGGCTTTGAGCATCTGATAAACTTTAGATCGAGCATCTGACTGTCACAGGGAAGAGAGAGCTCCAGATTCCACTTCACCCACACACTCTCTCTCTCTCTCTCTCTCTCTCTCTCTCTCTCTCTCTCTCTCTCCCCCCCCCCCCCCCCCCCCCCCCACACACACACACACACACACACACACACACACACACACACACACACACACACACACACACACACACACACACACACACACACACACACACACACACACATTAACAAATTTGGGTAGGATAAATTAGAGCTCCTCCAGAGGTTGGCTGGGCTCGGCTGTGGTGTAGAAAGCCCAGGGTTTTGTATTTCTTGGAGTTAGGGGAGCCAAATAAAGTGGTTTGGAAATCTATCTGGGACACTGTTGGTGGTTTTATTGACACATTCAACTTTATGTCTAATTTGGCCTGGGAACAACTCGAAATGCCCAAATGGAGAAGGAGGCAAATGATGCTGGAAACCAAGATATCTGGAACAACTTCTTCTGCATGCAGCCACCAAAACTCAACCCCTGGTATTTGGAAAACATTGTCTCCCTTCTCAAATGTGCAGAAATGTCATCCAGCCTTTATTCCCTAATGGCTGGCTGCCAATCTGGAGGAGGCTGATTTTCACTGCTGTGGGTTTTTCCTTGGTTAAATTTTGTTTTTAACATATCCTTCAAGAATCACATAGTCTTAGTATTTTTAGGAGTGAAGGTGAAAACATTTAGGGTCTTACTTTCACAGATTAGGCCCACTGTAATCTGCAACAATCATATCACTGGCTGTTTACACCTTCATTTTTAGGTTTAGGTGAAGTAATAGACCAGTTTTCTGTCATTATTAATAATGCAGCTAATCATCTCACCGTTGTATTCTCAATCATGTCCTGACAAACTAAAAGTCTACATACAGAGGCCTTTATAGAGGATACAGTAGATTGTGATTATTTCATGCCCAACTGAAGCTCGATTGATGACGCACAGACTCTCCCATGTGGTAAAAGCAGCTTCTCAATGTCACTGAACAGACAGCTGAATCACAGCCAGCAGAGACGGCTCAGACACACGCTCGGTCTCTCTCATGCAGCAGCAAAATAAACACCATCTACGCATCTGCACAGTCTCTCTCTTTCTCTCTCTCTCTGGTGTCACCGCCTGTCGTGTCACCTCCCCATCCAACTCTGTCCCTGAGCAGACATACGGCGTCCTTGCAGAGGCTCTACAGACTCAATACACAGCAGAAGGTTTCCACTGTCTCTGCATGAGCCTCCAACAGCACCATCTGCCCAAGCTCACCTCTGAAAGCGCTCTAAAATATCAGCCTTGTTGAGAGACTCTTTTCATCCTCTCTTCCTGTCTATCCAGCTGATCAAAGCATCATTATGTCTCTTTTCTTCCCTTTATAGACGCTCTGTTGTATTCCTGTTTTGGAGGCCAAATCAGGTAATTCTTCTAAAAATATTTGACAAAGATTTGACTCTTTTCTCACTCAAATTTCTAATGCAGGTGATGTCTGTGAGTGTGGCTGTCTTTTTCCACCTCTTACAGATTTAAAAACGGAGATTTCTTTTGTGCTGTGCATTAACCTATAAAACCTGACTGCATCAAAATGAGACTGAGGGGACAGCTGTAATGCCCCATAGATAACGATATACGTCGTTTGGCATTTGCTTGGAAAAACCCATTTTTATCATAATTAGTACTGAACCCACCATATGAGCTGGAAAATCAAATAAAACCATCAAACTGCAGAAGTACGCCTGACAGTGTTGAGGTGGCTCGCTGCGATAATGAAGCTTCACCAGTCTGGCAAGACTAGCTCCACTAAACTCAGGGTTTCCTTCACACCTCTGAGTGCAGCCCTAGAATGACTATCCCTGCAGTATATGCTGACTCTCTACACCCGGTGTGATGGTAATGTTGCAAAGATAGCCCGCTGTTGAAACGGTCGTGCATTTTCCAAGGTGCACATTTTGACTGCAACAACTTGACAAGTGAAGGGCAACATTTATTATGCATCACAGAGGCTTTTTATCCTCCTGGGCCACCATCACTTCACAAAAGGGAGAGGTGGGCAGGGGGAGCATTTTGGTTCAGTTACCAGATATTGCTCAAAATTCCCATTCATACACTGCACATTTGGTTAATCCTTGATAACTGTGTCCTCTACATTTGTTCAATGTTTTTAAACTACCTCATCCAGTTTTGAAATCTGTCACTGTGGATCTTGGTAGTGGAAAATGTCGACAGGCCTGTTTCTGCAGCATGCTGTTAACACTCATGCATAGATGATTGATGGGTGTAGACACTGTCATGGGTTGAGTGTTATTAGTTGTACTGCGGATGATCTTTTAGGTATTCATGGAGCGTTGATATCAATTTCATTCAGCTACAAACTCCTCACAGGAGCTTTGGGAAAAAAGCTTTGTCTTAATCCACTGGATGGTGTATGAAAGAGAAAGTTAACTCGATCAGTAATTACTATTCAGTGAAGAAGAAGGAGTGGGATTCTGTGAGTGTTACTCCTTCCCACTCCTTTTTGGATCCATTGATGGAATTTAAATTAGTGATAATGTAGTTTTGTGTTTCTATTTAGCATATTTTTCTTTTTTTCTGTCTGTGTCTGATTGTAAGTTTGTTCATTTTTTCCATGAAGCAGCTTTAATCACTATAAAAAATAGGAGCTTAAGTCGTTTGGCAGTGATTGCATTAGACAAACTCCTGCATCGACTGCATTTGTGTAGGAAGCCAGCAGGCAGACAGAATAGTGAGATTGAATCGAGTAGATCTGAATTCCCTGCAGCTCGGCTCTGCCCTTAAAGCTGACTTTGCACTGTCATTCCTCTGCCCAGAGGTGAACGACAGAGGACACGAGCGACAGGGAACAAAAGCGACAGGGAGAAAGAAACGAGCAAATACAGACAAAACTAAAAAAACATACCCTGAACAATAACACTTAACCTTTATTCTTCCTTTTGCAGCTGATCTTGTGCAAAATATGCAGAGCAGCTGATGTGTGTGTTTTTATGAGTGTGTTTGAGGCAGGGTGCAGTATTGTAAAAAACGTCTCAGCAGCCAGTAAATCTGTTCAGATGAGAGGAGAAGGTGTGTGCTTCAAAACAGCTGCAGATGAAAGACAGAGGCTTCACACTCCTCCACAGGAATGAGCAGCAACACTACAAGCGTTAATAACAACGTTTATCTGCCTCCAGCTCGCTGTGCTGTAAAATGCTCCCTACCATACTGAGACATGAGCACTGAGGAAGAAGGTCTGAGGGTAAATGTCAGCAGACAGCAAACAGACTGTCTGATACAGTCAAGATCACCAATGAACTACTCTCTGTACTATTGTCAGTAAAAATCCATCAGCAATCTTTGGAGATGTATTTCTCCTTATTTCTCTTTCTCACAATTTCGTGCAAAAATTTTCAAAAACAGCCAAACTTTATATGTTCAATAATACTAATCAATTATTTAAAATTTGAGAGGTTAGTCAAACAAAGAAATGATTGAAGACACTGAGCATAATTCTCGGTTTTATAAACGGGGCAAAGAAATGAGAATTAAATCTTAATGTATAAACTCTTCTTGAACTGCAAACTCTCGGTCATCTTCCAAAGTATTTTATAACAGTTATTTTAAGCTGTGAGTCTTAACCTGAATCAATTTTAAATTAAGGCAGCTGTTTTAGATCTTAGCCTTAGTCTTTACTCGAACATGCTTTTTAGTTTTAGACAAATCTGAGTCTATTTTTGCCCTTCATAAGTTTGAGTCTAGTTTGATTTAACAACAACAGAGAAACTTGAATCTGACCAATATACAGCAACATTTAAAGCTCCCATGAGGAACTTTAGATGAATCAACTTTGCTGCCCCCTGTGGACATAGCACATCTTTGCTAATCTTGTCTTCATACTTCAACAGAAAAAATCTCCTCCTGCTGAATTTTGAAATAATTTATCGTGACTATTTAATATGGAAGTTTTAAAGACATGGCTGCACCTACTGTACCTTCTTACATCCCTTATAGGCATTAAAGCTCCTCTAAGGAATTTTTTGTCATCAATGAAATGAACTGAAACTGAAATGAACTAAAAATCACTGACCTTGGTCTTTTTGGTTTTTCGATATCTTGAAAAGTTATCAAATTTAATTTAATTTAATTTTATAGATGCCAAAAAACTCCTCACAGGAGCTTTAACTTCCGCACATGTTTATGATTAGAAAGGCTGTACTGGAGTCGTATGACCAAATTTTACTGTATTTGTAGTGACAGACTTCAAACACAGTTCACTGCTCTGCTCTCAGCTGTATCATCATCTTTGCTGATTCAGAGCAGATCAAAACTGTGAGACATCTTTCTAAATATGCTGGGATAGCTAATTGACAAAGTCAACACTGTGCCCCTCAACTAAGTCATCACCAGCCATAGCAACGCATTATAGCAGCCCCAAACATCCCCCCTTGAAACTGCAGTTGAAGTCATGTCTCATCACCACATGCCGATCAAAACTGCATCAAACAACCACTCCACTGCATCAAAACCCTTTACTGTATGCAAAAGAAAGAAAGGAAGTGTCCAGCATCCTCTCGGGGGCGGATAAATCTGTTCAAAACATGTAAAACTGAGATCAAAGTTTGTGTCTGTTTGTTTCAGTCTAACACAGACTGTAAGAAGATGCAGACAAACATCCTGTTTTTGCTGACTGTTAACAAGAAGCAGAGCCTCATTTCATTACAGCGGGTGACACGGTGTCAACATGGCTCGCACACACAGGCTTTAATGCACATCTTAGATCTTACAGTAGACAGATGCTGCAGCTCAACACCAGCATGTTGTGTGGTTACAGACTCTGAAGATTAACAGATGACTGTGCAGGACAAGAGGATACAGACAAACACAAATACACAACAACAGTGGGAGAAGAGGTGGATATTAGCTCGCTGCTTAAAACGCTTTATGTGTTTGTGGATATGATCAGTATGACCAAGTATTCAGTGTTGAAGAAAAAAGTACATCTCTGGGCTCCAATTCGAGTTAAATATGTGTGTGAGTGTGTGTGTGTGTGTGTGTGTGTATATTAGTTCATGTGAGTCCGTCTTTATTGTGCACAAACACGTGTTCCTGCACATCTTACTAAGCAGATTCCTGATGAAAGTGCAGCGCTCACAGCTCTTCTTCTGCACTCCCATTACACTCCAGCACTCTCACAGATGAGTAAAAGACACACAGACACAGACACACACACACACACGCACACACACACACACACACAGTTTCGCTCCCCTCCAGTGAGGAGGTGGCTCTTCATCACATCTCTCTCAGTCAGTCCTTTTTTTGCGGCAGACCTGATAAAAACTGTTAAAAGGAATCAGTCTGGCCCTCTGCTCTTCACAGATATGGAAAAACTCTGAAAGCTTTATGAATTCAAAATGAGGGAATTTCTCTAACACACAGTCTACTTAGTGAATAAGTAGAGATTTTTAAAAATGTTGAGTGTTAAGTTCCCCAAATATTGTATTCTAGTTTTGCTAGCTTTGACTCTTTTGACAAACTGAGGAAAGATGTCCCTGAATAGATCTACTTAATAGATATAACCTGATATTCATTAATTTTATCATCACTTTTTAAAATTGTTAAGTTGAATAGACTGGCTGACTATTATTACCCCCTTATTTTTCAATTTCAGGTTTTGCAATGTGCAGCTATGGTCGTTTTAAGTATGCAAAGAAGCACTGTTTTGCTTTAGTTTACGTAAATGTGCATCAAAACTTAAAAATGTATATCTGATCACTATTTTAGTGACCAGATCAGCTGTTGCTTCCTTAAAAAACAGATTATTTTTGAATTTCTTTGAATTCATATTTGGATGTGTTCGAGAAAAAGGTAAATCAGCTTAAAAAGAGCCAAAATTTCTCACTGAGATGAGTCACAGAGGGTTGAGTCACAAAATGCTTTGCTGTCTGTAACTTAGTTACCAGTTTGGGTACCCTAAGCTTGTTAAAATGCCCCTCAACTTTGTTCTTAGCGCTTTAACTGCTCAATTACAGCTGTGTATTTTTTTCATTGTTGTGTTGTTTTTGTGTTGAAGTACCAGCACTAAAGCTCAACACCTGATGACAAAGACTAATTATCGTCGGATGAGAACACACTCAACCCTTCAGATAGCCGCTTAGCTGGCACGTAAACACTCCTGTGACTGGATTTAGGGCTGTCACAATATCAGGTTTTCACTACATGACGATGATAGACAAAGAAATGTACAATCGTGATGACATCGTAACTCAGATATTTCATTGGTCTCCTAATATTCAAAACCTTTGCTATAAAAACAGGATATTTTGGCCTAATGTGTTTTCCAGAGTTTCTGCAGCCAGCCTCAAGCAGGAGTTGCAGTTTTAGCACTCCTGCATTGACTTCATATGCCAGGACTGGAAGTTCTCACTGTTAAATATATTAAAAATACAAGCCAATATGTTCATAAAGTCAGAAATTATACAGCTAAAAGGCTATTTGGGGTGCCTGCAGTGTTAAGACTCTGACACAAGTGCTGTATTCCAGTGTAAAAGCAGCTTGTTGCAGTATGTTAACCAAGAAAACCCTTATTTTTACTTACATAGTTAAATCATCACAAAAGTTATCCTTGTACACCTTTCAAAAAGAGCAAGTCCAGACTGTTCTCTGTTATATTATTCAAAGAGACTCAACATAAATCTATCATGAGCAAGCTCTTGGGAACATTTGGCGACAGTGGAAAAAAAATCTTATTTTTAACAGGCAAAGACCTTGAGCAGAACCAGACATATTAGGGCACAGCCATCTGCCTCAACTGGACGGGGTGAGAACGTTTGAGAAGACAGAGAAACAGAGAGCGAGACGTTTAAACAAACAAAAATACAGATTTGTTATTGTAGTATTGTCTAACTAAATAAAGCTCAAAGTCACCATTAATTAACAAGCAATGAAGCTTGAATCTTGTCCTTCCATGCCACACTTACATACCCATGCAGTATACAGCACACAGTGAATCTCTATGCTTGTTTGGTCATGTGATTCTTTTAAATGAAAGTGCGAAATAACCCTGGTGGTATTTATGGGTCCATATTCCTAAAAGGATATTAGATAATGTATTGTAAGGAAGTGTTCAGTTACATCATGGAGAGAGCACTGTCTCCTCACAGACCTCTAAAGTGCACCTTCGCTTTAGTCTTCCATCCCTGAGGTGAAATAAGTTTCTATTTCTGACATTAAAACAGCCTGATTTGCTTGTTTAGGTCTGATGTGTTTCTGAGTGACTCTCTTGTTGTTTAGGGGTTCGGTGGCGTTGCGGTGCATGTGTCATAGCCAGAGGAATTTCTAACATAAATGATCCCAGAGGGGGAAAAAAAAAGAGAAAAGCGGTTCATTATTGCTGCAAACCTCCACTGTTTGGAGGGGGCAGAGCCCATGTAAACAAACACAAGAGAGCTGTTTGTTGAATGGACCGAATCAAACACTCAAGGGAAAATAATCAGCTGTCAAATGAAGGAAAGACTTGGCTGGAGAAGGAAAATACAGGGTTTGTGATTGTACATGTGCAGATTGAGTTGGTATAGCAGTCCAGAAGTACTTTTAGTGAGATCAAGCAAATAAAAGACTCCCATGAAACAAAGGCGACAAAAGTACTACTATTTTCTAAGTAGAGTGATTATTCTGATGCAGAGTCCTCCCTCCGCTGTGATGCTCAGCTATATGTCACCATCAACAGTGCTCTATGTATATAAAGCAAAATCAGCTGTATTGATCAAGATCTGCGTCAGATATTACCGGGATATGCAGGGTTCTGTGAGGTTACATTTGCAATCATAGTATATACTTTTGTTATTCAGCTCAGAATAAGGCTGTAGGAGGAAAGATAGAAAAGCTGTTTGCCTTCTTGCCAAGAGCGGAGGAGAAAAATCAATACCACCCAATTTCACCACCAACACCAGTGTGCCTGCCAACTCCACGCCTGAGGTAGTCACTGACCCCCAGCCAAAAAATAGGCAACACAACACCCTCTTAAAACCACCAAGTTTGGCGCCCCCTGTGGATGAGACAGCTTTGCATTTCAGAAACATAAAAAAAAATAACTCACAGACGCTTTAAAGTCGCTGTGAGGACTTTTTGGTGTTGGCGAAACAGGCTGAAATCTAGATTGATGCCTTTTTATAATCGACAGGACTGAAATGTAGAGGACAACCTACGCAAAGATGACTCAGTCCACCGGGGGGCACCAAATCAACAAAAGCAAGAAGTTCCTCACAGGAGCTTTAAATCTATTCAAACTTATTAATATTTGTTTGGCTTCAGTAATCAGTCTTAAACACTTGGTAGTCAAAGTCACCATGAAATGGCTTCAATTGAATTTGCTATTCATTCAAAAAGCACAGAAACAGGTTGGACTACAGTTATAGGACCTCTTCTGTTGTTAAGGTAGCTCATCTTACTGTATCTTTGTAGTGGTAAATCAATACTGAGGGGATTTTTAATGAATATGAATGAAATAACATGCTGATATGATAAATAGTGAACATTTACAATCAAAAGTCCAGTGGATCAGACCTGACTCAAATTCTCTTTTTTAGTATGAGTCTGACCTGATGTGTTGCCCTCACTGAAAGCAGATCTGAAACACACACTATCAACCAACACACTCTCACCATTTCCATCTTCAGTTTCCTGATCTTCTCATCCAGACTCTTCCTCCCCGTCTCCTTGCTGGTGTCGTGCGCGGCACTCAGCTTGGCATCTCCCCGGAGAGAGGACGCTTCTTCCCGCATCCACCTGAGCAAACCCTCGGGGGTCTTCCGGCCAATTTTCACCTCTATGTCTTTCAGATCTGGGATGGTCTCTGTGGCAGTGCCTTCATCCATCGTTTTTGTGTGTTTACTCCTCAAAAACCCGCAGCATAAAGATTACCTCCTTCTCGTTTGTGGGAAATTGTCACTTTCCAAAGGGTTGTGTGGCATCCTCTGCGACTTGAGCTGAGTTCGACTGCAGCAGGGGAGGAAAACAATCCAACAGCATCAACACAACAACGTGTTGGTCCTCCAGCAGGATAACGGCAGATCAATTTCTCTTTCAGCTGTAAGGGAAAAAAAACATCTGAACAAAGTCCAGGTGGTGAAAAAAAATCTGGCCGTCCAGTTTGTCGTTTTTTCCGCGGAGAGAACAGCCCGACCTCCAGAGTCCAGTGTCCGCTGGATGGTCGCTGCAGGCCGGTGGAGGCTGCTGTGTATGGTCGGTGCTCTTTACGCGGAGGTCCGTTGCGCAGATTCCACCTGCATGATGACAGCAACCAGCAGCAACCGCAGAGTGAGAGGAGAGCCCACCGTCAAGTAAGCTGAGGTGATATACCCCAGCTTCCGGTTGGACTTTCAAAATAAAAGGGCGTGTAGGGGTGGAGTATTGTGGACTACCAAAATAAAACGTTGAATATGTATGGATATGATTATGGGGTCTAATATCTGGATTTGAAGGGTCATTTGGCACTGGAAATAATTATTAGTGAGCTTTTATGTACCCCCTGCTGCTTTTTTACTATCTTCCATAAATACATATAAGTACTACATTAACCCTCCTCCTGTGTTAGGGTCTGCACCGACATGTTTTTGATTTTAAATGCTTAAAAGAACCACTTAAATGAGCTTTTTTGCATCAAGACTTTTTGACTTTGTCAGGAACCTCGATTTCAACAAAATGAAAATAAAGAAATTTAAATTGACTAAATTATAAAATGCTCGTATTAAAATTATGGCACTTGTCATGTTAGGGTTGTTGTTGACCCGGTTAGATCAATATCTAATAATTAGAGCAAAAACTGAAATCACAAGTGCACTGTCAGGCACCACACTGACAGTCAGATCCTCTTCCAGTCCTGTGAGATTTAGGAAATTCTCATTTTGCCGTGTTTTTCCCTGCACAACAACAACGTTGGGCATGTACAAATATATGAGATCAATTCAGTATAGATGTCTGTATGAGGGGTGTACTGACAAAGAAAGGCCCAGAGATGCACTACAAAAACTATTATAAGCAATATTTTCATTGATAACAATTCAACCTAGAGATGAGAACCAAATTCGATGGTAGATAATTGTTTTTAGTGTAATTTACAGCTGATTCAAGACACGGGTCAAAACCGATCCTTAACATGGTGGGTGCGTAGTAAAAGCTAACACGGGAGGAAGGTTATATGCAAGTTGAGATATTTTTTTACTATTTGTTAACACAACACACATCACAGTGTTTAATAATTGAGATCTCAGGTGCTTCTATTCTGAACAGGATCAAAAAGCTGGTTACAAACAAATGTTAATGATTCCAGTTTCTTGCAAAGTATTTACATTAATAAAATTTATCAAAACCACTCACACATGGAGAACTTCGGTCTTTTGAGGTCTGCCTGGGGCAGTTTTATCCAGCCTTAGATGGTAGCTACCACAGGAGTATGACACAGCACCGCACAATGTTGACAAAGCAACTCTGAGTGGGCCAAAAAGAAAAAGAGAGTCAGCAGATACACTCCACTAAATCTAATACAGTGCTTTAATACAGTCTGACTCTTCAAGGATCAGTCAATATTTGTTTGTAAGGTGTCAGTTCATTACAGATGCTGTCTCAAAAACAAAGTCTAGACCCTACTCTTATATTAGTTGTGGAAAATGTCATGAAGTTTGTTTTTTCAGTGTATCTACCACCTAACTTAATCGTAAATCTTGACACTGATGGTCTCATTTGCACGTTAAAAACATGCCAGTCTGTGTTAAACCGTATCAAAAACTCATCACACAAGCTTTAAAACCATAACACAGGCTGTGTACATACACTCATATAGACAGAAACCATGTTGAACAAAAGAACCAGGCCTACATAACCGATCCCTCTAATAATTCAAAAGATCTTTATTGACTTTAAACTGTTCAAGCTTTTCTTTATTCAAACGTTAAATTTTTATAAATCTATGGTTAAGTCTTAGAAGCTTTAATGAAAGTTTCAAGTTTCCAATCATGTCAGTGCAAAGCTGAGTGCAGCCTCATGGTGGTGGATAGATGAGGAGCCCAATCTGTGCAATGAAGTACGACATATGTCTGTGTTAAGACTATTACAATACTCAACACACCTACGCTCACTCACACCCTGAGGTTAATGACAGGCTTTACAGACTCAGGCCACACCTTTAACACACCTATACTTTTAAACCTTTTATTGTCATTGCACAGTAATCAACAAAGTTTACTTTCTTACTTACTGTGGATCAGTGGAAGAGTGGGTTGTATGTATTTTAAAGTTTCCCAGTCTGTGGGGAAGACACTGAACCCCAAATTGCTCCACAACGGTGTGTGAATGTGTTCGTTTAAACTGACGGTCCCCTATTATAGCAGTCTCTGCTATCACTGTATGAAGCTGACATGAATGCGTGGATGTGCAGGTGGTGTAAAAGCTCTTTTGAGTGTTTGAGTGCTGCATCAGTTCAGTCCATTTGCTTTTTACCAGGGTGTTAACGCAGCATGAATATTATCGCACATTATATTGAATAATTTGTGGTTTTAAATGAAATCAGTCATCAACTGTTTTAATGACTGAAAGACATTCAGTCATTTTTAGGCAGCTGAATAATGAGCAGTTGCACAACTGGTTATTTTTCAGTCATTTGTCAAGCAATAAAGCTGGTTCTGGCTTTTTGGACTGACACTGAAGTTGTTCACAACATTTATTCACTCTAAGTTATATTTGTCCGTAGAAAATTAAGCGAACATGCTTTTAGAGATCCTGCTAATGTTTCCTCAGAATGGTAAGAGTCAGCTAAGTCAGCTATGAGGAGACGGCATGTCAATAACTCATCGTTTATTTCTTTTCTCTGACAGAAACACAACTCATCTTTCAATTAACTACAATACTCAGAGTTGGCCAATGATTACCACATAATGCTGTTTTAAAGGAGGAAACTACACGTCTCAGCTTTTTGCACAGACCTTTTCAGAAAAACAAAAAAACAATGTGGTGCTGAGGTGGTAGAACATTTAAGATATTTAAAGAAGCTCCACGTTCCTAATTTGGCCATAAACCAAAATGAAAACTTCATCACTCCTTCATTCTGATAACAAGATCTTGTAGTATTAAAACTCTTCTCTGACTTTGTTTTTGTAACAATATGTTTTTAATCTTAAAACATTACGACTATCTTTACTAACAACTTTATTCTCATAACATAACCGCACTACAAGTCATTCTTAAAAGGAAATGGTGTGAAAATCAGATTTTTTACATGACCCCAACACTCAGCCTTGTTTAGCATTACTTTGATATCTCAGAATTGCGCAATAAACTACATTTATTTAAATCTAAAATTGGAAAAAATCACCACCTTATCACTTGAAACAGCGGAATTACATGGATCTATTGTGGGTGACGCATCTTTATCACGTATACATTTATATATATTCATATTTTAGTTATTGAAGGCCACTATTGCCTCAGTGACAGGAAGAAGAACTCTTTGCTGTGTATCGTCCTTGCTTTCTAATCCCCATGTTCCCTGTCCGTCTTCAGCTTTTTAAAAAGGAAAATGTAAAAAAAAAAAAAAAGTGAAAAATGCTCCCCAATTATCAGTCATTTTTCTTAGTTAACTTGCTTTGCTATGTTATCTGAAAGTGCTCCATGCTTACCATTAATGCCAGTTTTCACACAGAGGCAGCACAAAGAGACATTGAGCCATGTAATCTGCAGTCAGAGAGAGACTCCAGAGCAGCTGAAGAGTTGCTTTTCATGTGAACACTCATTCAGAGGGAGGCTGACTAAGAATAGAGAGACAGTCATAGTCACAGTGATGAAGTGGTTCAGAAAGGTTCAGCGGGAGCACGAATCAAATGCACGAGTGTTTCTCAACGGACTGAAGATTCGAGGGGTCTCTGCAGTGGAAAAGGGGAGATGGACATTAGCATTGAACACCAGAATGTTAAAAGCAGGATCCAGGGTGTGAAGTGGATTAGGGCTGTCTCGCTTTTTTTCATGATAAACCATGAGAGCTCCTAAGCTGGAGGATCTTTTCCTCTCCTTACAGATGGGAACGCACAGCTTAATCGACAGTGAATCATTAAATCCTTCCATTTTTGATCTGCTTTGGGCCACTTGAATAACGAGATAGTAAATGTGTAACAAAGGTATTAATAACTGGGAAGATCTAAGCCTAGAGAGAGGGGGGACAGGAGGGTTTAAAGTCTGGATTAATGAGGACTTCCTGTGATCCTATGATCTTTTGTGTTCAGTGTCACATCTCGTGAGGGGCCCTGAAATTCACAAGTTATGCCCCTGTCAATGTAAATGTAACGTCTCTGTAGAGAAGGATGCCAGACAATCCTAAAGCTGCAAGGTTGACATCTTTACTCTGATCCTTGACTGTCTGTGTATATCTTATACTGTGCTGTGAACCGGAAACTAAGCCAGACCCTGCAGTGGTTAAAAAGGGGTTAGTTTGACAGCTAGAGGACCTTGATTACATCGTGGGACACTTATCCTAATCCTCCTTTCCTGAGGGGGTACTGTAAAGGCTACAGGGATTATTAGGGGTCACTGTCTTTGCTGTGAAAACATTTGCTGCTCTCATGTTACAGCTGAGATGTAAAATCTATCATCTAAATTAGAGCCCGAACGATCCAAATGCTGTTTCACTTCTCCTCTTGGCTTCAAAACCTGCAGAGTCACACAACCGAGCATCTGTAATCATTATGTTACCATGCAATCAGCCTCGTATCTAGGATCGCCACCATGGCAACGGTTGCAGAGCGGAGAAAAATTTTTCACTTTTCTGTACACCCACATGGTACGAGCGGAAAAGCTGCCCACGAGGAGGCAAATTTGCAGAGCTAAACACACATTATGAAACACACACTCTGGTTGAAGGTCCATCTCAGTGTATCAAAGGCTGCAGAGGTGTTGCAGCACTGCCCACTGAGGCATTTGAGTGTGGGTTTGCATGTTCCTTCTGTATTTGTGTGGGTTTGATTCAGGTGATAAAGTTTCTCACCACATCAAAAAAGTCTTGTGTTTGTAAAGGCCTGACCTCCCCATGACCTGAGAAGTCTGTGAGCTGATGTTTGCTGCCGCCAGCTGTGGACTCTTCCTGCCAACTCAGATACTCTTCTTTCCTCTAGAGGCTTCAAGCTGCTGTTCAAATATTCTGAGTCATATCTAAAAGTATCTGCTTTTGAGTTCTTCAACTTTTTATCAGGGTTTTGTTTCGTTCTTTAACTAGATTTTCAACTGTGGATTCACTGGGAGATAATGTAAAATAAAACTAAGCATTGGTGACCTCTCAGAACCCTCAAATTGGAGAAATCGTGAGTGTCTTTATGGAGGAGAAAACCTTAAAATGTGCCTTACAGAGTGCCATCTATAAGAGAAAACTTGAAAAAGTGCACCCTGTTTATCTTTTAAGTTTAAGTAAGCATATAAAGCTCCCTGTCAGTCACTATTGGATAGTGGAGAAAATGCAATAAAAACATGCTTTATGCTTTAGGGGAGAAAACATGAATGAATACCAACCAGAGTGAAGAAATAGGACAAAATGCCTTCAATGGTATCTTTCAAGTGGAGAACACAAGGCGATTTGCCAATAGCTCTGTCCTTCAAGGCCTGTTTAGGTGGAGAAAATGTGGCGGAGAGATGATCAGAGTAATTGTTTCTGGGAAATGATGAAGTGCTTTCAAAGATAATTTTCTAAAGGAGAAAAAATGTGGACACATGCCTTCAAATCAGCTCTTCTTATCAGTAAAGGTGTTTTGGTCCCTTTCTTTTTTAGTGGAGAAAATGTCATCTTTATTAACGAGAAAAATAGAAAAAGTGTCATTTACTGTGTGCCTTCTTGGTGGATTAACAGGACTCTATCAGCTAGGGTGCTGTTCCATTGGAGAAAACCCAAGATAGAGTCAGAACCAGACCATTAGAGAATGTGGTGGTAATGTGGCTTTTCAATTTTTTTGTACCTGCCCTTTGACAGCCATGTTCATCACAGTTTGATGTCATTTCTTGATTGTATGCTGTGTGTAAACGTTTGTGTTTTGTGGTAACAAATATGATAATACACACTAAATCCTTGAATGTTGACAACAAAACTCTCCAGGACTTAGTTTTTATAAAGATTCTGGTTTATATGAGTCCAAATACTTTTTCCAGAGTTTTCTTGGGCTCTGTGATAAATGTTCTCTGTGTTTTCAGAAAGCTTTCATTTGTTTGGGGAAACTTGTCTGATGTGGGCATGGGAAGTCCACTGATACACTACGTTTCTTGCCAGATTTATAAAGTGTAACACCCTCTGCTTTTGTCGTACTGTCAATCATGATGAGTTTTCACTCTGCTGGAAAAGGATGGATATGGATGCAACAGTAAACAGAAAAAAAGTGTTAATCTGAAGTTTATTTAATCTTGCAGGACAGCTGAGAGACTTCCAAAACAATTTTGACACTCAGTCAATGTTTGTTTTTGTTGATCTCTTTGCAGAGTGTCTACATATCTCCTCAAGGCGTTTGTGTATTCTGTTAAGAGCTCATCACATATAACAGGTTTGTGTTCAGCTTTGAATTTTTGTTAATTTAAAGTCTGAAATAGAGAGAGTGCTTCATTAAGCCTCTGTGAGTCTTTATATTGAACCTGACGGTTTGCATTCCTCTGTTAGCCACAGCTGACTCTGGCAGGGGTAAAAGGAAAGCTTCATTTTTTAGTCTTGTACAACTCAAAACAAATAATATCAACCTGTAAAAGTGGAATTCAAGAAATGTCTTCTGTTGATGAGCAGAAAATAAGATACTGAAATCAGACAACTTTGAAGGAATGCCACCGCAAGAGGGAAAAATAAAAAGTAGGAATGATTGCTAACAATTCAGGAATATCAAGAAATGGACTCAAGTCTCATGATTTTTAGACAAACTTCAAAATATCAATCCTGAGTCATACACTGTCCCCCCTCCAACTCCATCCACTCCCTGTCACTCCCCAGTCTAACCTGCTCAACCTGTCTGCAACGTGACGAGAAGAGTGGGTGGCTGAATTATTTCACAACAGATTCAGCTGTATGCTCCGAGGAAGAAAGACACATTTTTGCCTGTAGGATTTAAAAATACAAACAGATCATTTTGAAGTTCCTTTTTTTAAATCAGACGGAGGAGGTGCCGTAGGAGGCCATGGAGGGAAACAGCGCTGAAGATATTGAGTCTCTCATGGAGGACATGGACTACATCCCCGGCCACTTCCACCTGGAGCTCAACCTGAACTGTGATCCTGTGGGGCCTGTGAAGCTGAGACTCAGGGACACTTACCTGAAACAGGAGAGTTTAAGAGGAGAGCTGGAAGCCGAGGCTGGATGTCTCCAGTACGCTGTTAGAAATCTGCTGGGTCTGCTGGCCTTTCACCTGGAGCAGCTGGACACAGCAGAGGAAATATTCAGGTGAGGAGACGCTGTCATTTCAACGCCGGTTTATTCCAAGAGGATACAACTGGAGTCTGTTTTTATTCCTGTTTTATGATCTTAGTTAGGAAAGTATCCTCATGATAATGTTTCACTCTACTATAGGAGCACCACCCAGTGTGACATGTGTCATTATTCACGTTCGTAGAGAGCTTTGACTAATTATCAGCAGGAAGGGGAACGCCAACATGAAAAAAGACCTTTAATCATTTACAGTGAGAGCAAACAAAGTAAAAAACTATTCAGATTCTGTCAAAAGTTTAGAGTAATTATGGATTTACTATGTAGCGTGACAAACATATGGTTTAAACAATAAGCTTTGTAATAAACGGCCTGTCTGGGCTCATTAATATAATTTAACACAAAAAGATAATACAAATGATCTGACAAGTCAACAACACCTATGAGATTAAAACAGTGTGTAATTTTTTGAGTGTAGTCTTCAGATAATTATTGTAATTGTTACAACTCAGACACGAAGTAGGTTCAGCCAATAGCTACACTACATTATTATTCTTTTTTCTTTTATTTTTTTAATGTATTTTTCCTCCTGTTCCACATTTTGTAAAAACCTGTTAGAAATGCATGGCTAAATCTTAGTTTTATCCAACTAAAGATTTAAGTTGTAGGATGTTTTTGTTTAATTAAATTTTGTCCTTTGTTGCTGTGATGATTAAAATTCGATCTGACATGAGTGACTTAAATTTATTTAATGCTACAATAAATACAAGATACGATACAAAACAATCCAGAAACAGTTCAATGCAACACAGGCATGGTAAAATACAGTACAATATGATTCTCAGTTAGTTATAATAACATATTCTGTTATGTTTGCATCCGTAAATATGTCAAAGTAATTAAAGCTCCTGTGAGGAACTTTGGGTCTTTATTAATTTTGGCGCCCCCTGAGGACAAAGCTGTCTTTGCTTATCTTGTTCTCTTCATGCTCAGTGTATTCAGACAAAAAAATCTCATTATTCTGGCTTCTGGCTGTAAAATTCATCATTAATTGTGAGTATTTTATGTGAAAAATGTAAAAACAAAGCTGTTTTGTAGTTGTAAGGCTCACACCTGCCCCCAGGCAAAAAAAAAAAATTACAATCAATCTAGTCACCGATGGTCATGTTTGTTTTTGTACATCATGGAAAGGCATCAGTGTGAGTTTCAGTCTATTTCATTAATGTCAAAAAACTTCCTACAGGAGCTTTAACAGAATTGGTTTGGATGCTTGGATGTCTAATCCTCCTGTCTCTGCGTATGTTGACCTTTCAGGAGCATTTGTAAGGAAGACCCCGGTAACCTCAACGCCTGGGCCAACCTGGGCTACGTCTATGACAAGCTGAAGAGAGAGGTCGATGCGGGGGAGTGCGTGGAGAAAGTGTCCCAGCTCATGGGGTTAGATGCTGGTGAGGCCTCTCAGGAGGAGACCCGGGTCCTGGCGGCTCGCTGTTTGGCTGAGCAGGCTTACGTGTATCCTTATGATGTGGAGCTGGACAATGAGGAGGACCTGCGGGAGAGACTGACAGCTGCACTGATGCTCTATAACCGAGCTCTGGACTACGGGGGGAACCTGGTGAGATGGAAAATGTGTAAACTCAGATGTATTGTTTTGTTTTCTTGGGTTATAACTCAACAATGCTGCTGTACATTTTGCTGTTTTTCAGATACCGATAGAGGAAAAACGGAGCTGGTATTTTAAAATGGCAACTATTTACATAAGGTACTACATTTTGATCAAAAGATAACCTCTGCACCACTTAATATGTAGGTATGAGTTTGTACAAATGTGTTCCCTTCCTGCAGACTTGACGACATCGTAAAGACCAAAGAGGACTCTGAATATTCAAGACTCTCTCACTTCAATAAAGGACTGAAACTCCTAAAAGAAACACTGCAGTCAGAGAAAACACAAAACAAAGGTAAACACAGTCTGTTTTATCTCCTCTGTGAGAGGCTTTTTGTCGATGTTTGATTTATGTATCACAATCTTCGAGAGCCAACTGTACAAATATTTTAATGTAAAGTTAAGCCTGATATTTGACTTGGGATTTTACAACTGAGTGGCTGTTGATCTTCAGTCAGAATCAAAAACCTCCATGAGAAAACTCTTGGATATAATCTGTTGTAAAACCAGATTCTTGCGTCTCCTCTCAGCTCTAGCCTGGTGTTACGTCGGCCTCATGCTGGAGAGGAAGGAGGAGTTCAGCACCGTGCCCATGTCCATACATGACTGTGGTTACTCTGCCTCTGATCCTCTGTCCTGCTACGGAACTGTGAGTTCACCCACACATTTACATCCTTCACCAAATATCGAGTCAGCTCATACAACAGAGTCTACTGACACAGACCTTATGTTGTGTTATGAAACAAGAATAATTGGACAGAATGTACGTCGAGTCAAAATCTAGAGTTTTTAAAGTCAAGCTGGCTCCAATCAGACATGACTACATATTCATGGTGACTTGCTGCTCATTTAATCTTCTCAGTGAAAAGTTTTTTTGCAGAGACTGTGATTTAAACTTGCTTTAAGACGGTTAAACCTTTAATTGATGAGTGCATCTTCTCCATGAAAGCTGTAGAGTCTCAGCTCAGGGGGTGTAAGGTGTGGCTCAAGTAAAACAGCACTTTATTTAGCATAAAAAGTGACATTTTTAAAAATGTTTTCACCATAACAGACGGTTTAATTCTGTGTTCTAAAGGCGATTAACCAAGCCAGTGATGATGCATGCACCCTAAATCTTCTGGCAAAGGTCTTCTTCCTGCTGGGTAAGCATGAGATGGCCACAGGGATCTGCAACATGGCCCTAAATGTGCTTCCAGACCCAGAACTCAACTGGCAGGCCTACTGCACACGAGCAAAGGTACAAAGCAGAAGTAGATCAAGTCCATGTTCAAAAGAAACTAATGAAACTCTATTATCATTCAAACTCAAAGGTACATCTTTTAGCATTGCTGGTCTTGTCTTGTACATACTGATATTGTCTCAAAATGATTTTTAAACAAACATTGAGAATATTTAAGTGTTAGGAATAGACTGTAAAGAAAAGCTGATTCTAGAAGTCAGTCCTGTTGTGGAGGGTCTTGATTGCTTTTGCAGGTAATCAAGAGGCATCAGTTTTAATTTCAGCCTGATTCACAACCAGTTGAAAACTCCTGACATGAGCTTTAAGTGTTTACACCAATTAAAACTGGTGTCAGAATTCTCCAACTTGTGCACCAGTTCTTTGATATATTTGTGAATGATACATCAGATGTTTAAGTCAAAGATTTTTACAAGTAGAAGACACATTTTAACTCAACAACAAAACTGACTGATTGTTATTTAAACTTTTCTAAATGACACATTTGACATAAATGAATTCCTGTTTTTCTTCAGATCAGTATGATGCTCTACATCAGGGACCTGGAGATTGCAAAACAGGGTGATGGTGGAATCCCAGACCGTCAGAAGCTCACAGAGGCCAGAAAAGACTTGGACAAGGTCCTGTCTGTACGCCCGTGTCTGCGGACTCACCTTGAGATGGCACAGGTAAATACAACAGATTAGAACAGAGAGGCATTTTCAACAGCCACAGGGTTTTAATGTTCCTCCCTTCCTCTCTTTAGGTTTACTACTACATGGGTGTGGATGCCCTCCAGGAGAGTCTCCTTGTGGATGAAGGCGCGGTGAACTGTGCCCTCGTGAGTCTGTCTCATGCTCTGCAGTTTGAGCTGAGCGACAGCCTGCCCGACCTTCACATACTTCGAGGACGCTGCCTCCTGCTGAAGGGCGAGGAGCAGAACGCCGCAGACTGCTTCAAACAAGCCATGGAACTGGAGAGACCCGGGACCACGGACACCACGGCTCTTCGCTGCCTCCTGCAGGCCCTCCTCACTCTGTTCATGCAGGGAGGCCCCGACCCCACCCAGGCCACCACACAGCTGGAGCAGTGGGTGAAACTGGCGGAGGAGAGGTACCCTCCAGATGTTGTGAAGGCTGAGCTGAAGTGTCTGTACAGGACTCACACAGCAGAGGTGACAGAGTTATCAAGGACTCTGATCCGGACTGGTAGACTGAACTTGGTGAGGAGGCTGCTGGACACTGTGGTGCCCAAACAGCTGGTTAATAAGAGGAAACCACTATTAAAGTCTGCCTCATTTACATGAAGCTAAACCGGCTTTTATTAGAAATACAGGATTTGCAGTTAATAATGACAGTATTTTCAGATAAACGACTAAAGCAAGCACCATAAAAAGACTGTCTGTGTGTCTGTTTCAAAGCTGAACATCTACGCTGAATTTAAAAAACTTCTGGTGGACATGGATCTACAGACTAACATATGGTTACAATATTCAGCTGTCAAACTCCCTCAATCTCATTGTCTGATCAGGAACTGGTTGGACATCTCCAGTTTTGTATAAAAAAAGAGAGCCTTGTTGACTCGATGAGATAGTGGTTAGTGGTTCTCTTAAGGAGATTTCATGACTCTCACGGTGAGTTTAAGTTTCCAGTTCAACTTTTTCTTTTTGCATCAGAAATGTTTAACTGTCAAGGTGTCACTAAATTGATTTTGAAAAAAAAACAATTTTGGTGCAAAATTAAAGTTAAAATAAATAAAACACACACTCTTGAGAATTTCAGTGTGACCATGTGATAAATGTGATATAATATGAATGATTGAATTCAGGGTAACTGAGTGGCTTAATAAGAGTAATTAGATCTCAACCCAACTAACCTCCGACCTCTGGTGATCTTAAAGAAGACTTAGTTTTGGGCTGTTATGAGAGAAAAGGAGAGAAAATCTATCTCTGTCTCACATTCTCAGATTAATTAAGTTTAAAGGAAAACAGTCTTTGCAAAAAGGAGATTCAAGGTGTCCTAAACTCCACACTCATGGACTCTCATACTTCGAGATGCGTCCCCATCATGTGTGTGAGTGCTCAGGTCTGACCCACGACTTCTTAAAGCCTGAATTCACACTTTCCATGAGTCTACATTTCTGCTGTTTAACTGTGCGACTCTGTCTGTGAGCTATAGGTGAAGTGAAGGCCATGATAGTAGAGCCTGTGCTAAGTACAAACAGACAGTTTCACATATATTGATGCAGTATTCAATCAAATCTGGGATTAAATTCAAACAAAGCAAGTATTAAATAAGTTCAACACAAAGTTTAATCACTTTGCCAAAGTGTGCCCCATGTCTCATCACCCCTAATCCTCTCAGACATATATTAATGTAAGGCTCCAGTGTGTAATAGTGTTAAGACGTGTGGTTGGGAGTGTGTGTCATTATATGCCTTTTAAAGCTGCTTTAGTTAAGTGACAGTAACAGCAAAGAAACTGCAACTAAATAACAGTTTTTTGCAGAAAAGTCAAACAAAATTGTGATTTTTTTTTTTTACCCCTGGTTTCTCTAAAATGGATGAACAAAAAATAAATGAATGAAACTTTAATCTAATATAAGGAGTGTAAAGTCAAGTAAATGAAGTTGATTTTATTAGACTGAGGAAAAAACGTCATGACGGTGCTATCATGTGTGGAGCCGTGTCTCCTCTGTTCTTTTTATAGAGTTTAAAACAAACTACATACTACAGCTGATCAGAAAGGAAACACTCAAACACATTTCCTTTGTATTTAGAGAATTCAACTCGCTCTTAGCAAAGCTGCCAGTCACATACTTTAAAGTTTTTCACCTCAGTTAAGAATCTGAACTATTCCACTGCTTTCTTAGTCAGATTCTTGGGCTTGTGCTGCTTTTTTAGTACTTCGCTGTGGTGAACTCTGCAGCAGAGTGACTGGAGGAGATCTTTCATGTCGTAAAGAGGACACTTACAAGATCCTTACTAGAAAGTGGAACAATGTTTAAAGAGTTAGGGCAAAAGCTAAAAATGAAGAGAGCAGTTCCTGTTGAGCATTTGTGCCTGAAACCACGTCTTAAGTTAACCATAATATCCACAACTCTGCTTGATACATTTTTAAAAGGTGCCTAATCAAAAGAATTGTCTGCTTTTTTGTCTAACAACAGTGTGGCCTTTTTATACGCCACTCCTTGAACCACAACAAATACAATTCTCTACACAGTCGCTCATGGGCGTCTGGGTTTGGCAGATTTCCTTGAGTCATAGAAAGCGATGCCAACAAGGAAGCATATTATCAGATTCAATTAAGGAGTATGAGGTTTATTGCTAATTAAAATACAACTGTGTGAGTGACAGAGGGTGGCTGACACAAGGACAAATTGTAGTAGCTTTTACATACCAGTGAAAGAACAGAAGAGTTAATGGACGAATAAACCAGTGTTACATCTGTGATTGGTGCAGCGGTGGATTAGAGTGATTACACTTGTTGTATTATAGCAAACAGTGTAAATTAAAGGTTTACCTTATGTGTATTGAGTAGGAATGGTGAAAGCATTTATTGACACCCTGGAGGTATGTTAAGGCTGGTCAGTTTTACAACACTCATGAAAAATGTGAATTATTTGGAAAAAAAATTCACCCATTGTAGGTCATAAAAATCCGAAGAAATTCAAAAACTAAAGGTTAACAGGTGAATGTAAATGTCAGGCCAGGACACATCACTGGAAGACTAAATAACATAGCTGTGTGTTAAATTTGACCTTATTTCAAGCATCAGTGATAAAATAAAGTGGGGCGCTAATATGCTCTTTAGAAGTGGCTCTGCTATGTTCCAGGTTAAGAGGAGTTTTAGTTCAAGATAACTGAACATCAAAACTAGAAACAGCATCTAGGATAACCGTCTATACACAGAGAGACAACAACTTACATTAGCGTTGAACCTTCAACGTGAGGTAGGAAGCAGCTAGGAGCTAATTATAGCTGAAGCCACTTACTTACTAAGTAATGTAGTTAGCCAGGAAATAACCTGAGCTAATTGCTTTTAGGAAATTTCAAAAGCCACATAATGAGTCAACAAAGGGTCCAGCTCAGTAATGTTAGCGAGGAGTTGCTTTAATGCTAGCTTTACCTGACGGTAGCAAACTGGCTGTTCGAGATGTTGCTTTAATTCACAAACACAGATAGAAAAGAAAACACCTGTTTTGTCTTGTGTTGTGATTGAATGACAGGAGTATTGTTGTGTTTGTGTGCACATGACTTTGCGCAGGACCATTTTGGAAGCGAGTCCTTTACCTGCCGCACCTGTATTAATTTGACAACAATGAAAGCATCTCCCTCTCTCTCTATGTGCGTTTGCCTTCAGCCGTCTTTGGGTCAGGTTCTGCAGCATAGTTTGAGTTTCACTTGCTCAACACGCTCACATATATGCGATGCCACTCCTCGCTCATGAAGTACTCGGTCACAGCTTTCTGACCTGACAACACAGCTTAACTCTTCATCAGGTAAGATCTTTGGATATACTTTCACAACATCAGATACTTGAGCTAAAATCAGGACAGTAAATAAGGATTTCATCTCACAGTTTACGAGCTTTAATAACCAGAAAAAGGAGAGTCATGGAAAGACTTAATTTAGGTGACAACAGCTGACTTTTTTTTAGTGTTGTGTCACATTAATAAGATGAGATGCAGTGAAAGAGCAACAGAGAGACAACAAAATATATGAAAATGTCAATTATAACCACACTTAAAAAAAAACTCAGACACTATTATATAATAAAAACGTCTTAGTATAAAAAAGGAGAAGCATAAGTTCAGCAGCACAGCCTTTCAGTAGTTCTGAGTCATGGCTTCAGTGTATTTAAGAGCTTTGCTTTAGCTTTAAGGTCTATAAGATAACATCAATATAAAAATATCAACACAGAAAGAAAGTTTTGTTAAAGTTGCTTGTATCTTTTTAAAGTAAGTTTTTTAAATGTCGTGTTTCTTACACAGCCTGTAAAAAGCCAATTCGGGTCACACAGCAGGAAGTAAACCTTGTTGGTCACCTCTGTGCACACTCTCAACACAGGGCAGCAGAAGACACAGGCTTACAGATACTGATTTATTTTGTGATCATAAGAAACTTTAGATACTCTGCAAAGGCAGTTTTGTCTCTGCACTCTGTATTCACCCTGACTGTGATTCTTAGAGATTTCTTAAAGATGAAAGTTGGCGTGTCTATCAAGATGTTTACAAAAAAATGAGGGCAGGAAAGTCAAGTAGGAGTCATGCAACAGGATTGTCCTACTTCGGGGAGGGAAAGGCGAGGTGACTGAGAATGCTTCTGTAAAACTTGAGCAACGCCCTGCTAAAGAAGAGAGGGAAGAGTAAACTCAATTGTAGACATGTAGAGTGATATTTTGTACTTCTTTTAACCCCAAAAGCAGGATTGTCAAGGTACTCAATTGACTATTTTTTAGGCATTCCTTAATAAAATATTTTCAACATTATTTAAACTATTTTTTACTAAAACTCGACCACACCAAACACTTCTTCCTGTGTTTGATAAAAGTTTATGTTAGGATATATTTTATATCTGTAACTGATCTATATCTGCTGATAGCTTATCACTGCTATTCTAATGGTTTTTAAAAACCTTTGTGACTAACTATCAAATTTCATGTCTGCTTTATGAAAATGCAAATGTTGACATTCAGGGATTTTATTACTACATGACTATCAAAACTCCTAACAGATCATCAACTCAAACTTTTATGTCATATTTGTGGTAACAGGTTATTTCGTCCGTGTGTGTCTGTGAAAGAAGTCAACATGGCTCTACAAATCCCCCCGTCAGACTGGAACACCGGTCTCTTTGACTGCTGTGACGACATGAAAACATGTAAGAATCAGTTTCATCATATTAGCTTGAAACAGTGCGTCATTTTTCTGAACCTTTAGACAGGTTTATTTGTGTATTAGTAAACTGGATTTTTTGCTATCACTGTAATATAATGTTTAACTCTTTGGTTTCCAGGTTGCTATGGTTTCTGGTGCTGTCCTTGCCTTGCCTGCACAGTTTCAGGGAGATTTGGAGAGAACCGCTGTCTGCCGCTGTGTGATATGCTCACTCCTGCTATAACAGCAGCCTGTGGGTTACCTCTGTGTGTGCCCCCCGCCGCTCTGTCTTTGAGGGTCGGCATTCGACACAGATATGGAATCAAGGTAAAAAGAATTGTTGTTTTTTTTAAGTCAAGAATAGTGCTCACTAATTTTGACTTTTCTTTATTTAATATTTTTACAACCAGGTATTGTGATAAACTTATTTGGATTTAAAAGTTTTAAAAGCAACAGCAGTTCAAAAGTAGAGACCCATTTGAACACCATGCAATATCATGCAATGTTGTGTTGGTTTAAGTTAAAGTTGGGGCTATGACAGTTTCTTAAAAAGTGAATTTAAGGCCTTATTTGGGTGAGATTGACCTATTAAACAGAGAAGTCTTTCAGTGCATTTGAATAAAACATAATTGTTATATGAGTGTGCTCTAGGCTTGCTCTTTTAGAAAGCGTTTTGGGATAACGACTGTTATGGTTTGGCGCTATAAAAAAAAAAGATTGATTAATTGATAAGACGGTGTTGTGAAATAGCACATGGATCTATAAAAATGAGCTGGAACACTAGAGAACAAATACCAGGCCAGAAGTTGGTGGTTTCACTTTATGATGAAACACTGCTGAGGCACAGCATATGTCTTCAATAAAACAATAAATCCAAACATTCCCATGTACAGATAGGGAGATATAAAGCATTGGCTAACATGCATCAATAGTTCACTATATTATGTTTAAAGCTCCTCTGAGGAGTTTTTGGATGATACTAAAATAGACCAAAATTTATGTGGATCCTTTTTCATGATCTACAAAAGCAAACAAGACCAGAGAGAAATTTTTAAAGCCTGAAAACAGTGTGAGGGAGTTGTTATCAGCTGAGCGGCTAAAGAAACAGCTCTGTTTTTATGATTTCCACGTAGAATGTTTAAAATAAATCAAATATATGACAGTCAGAAGTCAGGAAGGTGATTTTTTCTGGATATGTAGATGACAACATAAAGATAAACTGCTTTGTCCACAGGGGGGTGCCAATATTGATCTTTAATACATTTCTATTTGACCAACTTTTAAAACATTTAGAGCTCCACCTACTGACTAGCTGCAGTAAAGGTCATAAACCCAGCTTCCTCCATGTTAACTGATGGAACATGGGTCAAACTATAAAATCAAATTAAAAGCTTATCATATTTTGAAAAATAATATGGTTTTGGTCTTTTTTTTTTAATTATGCAGAATGTGTATCTGCAGTTACTTCCTGAGATAATCTGATGCCCCTAAAGTTATCAGATTACAGCGGATGAATACAATCAAACAGCATAACTGATGTGCTTCGGTTCTCCACAGGGCTCTCACTGTAATGACATCGCCACTTCCTGTTTCTGCGAGTGGTGCTCCTGGTGTCAGATGAATCGAGAGTTGAAATACCGTAAGAAGCACCCCACCGTCATCGTTAACGTGCAGCCTCCTCCGGTGATGATGGCTCCTGGAAACCCTCCACCTGCTGGATTCATGGGCCAGCCTGGAGTCGTCATGACCTCATACTGATCCTTGTGGACTGTGATTGGTCTGCTCCGTCCTGTGAAAGGATTTTAAAAATGAAGTTTTAAGATATTGCTGCGTTTTTTTTTTTATTTCACCTTTGAATCAAAGCATGCTGGGTAAAATTCAGCTCCATACAGTTATTACAAGCATTATATGTAAAATGTGATTTTGTTTTTTTCTCTCACAATCACTCAATAAAAGTGAACTTAAGTTGTAGACTGTAGTCTCAGAATGATCTGTTTTAGGTTCACATGCTGAGGGAATTATCATGATTGTTTTAAATAAATAAATTACACATGAATTATTGTGCCATTTTTCCTAATTTACACTCAAAGCTACTTCAACGCTGAGTATCTTTTATCACTTCAGGGAGCTTTAATCTTGGAAAGCCACACAGTGTTAAATGTTTAAGGTACATCTTATTTTGCATTAATAGTCATATGAAAACAGCACTTAAGTACAACCATGAGGGCAAAGAGGGAGTTAATTTTAGGATTAAACAACAAAATAAGAAACTCTTTATCGCTGTCTATCTTTCACATCAGAGCAAAAAGGAGCACAGAACTTACAACAATAACAACTACAACATCTTGAATACTTAAATACTACTCACCAATATTTCATCATTTCATACACTTTAAACAGATATATCCAGCTCTTAAATTATAATATATTTTTCTAATCATATTAGACCGATAGGACAGATTATTTCCAGCGAATTTTGGCTTGTTGTGTGACAGTGTCAACAAAAATCAAATAAAGTGAAAGCATGGGGGGAAAAGATTAAAATGAATGAAAAAAGAACGTTTTTCTGGTGAAATAAAGAGGAAAAGATAAAAGAATAATTTCCATGTACATCTAAGGTATGTAATGACGACACCTGGTTTGTTTAGTGTGTTTTTTTATGGGTTGAAATAATGTAAACACCATAGACTGTATATACTATTCTTTATACAGGTATACATGGTAAACACTAAATACCAATCTATTATAAGGAGGATGTGGCGTTGAGGAAGAGGCGGAGGTAGATTCCCGCGGGAAAATAGACAAGAGAGCAGGCTTACCTGAGGAGTGAGGGCCTGTAAAGGTTGTAAAGTGACCAATTTACACTTCGATTAAGAAAACCTGAGAGGAAAGTATAAGCAGCAGTCACAACAATCTACATTTAACACTGTCCCGGACGGACCCTCTGCGCGGAACTGGACTGTGCGTCAGGGAGCATTACTTGGATCCGTCTACTCTCTGGTGGATTATGGACTGATTCTGGTGAGATCGTCTTTTTTAGGGGGTTACTTTTTCTGGTACACCAGTTTTAGTGATCAATCGATAAAAAATTTTATGTGTGTTGGGTGGATTTTTCTTTGGTTTCCCTTTTGGATTAAAGACAACTTTTGTTCACTTTTCCAACCGGTCTCAAAAGGATTTAAAAGACACTTAAAAGGGTTTCGGGGAGGATGAGAACTCATTTTTAGTTAGTTTGGGACTTTTAGTTTGTTTTGAATTTATAAAGTTTGTGATTTAGTCGTTATTGTGGTTGTGACCTACGTTTGATTCAGTTTTACGCATTTGGTTTTTACGGTCTGATTAAATCTGAAACGCTTTTACTTCACAAAGGTATCTTGACAGTTTGATGATTATCAAAGGAGACGACTTAGTGTTTCTCTCAATCTGATTCATTTTTCTGACGTGAAAGGTTTTCTATTTTCCGTTTAAGTTCCCCTCTAAAGTGTGATTCAACGTTAAATTGAGAAAGGTTAAGTCATTACAGTTGTATCATGCAGTAACAAAAAAAAGCCAGAAGATGGCGCCAAAGTCACAACAAAAATCTACACAAACTCTCGACCGTTAAACTCAAAAGAGAAGCATTGGAGGACTGAAGTGGCCCAGCTGGAAAATAAAAAGGAAGCAGATCTACAAACAAATTATGGAAGAAGTCTTTAAATTACTTTCCATGTTTTCTCTTTCCTGGTTTATAAAAACAGCTGAACTTAAAACACTTAAATCTTAATCACTTTTGTAGAGGCAGTAATTCAGAGTTGCTCTCACTAGTTCTGCTCATGTTGCTGGATTGTAAGACAGGATGTTTCTCCACTTTTCTGTGTCAGAGATGGTTGTGGTCCAGCCGCTCCTCAGGACGCTCTTACATCTGTGCTCACTGACGGTTATTATTCACAGACTCGAAACACCAGCCTGAGACACAAACTCACTCTGACCACTTTTACCAAACATCTTAAAGCTTGACAACTTAAACAAAAATACTGTAACCACAACCATGCCTAAACTCTTAAACAACCCTTTTATCAACTAATTCTATCAGTCAACACCATGTTTCACGGTCCACTAGACTTCTCATCGTTTCTTTTCTTATTTTCTGTCCTTCTGTACTTTCAAGGACATGTTTTCTTCTCCCTGTAATTACTCCTCCCTGACTACTTTTTGTTGCTGTTGTTTTATTGGTTTTCTTATCTCTGTTGATGACATCTACCTGCCAAAGGGACTAAAGATGGAAGTTTGGCCATAATCTTGGATATTTACATGTTTATGTTCATTAATATGTATTGTCCCTGTTTTAAATAAATAAATCCTGATCTGATCATCCCTGAAGTTACTTCAGTTGTTTAGATTGAATCATCGTTCAATGGGGCTTTGACCAATCAGGATCAAGTATACGACTTGAGCTAGAAAATAAGGTAATAAGTCGCTTTAGCACCCTTGCTTCACTCTACCAACCAACTGAGGAAATGTTAAACTCAAGGGGACATTTACTACATATATTATCTTAACAAAAGATCACTGTCACAGTTTGTATATCTAGAAACTGAAATTAAATGAAACCCCTGACCCCCTTTTCATATCTATACATGCTGTTTTAGCCACACACACGAGAAGTTATTGCACAACAGTAGTTATCACTCTTCCATCAGTGATGAGATTATAACACAGAGGTCATGTTTCTACTGCAGCCTGACTCAGGGGCACTTTTGTGTCAATAAGACTTTAACATGTCAGAAACTAATTCACAGAGACCAAACCTTGTTTCCTGACGACTGTAATTATCCAAACTTGTTTATTATTCTTGTCCGACGAGGATGAATCCTGATGATGGAAACACTTTTCACTCACCTCTGACCTGCTGCTGCGCCTCTGTTTCCAAAGTGGAGTTTGTGTTTTTTCATAGGAAGACTAAAGGGACTAATATAGAGATGTTAGAAATATCTCACATCAGCAGCTTTGAGCAGGATGCTCTAAAAACCTGCTGTTCAAATTAAAATAATTAGGACTTATTATAAATGCTTTTCTTTCACTTTTGTTTCTCGTCCTCGTGCCGAAGGATACAGGTTTAACTGCATTTTTGAAAATGCCACTCTTAACCTGAAACACTTCCTTACGTATTTCATTCACTGCAAAGCTGCCAAGAAAGCGGACCTCTCAGTCAGGTAAGACGTCTAAGTTCACTACTAAGTTGTCCTCACAGCTAAATACAACGTTGATCTAACCTGCAGTTCAAGATGAATTCTAAATTAAAAAACAAGGGTATCTGCAAATATTCAGTTTGGTTTGATTTTGGAGCAAACTGTGTTACTTTGAGTTAATGTATGTCACAGTGTTGGATGAAAGACTTTTCACTATTTAAAAGAAGAAAAAAATGACCTTACAGTTTGTTGAGTAAAAATGAAAAAAAAAAATCACAACATTTAGGTCTCATCTGAAATAATAAAGAAACTTGGAGCACTGAATTGTTTAAGTTCATCATTTCACATCAGGTATTATAATAACTATGAACTAGATAGTGACCATAAATGTAATCCTCATTTATCTGCTGCTGACCACTAGTAGGACTATATTAATTATAGATGAACGAATAAATGAATGAATTGAACATCATGTGCTGAATTGAGCTTTCTGTTATCATTTAACTTGGACCTCTGACCTCTATTCACAGGTTCTCAGTTCATTTTCTTCATCTTAACTCTCTGAACACGTGATGGTTTCTCAGCCTCTGGTGGACTGGGACTCTGGTCTCTGCGATTGTTTTGAGGAAGCCAGTACCTGTAAGAACCGAGTCCACAACTTTCACACGTTTTTAGTTTTTTTGTTTTCTGACATTCAAGAGTAAAAGTGAAGTAACCTGAAGATTCTTTTTTATGCTTCTGTTGCAGGTTGCTATGGTTTCTGGTGCTGTCCTTGCCTCGCCTGCACAGTGTCAGGGAGACTTGGAGAGAATCGATGTCTCCCATTGTGTGACATCTGCAGCCCTGCAATCCTCGCAGTCTGTGGGCATCCTCTATTTATTCCTCCTGCAGGCCTGTCAGTGAGGGCTGCTTTGAGAAACAGATATGGAATCAAGGTATGATGTTTGTTTATCATCAGATCATGGAGCATGTCTCTAAATGAACATAATGATGAATTTATATTTGTTAATATTTGTGACGTTGTTCTCCTGCAGGGCTCTCTCTGCAGGGACATCGCAGTGGCGTGTTTCTGCGGGTGGTGTAACTGGTGCCAGATGCACCGGGAGTTAAAACATCGTAAGAAAACTCCCACTGTCATCAACATGCAGAATCAAACCATTTTTACCACACAGCCTCCCCCGGTGATGATGATGCCCCAAGGTATGATGGGCCAACCAGGGGGCTTCGTGACTCCACAATACTGAGCTCTGGAACTTTTTATCTGTTGTCTCATGTAAATATCCACTTTAGTTGATATAAAAAAACTCTTACTGCTCTCAAAAGTCGGAATTAACTGAACTGTTTTGATAAATACTGTCTAAGAATGAATACAGGAGCGTATCTTAATCATTAGCGAAGCACTTATAGACTAAAAATGTTGATGTACTTGAGATATATTTGATAACACACACCGAAGCATTTGCATGGCTTCGTCACCATGGTAACAACCTAGCAAGATTAATTTGGTTGTTGTTTGTGTATGAGTTTCTATCTCCTGCTCAGAAAAAGATGTTATCTTTGCAAACTAGCTTTGTACATCATTCCAAGGCGGCACATACATCACACCAGATCTTGTCGCACCTGAACTCAGTCAGCCCCAACAGTGCTGACAGAGTTCAGGTGGAGTTCGTAAAGCCTTGTGAGTTCAGATTTGGCCTCTTTTACTGCAGGACCAACTCTAGAGATGATTTAGCTCTTCTCGTCTTTTTTCATGTTTTGTATTTTTTATTTTACACCCACTGGATGTTCTGATCTTCTCTGTCACACAAGGCTAATTTCACTGTATCAGTTTGACCAATAAAGCACTTGGAAAAAAAAATATTCCCCAATGTGTCTTTTTCAAAAACAATGTTAGACTCTTGGCTCTGATGTGTATCAAAAGTCTGGAGTTTGGAGATTTGTGTCCTTTAAGTCCTTACATTTTCTCTACGATGCCTCCTTTATGATGAGCTTTTTATGGGAACAATTAAGGCGAGAGTGTCTCCTTTTAAAAGAAGAAAATTAAAAAACCTGCTTACAAAACTGAAACTAAAAAAGATAAAGACAAAAGAGATTGATTTAAAGGAAGTCGGCAAAAAAGAGGAAGAGGACCTTCAACAGTTACTTTCATTTCTGCATCAAAACTGTGAGCCAAAAGCTGAGACTTTATGTCAGCTAATTAAGTTAAAGTTCACAAACTTTAACCTGAATGAAAATGTTTGCCAAGTTTAATGTTAATTTGACCATTACGAAGGCTGAAAGGGTTACTGTTGCCATGGAAATGTTACTAACTATTCAAAGTGAAGGCCTGTATTATTGTTTTGGCTGTTTAAAAAGATCATTTGTAAATCAGTAAAATCATTTATTGGTTCTTTGTATTTGTTTGGAGGGGTTGTAAGCAGGATAATGTAGAGCTAACTTCAGGGTGGACAGGACCCAGAGCTCCCCCTATCAGGATTGTTCTCCGCAAGATTAAAAGACTGGTTCTGTCTTAAATGTGTAAGCAAACCTCACATTGGGCGCTTGCAGTATCCATGATTGAATGTTGAACTATGATTTGTTTAATGAGACAGTTTTCCTCCACACCTCAGTCCATCTTAAAAAGTCTGGTGTCCAAAAACCTTGTCTAAAACCTTGTCTTTTCTTCCGCTTCATATGGGTGAAGCAGGAGAGAAGCCCAGATGGCCCTCACCCCGACCACTTTCACCAGCTCCTCCGGGGGGATTTCCAGGCGCTCCCAGGCCAGACCAGAGATATCATCCCTCCACCTGGTCCAAGAGGTCTCCTCCCAGTGGGACATGTCTGGAACACCTCTAACAGGAGTCTTCCAGAAGGCATCCTAACCAGATGCCCGAGCCCCCTCAGCTGACTCCTCTCGACGTGGAGGAGCAGTGGAGGAGCAGTGGTTCTACTCTGAGCGCCTCCCAAGTGTCAGAGCTCCTCACCCTATCTCTAAGGCTGAAATTGTTGAATCGTTGATTCATGCAGCCTCTCACACAGAGAGATTAACTTTCACCTGTTTATACCTGAGAGGTTCTAAATGTCATATGACTCACCTTTTGCAAATCAACTCAGTTAGCTGGAAGATCTCACTGCAGGTGTCTCTGTTTTTAGCATTGAGCTCGTACAAAGAGACTTCACAACAGGACACAAATTTATGGAAATTTCTCGAACAACATTCATGCAGTTTTAGCAGTCTTATCTTTATATTCACAGTTTGCTGGATTTATTTGAACACCTGCACATCTATTCAAAGCCTTTCCAAGTAATGAGGAACAGATATTCATTCATTCATTCATTCATTGCTCTATATTTCTTTTCTGCAGTTTCTTGTTCCTTGAACGAGAAAACAGAACTTTAATTCGGGGTTCACAGATGGTGTTTTAACCACAGAAATGTCTTTTGCACTTTCGCTGTGACTGTCAGTGAAAGGTTTCTCTCAAATATGAGCTGTAATGCTGTTATGGTTTAACTACAAATTATTCTTCTTGACTTTCAGCTGCAGTTCAATATTCAAAAATCAAAGTGGGTTCAAGGGAGCAGCATTCAAGATCCAACAACAATTCACAACTACACGAAACTCCCGAGAACGCATCACCCCTGTCCTCCAAAAACTGCACTGGCTCCCCATCTCACACCGCATACAATTCAAAATCCTCCTGCTCACCCACAAATCACTTAACAACCTGGCCCCCACCTACCTCACAGGCCTGCTCCACCACTACACCCCTTCCTGTGCCCTCCAATCCTCAGAGGGAAATCTCCTCGGACCAAGCACCAAACTTTGGGTGACCGTACTGACCCCCATACTTTTACATAACGCCTAAAAACACACCTTAAAATTGGCTTTTAACCTGTGAACTGTTCTTTTTCTGTTTTTTTTAACCTTTTACATCATTTTTTTATTTCTCAAAATTTTCTGTATTTTAAATTGTTTTTTTATTTTATTCCTTTTTTTTGTAAGGCGTTTTTGAGCTTGTTATAGATAAAATTTATAATTTATTTTATTGTTATTTATAATTTGTTATTATATTCTGCTTTGTAATTAGAATAATGCAGAGTGATGTCAGGGTTGAGGAAAAAAAACAAGGTTAAAGGAGGACTCCTTAGAGACATCATGCTGCCCAGCAAGTCTCGGTCTGCAGGGACAGAGTCAGTCTGCTCCCTCCTTGCTGCTCCAAGAGCCCTCCTCCTACCTGAGTGTTCGAAACGCAGCAAGTGAAGGAGAGAGGGAAACCAGAGAGACAGTGAGAGAGAGTCATAAAAGCAGCATTTAACGGGTTAGAGGTCATTATTTTGGTGACACTTGCCACACAAGTGATGAGTAGAGAAAACCTGGTGGACTGGGACTCCGGTCTCTTGGACTGCTTTGAGGAAGCCAGCACCTGTAAGAACCAACTCCACAACTTTAAATCACTATTTTATTTGAATCAGTTTATTTTTTTCTGTTCGTGAAGAAAGCTAAGCCACTCTAAGAGTTTCTTCTCTCTCTGTTTCAGGTTGCTATGGTTTCTGGTGCTTGCCTTGCCTCGCCTGCACAGTGTCAGGGAGACTTGGAGAGAACCGCTGCCTCCCCTTGTGTGACATGTGCGGCTTTGGTGCACTATCACTCTGTGGGATTCCTATGTTTGTTCCTCCTGCAGGACTGGCTGTACGGGCTGCTTTAAGAAACAGATATGGAATCAAGGTATAACGTTTCTGACTTATTACCTGACACGTTGAGTGAGGAATACTGAATCTCAATTTTTTGATGTTTTTGATGTTGTTTTCCTTCAGGGCTCTCTCTGCAAGGACATTTTCGTGGCGTGTTGCTGTGGGACCTGTAACTGGTGTCAGATGCACCGAGAGTTAAAACACCGTAAGAAAAAACCGACAGTCATCAACGTGCAGAATCAAACCGTCTTCAACACGCAGCCTGTCCCGATGATGGTGATGCCCCAAGGTATGATGGGCCAACCGGGGGGCTTCGTGACTCCACAGTACTGAGCTCTGGAACTTTTTACTGATCTGTTGCGTCGTGTAAATATCCACTTTAGTTGATATAAAAAAAACTCTTACTGCTCTAAAAAGTCGAATTAAATGAACTGTTTTGATAAATACTGTCTAAGAATGTATACAGGAGCGTATCTTAATCATTAGCAAAGCACTTATAGACTGAGAATTTTGATGTACTTGAGATATATTTGATACTTAAAATCAATATTGCAGAGTCAGTCATATATTTTTTGTGTGAGGGTTGTGTATCATTTGAATAAATTCAGCTTGAATCAATCTCTATCTTTCCACATGCTTTGCAGTTTTCATTCAGTTAACTCTGGTCCAGCTTTCACACTTTATTGGCTGGCTCCTGAATTAAGTATTTCTGATTTAATTATGCAGAAAGCAGCTGGTAGATGGCTGAAAATGCTCTCGTATATGTGTAGTGGGTCGTAATAATGGGAACAAATGACCAGCAGGGCTGATTGATGGTGCGTCCTGCTGTATTTGTGGAATATTTGCATTGTTGTACCTGCAGCTTGTTGCCATGATGACAGGTAGCTGACATCTTTATTTGGTTCTAATTTGCATCTGAATATAACTCCACACCCAACTTACAGGAAAAAGACAAAGCCTATAACTTGAGTTTCCAAATCAGCGTCTCACAGTGTAGAAAATCTGGTTATGTCACGCTGTTTACCAGGGTAAATCGCTTGACTTGGCGAACACGAGTCATCTATATGTTGGTGACCGAGCGAGGTTCTGGTGAACGACAAGAGCAAAAAGAAAGCAAATCTTCTTTTAAATCTTACTTGACTTCTGGTAGCAGAAGAAGTAAAAGGTTTCTCCGCAGTTCAAAATCAATTTTACTCATATTAACAGAGACAAAGTATAAAAAATGACATTATATTCGTTTCTGAACAACAATAAAACCTGTAATTTCAGCCTCTTGTTGTGAAGCACAAAGTCAGGAGGTAGTTCACTCTTTTTTTCTTTTTCATGATTTGTTTTTATTATTCAACAAACACTGACAGCAGCTGTATACATCCTCAATGAGAAATGATTTTTTCTGTTTGATTTTGATCATTTTAGAGCGTTATTTCGACCAACAAAACACTTGTATAAAATGTTTTGACGAGCTGCTCTAGGCGTCCTTTTCAACAAGTCCTTTTGGGGTTGATGTGCATCCAAAGTTCAGGGTTTGAAGATATGTGGCTTAAAGTCCTTGAGTTTTCTTCCCTGTTAAAAACTGTTTCCTGAACGATGAGCCGTTCACCAGAACGATGAAGCTGGGAGTGCCTCCTTTGACAAAAAACCTGTTCACACAATAGAAATGAAAATGAATCAAGATGAAGGAGAAAACTCAGATCGCAGGGTGCAAACAAGATTCCTAACAGATCGATCTGTCACAGATACTCAGTCCAGGATTAAAGAAAAAAAAAAGTTAAAGTTCAGATTAAAATGAACAGTGAGGGCTCTGTCAGACTCAGAAGTAAACACGGCTATCATCAACGTCTGTGAGGGGGGAGGTACCAGACAAGATGACCTACGATCTGCAGAGGAAGCCTTTCTATTTTCTTTTTTAAATAATTTGATGGTGAGTGAGGAAAACTGATTTATTTTACTGTTAGAAGAAGAAAAGGTGAGTTTTTTGTTGTTTTTGGACAACACTACTTACATATGTACACGACAAACTTAGCAAAGATGTCAGAACTATCACATTGTTTACAGAGGTGGCCAAAACCAACATGACAGAAAGTTCCTCACGGGAGCTTTACCAACTTCAAACTTCTTGCCTCGTCTGTCTTCCTGTTGTTGTTTGATGTGATTTATGAGTCCTTTTAACTCATCGTGATATTTTTTCTTCATTGGTTTACCTTTTATGTTGCAGCACTTTTAAAAGCGATGTCTCAGGGTGGACTTGGTAAAGAGTCTCGTTCTTCTCATCTTCAAAGTACAGCTGGAAAAAGAGGACAAGTCAAGTTTGGTTTAAAGACGGTTAAAATTCAATCATTTTATTGTTATAAATCAGAACAGCTGATTCTGTTTAGGGATTAAAATTAAAGGTCACACAGACACACCTCTTAACCAAAATACTTTCCCAGAGAAAATTCCCTTTAGCGCCTTATTAGAGTTGAGCAACTGCTCTAACTAATCAAGATAAATCTTGTTTAACACGTTCGTTTCTATGACAGCCAAAAAAAATATTCATTTGCATGTTTCTGTGGCCACATTTTCACATTTTCACACACACACACACACACACACACACACACACACACACACACACACACACGTGCACTAAAAAAAACTGTGTGGACTTGATCAATCAAATAACATGTACTTAAGATACAAACACTTCTATTTGTTGGGTTGCTGCTGCACAAATCTGGGTCTTCAGTAAAAACCTAAATGTGTCAAAAATGTTTCCCGCTGTAGTCTGTAAGAAAAGGTTTTATTCAAAAATGTAAGGATGCAGAACAAAGGAGCAAAAATACTTATGATACTGACCGCTACTGGATGATGATGATGTGGTTTTGTTTGAAACAGTTTCAGGGGAAAATTAAAGGTTTCTTCTGCATATTTGCTTACAAGGAAAGAGTAGATCTAAGGCAAAAAAACAGACCTGTAAATTTTGAGGCTGATATTTTCTGTCCGTGTCCCAAGGTGGAAGTTCTTCTCCAAACATGACCACCAAGTGATCGGAAAAACTGGAGGGAAAAACACAGTGATTTAGAAATCAAGTGGTTATTTGGTAGCTAAATTTAAGATTAAGATAACTTTTAATCAAGTAACTTATATTTATGTTTTAATGTATGAAAAAGAGAAGGGAAGATGAACAACACCCCACTATAAATGGTTAAAATAAGCGTAGACACACAGGGAGGAGTTAATATACCAGTTATTCTCGCTGAAGGCCGAGATGAAATCGCTCTGCTGGTGTTCAGGATAGAGGAAGAGAACGGGCCAGTGAAGAGAGCCCTGCTCGTCCAGGAACACCTGAGCCCCCGTCACCTCCTGAGAGCTGAGTCCATCCAGACTCAGCTGTGATATGGCTGCAGAGGAGCCTTTGTCCTCATCCTCACTGTCTGAACCGCGCTGACCAGACTTCACAGGCTGCAGGAGCTTGATGCCTCGATCCTGCAGAAAGCACAGAAACAAATATCGGACATGTGCAACAACAACAGGGACAAAAACAGCTGGAATCAGCTTATAAGAAATAAGAAACGTCTCTGGAAGTCAGTTTTTAAAGAGGTTCCAGTGAGTCCTTACAGGGTGTGTTTGTGGTATTAGAAGGTTTTTCATTAAAGCAAAAGTGACTAATTTTTCTGACGTAGAATGGTGTAAAGTTAAACTCCAGCTTTTGTGTTATAATGACTCACCTTAATAGCAGCGAGGAGAGCTTCCTTTGCACCGAGCAGCTTCTTTTCTTTTGCCTTGGCCTTCCTTGCATCTCTATCAGCTGCTCTCTGAAGAACAAAAAGATAAAACATGTTCAAACTTTCCTGAAACTAAAACTTTCTGTCTCATTTATAAACCCATGAGAGTCTGAACCTTGTGTTTATCTGCTGCAGCTCTGAGCTCCAGCAGCTTCTTGTCTGTTGGATGGGCTTTGAGCCCCTCCTCACACCACTGCAGGGCCTCTGCATAGTTGCGCAGCTCAATACAGCACTGAGCACCTGAAAAAATACAAGATTTATCGACTTTTTCATTATCCTTTTATGGCAGTATTGTATTTTGTTGAAGTTAACATTGCAAATGAGACGCTTGTGGTTAAATATGGCTCCTTCGGCTCATACATTCTTTGTACTGACCTCTGATTAAGGCTTTAAGGTGGTCTGGTTTGATCTTCTTGGCAGCAGCAGCATCATTGAAAGCTGATCGCATGTTACCTGAGTGAGAAGAACCAGAAAAGCCTTGGATGAAGTAAAACATTCATATTCTTGATACCGGCACAACTGTTATCTATTGAAATATCCTTGTCATGTTTCTGAGTACGGAAGTAAGAGTCCTTCATACCCAGGTGAAAGTGAGCTGCTGCTCTGTTAGTGAGCAGCATCATGTCCAGCTCCTGATCTCCACATTTCTTCTTCAAACCTGCCGAGTAAGCCAGGATCGCTTTCTCATACTTCTTCTCTTTAAAAAACACATTCCCCTCATCTTTCAGGCTCTGGGCTTGCTCTGTGGAGAGATAGGACAAATGATCATACCTAACAGTCTCTTTATGTCCTGACATGAAAGATGTTAAAGACAGCTGTGGTCCACCTACCCTCTGGAGATCTGTCTTCATCGTGGATGATGGCCTGGAGACAGGCTAACTCTGGATACTGCTGTGGGTCAATCTCTTCAGGGGCTGTTTTCATGAACATGGGGACTTTATTAAACTCCTGGAAAATATAGAAATAACAACAGAGGTCAGAAAATGTACCTCTTTCAACATTAGCTCTACAGAAGCTGACACAGCCCCTCTCATAATAAAACTAAATATTTTCTGAAGCTGAAACCCAAACAGATTTTTTTACCTCCTCCCAGTTGTTCTCGCTGAAAGCATTTTTGTATCTCTGGGTTTTAAATTTATCCATAAACTCGTCCATCCCATCGTCACTGTCATCCTGAACCCCCGTGGACGCCATTTTTAATCAAATGTTTATGAATTTTCCGTTAATGTACAAATTTACTGCGACTATGTAAACACACGAGCTATCTTTACGGCAACCTCCACATGTCGCTACCCGAGCCGTCCCGGAAACCCGATTCTTACTGCGCATGTGCGAAAAGTACACGCGTACCGCCTCTACTCGCCATAGATATAAACGTTAGATGGCTCACGCACGCTGTTAGCCAATGGAGACCGACGTCAGCGCATGGCGGCCATCTTGCTGCAGGTAACTCGCCCACTCACAACATCACAGTCTACGGTGCATGTAGCATTTAAATAACCATAGATTGATTCATTTTAAACCGATTTTCCAACGGTTTGGTTTGTTTTAAAGCTAAGAATTTAAGTTATGTTACTGCATGCATGCATGGATTTTCATACATAAACATTAAGCAGATAGGTAGGCTCTACCTATCTGCTTAATGTTCATGTATGACCTTTCGTCAGCGACCATAGAGCGTACCAGAATGGAATACTGGAGTAAAATGGCCACCGAGGAGGGACACCGGTGACTCCGCCTCGAGACATCTAGTCCTTCTTATAGATATCTATGTCCACTGCCTCTATGAGCCATCTTTGCGACAGCTCAGCGGTTTACGACAGTTTTTAAACTTGTTCCAGTACTTCAGCATCAGCTCGCTTTAGTCAGTCAGAATGGATACTTCAGTTTATCACCAACTCTTCTTGTCAGAGAAAATGTTAATATGTGGAAAACTGGAGCAGTTAGTCACCAGCCTTAAACGAGACAGCGTAGGTGTCCCATAGCACGGTTAGAGACGAGGTAAACAGTGGGAGCTCATGGCCGTGGAAGACGAAGCTAGTTTGATAACCGGAGGAAAGAAACACTTTAAAAACATGACATGAAAAGTAAGAAACAACCCTTTCATATCGGAGGTTACAGAGACTGTTTGTTGTAAAGACGGATTTAATAACCAGAATGAAGATGTTTATGATCTCATGAACCCCTTTGTGACTTTTCAGGAGTTAACGCTGGTATCACATAGAAGTTTCTTTTGTGTTAAGGGAAAAAACTGTCCTTATGTACAGAGTTCATGTGCTTATATATGAACTCTGCTACAGAGAATATTCTGAATTTGCCTTTTTAAACTTTTTGTCAACTCAATGGAAAACACCTGAGTGTAGTCTGTGGGGAAAAAAGCTCTTGTTTACAAATATACACAGTTTGTTGAACCCAGAATTTTTCATAGATATTCATTATTACTGGACTGCTGACCTGAGAGTTTGGTGGAATATATAACTTTAATACAATAAAACAAAAGAAAAGAAAAGAGAGCTCTGTCTGTCTGTTTAAAGTTGTTCAAAGTTGTATTTTTGTCTCTTGCAGATCTGTGGACACGATGGATGTTACTTTGGAAGAAGAGGGACAGAGTGGTCATCGTCCCTGAGCTGAAGCTCTAAAGTAAGAGGATTTTCTTTGTATCTCAGCTGTAGTTTCATGTTTCAATGCTGAGATTTAACAGCTGAGAGTTTAGCTGGTTTTTAGGCTTCTTTAGTTTAACTGTAGAGAAAATGATCTGACACGGTTACTCACAGAAACCTCTCAGCAGCCTCAATAGTCTCACATTGAAGGTTTCAGCATGAGCTTAAGAAGCCAAGACTCCGTGCTTATGTTTATTAATGTTAAATAAATCCTCTTGAGCTCCTAGAGGGTGAGAAAAGGCTGTTTGATTGAGGGAAGCCACAAGTTTATAAATAAAAAAACACAAAGACACAACGTGACTCTGTGTCTCTTTATTTTAATCAGATCTAGTCTAGTTGAATTTTGCGCCACCGGATACCATCCACACTTTGGGATGAGCTCTGCGCGCTTTTATCTTGGTATTTTGGCTCCTGGACTTTAAAATTCACCTTGACCTGGATAAGGCTCGAACCCGTGACCACAGGAGTCCCAATCAGTCTTCTTATCCTTTGAGCCTTGCGGACACACCAGAGTATTCTGTTTGTTTCGTCTCATTATCAGGCTTCTTCTGTGTTTCTCAGACATTAGTATGTTGTTTGCTTTAAAACAGTAACACCTCCTGTCCACCAGAGGGCACAAACAGAAAACTAATGAAACATCAGGCCTCAATCATCTCTTCCCTCCACCAATAAACTGCATCCATCACATGTTTATTTATTTTAAAGCCCCCACACACTAACAAGTGTTTATCTCAGCATTCATGTTTGTTATTCACACAGTTTCCACTCGTCCCATAAGGTCCCACAGTCCATCTTTGCTGAGAAACATCGTCTCGCCTGTCTGCTGACAGATCACCTCATACTTGGGTGTTTCCTCCACAGCTCCCTGTCCCACCACAATAACATACGGGTAACCGAGTCTGCTGGCATCCTTCAGCCTCTTTCCAATGGTCATCTGTGTGCGATTATCGAGGACTACTTCACCTCTTAAACGAGGCAGAGTCTCTCCCAAAGTGTGGACCAGTTCCTCTGCTAGAGCTCCTGCCTCATCCACTTTACTGCCCTTCTTTGGGGGTAAAACACAGACCTGGTAAGGGGCGAGAAGGCCGGGCCAGCGGATGCTGTCCTCCGTTGACAACACCTCGATGGCTGCAGCAAGAATGCGCGTTACCCCAAGACCATAGCAGCCCATTTCAGCAATGCACGGCTTATTCTGTGCATTACTGAAGGCTGCATTGAAAATATGAGAGTACTTTTTACCCAAGTAGAAGGTGTGGCCGACCTCTATACCCTTCGACTCTGTCAGGGTGCCAGATTTACACTGTGGGCACTCAGTTTGGTCTGATGACAGGGTCTCTATGTTAGCAGAGAAGGAGCAGCTCCCACAGATGAGCAGTCTGTCCTCTCCGATCTCTGCTGGGAGCTGGAACTCATGGGAGAGTTTACCCCCAATATTGCCTGTATCTGCCTGCACCTGAACGCAGCGCAGGCCCAGCCGGGTGAACAGCCTGGTGTACGCCTCGCACACAGACTCATAGGTCTCATAAGCTGCTTCTTCACTCACGTCAAATGAGTACATGTCCTTCATGTAGAACTCCCGCCCTCGAAGAAGACCAAACTTTGGTTTTGGTTCATCCCTGAATTTCCGTGTGATCTGTGTTTCAGAAAAGAAAAGAAAATGTAAAAATAAAGCAGAGTCTTACAGAAAACACACGGCGTCCACAGAGAAAAGGCTACCTGATAGAGAAGCAGAGGGAGCTGTCTGTAGGAGAGAGTCGTCTGGTGAGAGACCAGAGTCGTCACCGCCTCCTCATGTGTAGGTGCCAGGCAGTAGTCTGCCCCGTGGCGATCTTTCAGACGGAGGAGCTCCTTTCCCATCAAATTCCAGCGATCACTGGTTTTCCAGAGATCAGCTGAGCACAAACTGGGCATATCCAGTTTCTGCCCACCAATCCCCTGCATCTCCTGATCGATTATTCTCCCCTGTTGGTTTCAGATAGAAGCTAAATGATCAGAATGGATGACCAATCATAGTGCTTACCTTTGAAAATGAAACAAAATGAATCAGGAATAAAAAAATGATTTGAAAAGGTAAAATTATTGAAATAAACAGCATCTATTGTAAAGGTGATTTAATCTGTGGATTCAAATAGCTCACTCTGTGTTTTTTCCACATAAAAAGGTCTCACCAGCTTCTCCATGGAGCGAACAGTGGCAGGAAGGTAGTAGTAACACCCGGGGTTGGATGGATGGATGAGCCCAGCCTGCTGCATCAGCCTCTGACTCTTACATGTCACCTCTCCTTGCAGCCGGTTGTCCGGACCCACATCGCGCAGGTTTGCAGGCTGGTAGAGACGAGACACCAGGAGAGTGGGTCTGATGGGTCTGGAGCTTGTGGAGGCAGGGACGGTGGCGTGTTCAGCAGCACATCCTGAATGGTTCCTCCTGGACAGGACTGAAGCTCTGTGGATACGCTGGAAGACTCGAGGCCAGATCTGATTCATTATGGGCTCCATGGGGGCTTCAGACCCGCTGAACTAGACAAACGCAGTCAGGGTGAAACACTCAACAAGCTGACAAAGAAATTCAGTTTTTGTGGCCTATCTGGTTTATTGAAATTGAAATGAACTTATTGATAACTTATGTGTTTAAGCTAAAATAAGATGGTCGGTAAAGAAAATAAAGTATTTTATAATAAAATTTGTATCTAGCTGTTATCATAAAATGGAGCTTGAATTATAACAGGGTATGAAATCATAAACAGTGTCACTAAAATGTCAGTATTCATTGGCTTTTTTTCCAGAAGGATTCTAAAGTTAAAGCGTTTTCACAAATCTGAAACTGTTTAAAGAAGTCTGTACACCCTCTCAAATGGAGACTGGTTTTGGTTTCTTTGACCTCAGCTGCAGCGGCCTACGAATACGTATCCAACTTCAGTGTCGTTTTCCATTTTATTCTGTTGTTTATAAGAAACTTAAACCTACGTTTTCAGAGGCTGAGTGTTCACTCACAGTGATGTAAAAGAGGAATACGTGAGGACGAGGTGGTCTCACCTTAGACAGCTCCATAAATAAGCGACACACTGACATTTACAGTCACTTCACAGCTGTGGTTAAATATACCGACATTATTGGTGTCCGTACGCTTTCAGCAAAACTCACCACAACACGGACCTTCTGTCTGTTTGTTCCCAGTTGATTAATAGAGTAAAGAAGCAAAAGCTGTCATTTTTATAAAGCTGACAGGCAGTAAAACACTGAAAGTCCTTCCACCATGCTGCTTACTTCCTTAGCTTCAAGCTCAGAGGTTCATCTCTGAATTACTACATCGCCCCCTGCTGGTGTGGAAGAGTAACACAGTTTCAGGAAATCTGCAGCGCCGGTATAAATGATTGGTAAAAGTGATTAAACTCTGTGAAAACAGAAAAATGTCTAAGTCTCCATAAACACTAGGTCACAATTACAATTTTTCTCTCCAACACATATGCCAACACGTGGAAATAAGGTCTAAAGTCCTCCAAAACAAAGATGATGATGATAATAATAATAATGATAATGATAATAATAACAACAACAACTTTATTTGTACAGCACTTTTAAAAACAGAAGTTTACAAAGTGCTTTGACATATAGTCAGAGCACATGGAAAAAGACAAAAACAAAAATCTCAGTTGTAACAGGATTGTGGGCTATTTTCATGTCATGTTTGTGGTCTGCTTTATTCCATCATTGATTTCCACAGTGGTAACACTTGCATGTACTGAAGCTAAATTGTTTTAACATTGGATGAAATAGCTGTAGAAAAATCATGAGCAATCAAAGTTTAAGTTGATATTTCTATCATATTGTTTTTACTTGTTTGGTTTGTTTACTTTTTTTTTTTTTTTAATAACAGGAGGACCATCGTAAGTTTTCATTTGTGTCATGAAAAAGTCTTCATCCTGGTTGTTTAGGTATTGCTAAATAAATCCAGCAGGTCTACTGAATTTTAAAACTTCAACAAAAAATGTAAATTACAAATTGATTTAATTTTTCATTCTGTGGTCATGTTGGGTAAAATTAAGACTTTAAGGTCAGGCTTCAATGAGCTAAAAACAGGAAACATTTACGCTGCAAGGGAAAGATCGACCCAATAAACGACATAAGGAGGAGAATTCAGTGACGTGCAAACACATTTGACGAGCTGTTTCATGTTGGCATGACTTCACCTCCTCACAGAGTCGTGTTTCGTATTTATGTACCAGGAAACATGAAATTACGTCATCATATTTGCATTTAGTCAGAGAGCATGTTTTTTCCCTTTAATGTGTCCTGTGTTTGGAAACAAAATAGGGCTGAATGAGAGACAAAAAACATCATTAAGTTGGAATCAGGACGTCAGTGCATAATTACCTGACCTATAAACTGTTAACAGGTTATGACAGGTCCTCATTTTTGGATTTTACTTTCAACGTAATTTAAAATCATGCTCTAGGAGCCCTGAAAAGACAGACCTTTACCTGATGAAAGTTTGGATCCAAACTGTTTCTAACAGATCATTTTTTTAAAGCATGCAGGGTGTGTCATCTCCTTCTGCTCATATGTTATATCGTGCAAACATGTGGGGAAATTTACTTCTTTTGACTGTAATAAACCAAAGATGCCACAATGTGAGTGTGTTTGACATTTATCTTTAATGAAGGTTTTATTTGAACAAACAGCACAAACTGTAATAACACTAACTTCAGGCACAGTTTTTACTCAAAGCTTTACATCTGGTCTAAAAATAACATTTCTTATGTATCAACAGAGACACACATATGAGGATTTTTTTTATGTTTAAGAAATAAAATTAAATTTTTGACATCCAAAAGCAAACATGACCATCAGACACAAGACAGAAGATTTTTATGTTGTAATTTGTAACACCTGAATCATGCGAGGGGGGATGAGTTTCTGTTTTTACAATTTCTAAAACAATAAATGATATATTTGACTGTCAAAAAAATCAGCAGGATGAGATTTTTTTGACAAATTACAAGCTTGCTTTGTCCACAGGGGGCGCCAAACTTAGTTTAAAGAAGACATTGATGGTTAAACGACACAGATAAGTCAAAAACATCTGTGTGTCCGAGGGTGAAATGAGCTAAAAATATAGAATATTTGATACGTTGTTATTGATGAGTTTTTATTGAACGTACTCTCCTGTCACATGTAATCTCAGTCTTTTGTTGACATGAACATGTAGTGTAGTCTGTGTTAATGCACTTTTACAGACTTTATAGCATTTCGTGTTTTTTATGTCATCATTTTAAAACCATTATTCCCCAAGTCAGTCCATGACACACATACAAACACACACCTGACAGTCAGCTCACGTGGCAAACACAGCCGAGTGTCTCTGTCCTCTCTTTTGAGTGGACACTGTGAACACACAAACAGACACACACACACAATCATGCTGCCCTGATGTACTTCTGAGCGGATTAGTTTTGTGTCTGTTTCTGTTTCTTGCATTTATCTTGTGTCTCTGCTTTTAAAATTTTGGTCCTCAGAGAAATGAACGACCGAATGTCTCCAACAGAAGCAAACAATCTTATTAGGACAGACTTTATCTGCACACATCACATTTACCTGTTTGTTATAATACTAAATATAGAAATGACATTTGTGAGGTTACAGAGTCAGTTCATGGTTTCCAGAAATGTAGCACAGAAAAACAGACCAGGACTCATGCAGTCATCATGAACCAGAAATGGAAGAAAGTCAGATCTGATCGATCTGAAGATATGATATACCTTTTTATCAAACTATACTAATACATTTTAATCAAACTATACTATGACATATTTATTTAGACTATTTTAAACTAAAATTTGACCTTTTTATCATACAATATTGTGACATTTTTATCATGTAAAATATTGCCTTTTTAACATACTTTAGTGTGTCATTTTCTTCACACTAAAATTGAAAATATTTATCATACTATACTATGACTTTTTTTCGTACTAAAATTTGAAAAAAAAAATTACACAATACTATGACATTTTTATTATACTACAATATTATATTTTGAACACACTTAAGTATGTCTTTTGTAACACTTAACTTTTTCTGGTTTATCAATAAACTTTTCTATCATTTTTTTAATCATAAAGTTTTTTTCATACAATACTATAAAATTTTTATCATACTATACTATGACATTTTTTTCTAACCTTATTGACTTTTTTATCATACTAAACTATGACATTTTTAACATACTATATATGTCATTTTTTTGTCAAACTAAAATTTCATATATTTATCATACTAATCTATGGCTTTTTTTCATACCACACTGTAAAGTTCTTTTTTTGTACATTACTTTGACATTTTATCTTACTTTACTATGACATTTTTTTTACTACATTTAAATTTTTTTATCATAGAATACTGTGACATTTTTAACATTTAAAATTATGAAAATTTTAAAATACTGTAGTACGTCTTTTTTCATACTAAAATGTGAAAGTTTTTTATACAATGACATATTTTTCGAACTAAAATTTGACCTTTTTATCATACTATACTGTGACATTTTTATCATCATATAATATTGCCTTTTTAACATACTTAAGTACGTCATTTTCACACTAAAATTGGTAATATTTATCATACTATACTATGCCTTATTTTAAACTTGAATTTGAAAATAAATTTAGACAATACTTTGTCATCTTTATCGTATTATAATATTACATTTTTAACATACTTAAGTATGTCTTTTTATCACTTTTTGAAAACTTTCCTATCATTTTTTTAATCATAAATTGTGAAAGTTTTTTCTATACAATACTTTGAAATTTTTATGATACGATACTATGACATTTTTGTCTAACTTAATTGACTCTTTTATCATACTATACTGTGACATTTTTTTCTAACCTAATTGACTTTTTTTATCATACTATACTATGACATTTTTATCATATTATAACATGACATTTTAAACATACTATAGTATGTCATTTTTTTTGTCAAACTGAAATTTCATATATTTATCATTTTTCATACCAAAATGTGAAGTTTCTTTTGTACATTACTTTGACATTTTATTGTACTTAACTATGACATTTTTTTACTACATTTTAAATTTTTTATCATAGTATACTTTGACATTTTTACCATTTAAAATAATGAAAATTTTAATATACTATAGTACGCCTTTTTCATACTAAAATGTGAAAGTTTTTTATACAATGTCATTTTTTTCTAACTAAAATTTGACCTTTTTATCATACCATGCTGTGACATTTTTATCATGTATAATATTGCCTTTTTAACATACTTTAGTGTGTCATTTTCACACTAAAACTGGAAATATTTATCATACTATACTATGACCTTTTTCAAACTTTAATGTGAAATTTATGTCATACTAAACAATGACATTTTAACATACTATATTATGATTATTAATTTACTACATAATGAGATTCTCTAACAAAATATAAAATGCCTCTTTTTTCATATCATAAAATACTATGACATTTTTAACATACTATGGAATGTCATTTCTTTCATACTAAAATTTAAAATACTATACTTTGACATTTTTCTTACTAAAATTTGACATTTTTATCATATAATACCATGATATTTTTATCATATTATACTATGATTTTTGACATACTACACTATGACATTTTACAACATACTATATTTAGACATTTTTTAAACTTAAATTTTACATTTTTGTCATAGTATACGTCAAAAATTTTAACATCTTATACTACGAAATTTTTAAAATACTATAGTATGTCATTTTTTGTGTTAAATTTAAAATATTTATCATACTAAACTATGACATTATTTTACACTAAAATGTGAAATTGTTTTATTATATTACACTATGACATCATGCTTTTCTACGATATTTTTTTTATTATACTATACTTTGCTTGTTTCTTTATACTCAAATAGAATTTTTTTTTAATCATGGTATACCATGACAATTTTTATCATACTATACCATGGCATTTTTATTACGCTTGATAATAATCACTAGAAGGTTGTCTATCACTCCCAAAGGTCATGATATTATAAGATTATGGCAAATGAGCTTCATTACTGAGTCAGTTGATGATAGAGTTTGATGGTGTTCCTAATGCTGTGCAATATTTCTTTCTTCAGCATTAAAGCATGATATAAGTCAAAATATTAAAGTTATGTCTCTATCTGAGTTTCAAATCTTCATATTTCAACCTTTGACACAACTATGGTGACCCTATAGCACAGGTATTTTAGAAAGAAATTAGATAATGTATGTAACTGGGCTATTGACTGTCAGGGCCACCATACATAATGGCCCAAATCCCAGAGTATATGTCATCATTTTGAGAGACAGATAGCAGCTCTCTTCCTGGTTCTGGGGTCATGGCTCCCACTCACCCTGTGACCTTTTATGTCAATGACCACTTGAGCTAATTTAGTCATCTTCATCACCTCTGCACTCACGTAAGTCATCAGGACAAAGTAACCTTAGTCCATCATAACCAAAGGAGTGCTGATTACAGCCATCAATGCATACGGGTTAATCAGGGTCAACATCAGTGTAAAAACATCAGGGTTCGAAGACCATGAGGAGGAATGAACAGCATACGGACAAAAAAAAACTGTTTTTACTCTCTGAAAATAACCTGACACGTCATGTGGACCATATAGGAAACCCCCCCTTCAAAAAAATACCTGGAATAAACTTTCAGAAGACTAATTTTAAATATCGGCTAAAATACAAAAAAATCCTCTTTTTTCAGATTGATTTTTCTTTTTTTTTTTTTCTTATTCTTTCTTTTTTTTTCTGTAAAAATTAAAGAACAAAGGCATGACTCTGAACACTGTGGTTTGTTCAAGGTCTGATCCTGTGAAACCAGTTCCAAACATCTGCAGAGACTAAACCTCCCCTAAGAATAATCTCTTCCCTCACATCAGCAGCCATGTTGTTGTTGTTGTTGTTGTTGTTTGTGTTCATCTCTGCAAGAAGCGATTGTGGGGGTGGGGTACAGGCTGATTGTGATTGAACACTTCACTGTCTTGAATGAAAGTTTAATTGATTTTTGAATATTTTGCACCAGCTTTTTTTAACTCCAGAGCTGTCTTTTTTTGTTTGTTTTTTTTTAATCTGTGAAGCGCTTTGGATTTATCAACCTCTGTATTTCATGCAACACAAATAGAGCTGTTGCCATTTCTGAATTTTTAAACAACCTATTATTATTCTTACACCTTTATTTTTTGTTTTTTTTCTTGTAGTATAAATTTTACTTGTTTGTTCTGTGTGGGTTTTTTTTGTATCAGTTCAAATGTTGTTCAGACCTCATTGTGAATGAGGTTGTTTTCCAGGTATTTAAATGATTATATGGTGAGGATAGGGCCAAATTTATGAAGAACAAAAACCTGAAAACTGCAGAAATGTACTTACTCATTGTTGGAGCACTCTGAAGGTCACTTTTTAAGTGATGTTCAGAGTCAGTCTGTATGGTAAACTTTTTACAGTTCAATCCAGAAAAGGGAAAAAATCGACCTCAGATAACCTGTGAATCACTTTCTTTGCATTTACACCCACAACTTTTGTCATCCAGTTCCATACCACACAGAACACACACCAACCGTGATATAATTTCATTGACATCCTGAGTGGGATCTCCACCTTTTACGATCACAGCGAAATGTCTTTCTGAGTATCAGCAGCATAGTAATGACCCACATGATGGAGTGTCAACATTGACTTTCCTCCTATCAAAGCACCAAAATACTGCTCCGAAGTCCATCAGAGTGCTGTAAACACCGGAAACACCTGTGAGATGGCAGAGGGGGGGCACTTTAAATCAGTAAATTAACCATGTGGTGTCCTAAAGGTCGCTGCAATCACGGCCTTAAATCACATAATCACAGAGAGGATGAGGAGGATAATGTGATTGTCAGTCGAGGGTCATAAACGAATGATGACCATCACTTTCTCTGAGGCGACTAAAAATGGTAGAGATGTCCGGAAACATAAAGTGACATGACAGAGAGGGGCGTGTGTGTGTTTGTTTGTGTGTAGGGATGGACTGAGACTGTCTGAAGGGTTGGAGAGGAGGAGGAGAGATACTCAAAGGTGGACGGTATATAATGAAAGCAGAGTTGGAAGAAAAGACATCAGCAGAGAGAGCAGATAAGAAAGAGGAAACAGCCGAGAGAGCAGACAGACAGACAGACAGAGAGATAAAGACAGAGACTGACAGACAGGTACCATGCGGGCTCTGGTGGTGTTACCTCTCCTGTTGTGTGCAGCCGTGCAGGTGGAGCAGGTGAGAGCGGAGGTGAAGGCGGTGAAGCTGTGTGGTCGAGAGTTCCTGAGGGCCGTGGTTTACACCTGCGGAGGCTCTCGCTGGAGGAGGTTTCTCTCCGAGGCAGACATGGATGGTGAGACAACAACTCTTTATGATTTGAGACAAGTCTCAGTTTTTTCTCTTTGAATGTATTTATTGAGTCTCTCCTCTTTGATTCAGGATTAAACTTAAAATACAACACAATAAAAATAACTTTTTTTTTGATGTGCAGGTCTTCCTTAAACCAGCAACCAAACTCCCTAAATAAAAACTGATGTAAAAATAGTTTTACTAGCTTTATAACTAGCTTTATTTGCACACAAGAGGAGCTTTGGATTTTGACCTCCAACACTTGCATTAAAGGCACATAAGAAAGGGACCTTCTTCAATGGTCAATAGGAGCTAAATGAGAGATCTATTAAAATTAAATAAAAAAATTTTAAGTGTTTATTCTGGTCCCTGACTCTTTACTCTTTACAAACACTGAACATTGTTCTCCTGTCTTTAGGAGTCTTTTTGTAGTAAATGTTTTCTATCAAGAGTGATCCACGGTGTTCCTGTATTTAATTCAACATCTATCATTATCTAAGATGAACTTCCAGGTATTTTTTCCTTTATAATCCATTTATATTTACCCACAAAGCATGTTCAAAAACAAAAGTACACAGAATTCAGTAAAATCCAAAATGACAAAGATGTATCATCACTCTTGGAAACCATTAAAGTAATAAGACCAGACAAAAGCAGCTGTCACATCGAGTTTATAGCCTCAAGTGAAAACAAACTCCATTTCTTTAAACATAAAAATCTCTTTTTTCCCCCCTAAGATGCTTAAGGTCAAAAACTGACCGAGGACCCAAGACATAAATTTAGCAGGTTCAGGTAAAAAAAACAAAATCTTGTTAAAATCTTCTGAAGTAAATTCTGAAGTTTGCATCCATCTTCAGTTGAAGTGAAGCCTTTTTGTTCCTTTGCTTAAACTTCTAATGCAGGTGATCTGAAACTGTTTGCTCTGTCAGTATTTCCATTTAGTTTTTCTGATGCTGCCTCCCCTGACTTGTAATGCATATCTATACATAACAGACAGGTATATTTTTTGTCGTCATTGCACCAGGTAGAAGGAAACTGAGCGTGCAACTCTCCCTTAAGCTTTTAAGAGCAGCATGACAATAAGTAAAAGTGACAGAGAGACAGAGAAGAACAAAACTACAGCAGCAGCAGAGGTAGTAGAGTCTGCACGATTGTTCAGTAATGGAGTAAACTTTGCAACAAGAGAAGTCAGAGAAGGCGAGGAAAGCTCTGTTAGTGTGAACCATCCATTTGTCTCTTTCAGTGAGAGCAGCTTTAATTTCAGCAAAATATTGTTGGAGTGAAACACAAAAACTTTAAGATTTTGATTTTGACTTTTCCAGTCTTCTGTAATTCTGGTTTCATGTATTGAATATTTCTGACTCAGGGACTTCAGTGTAGAGGGCGAGCAGGCAGACAGACAGATGTCCCTGAGGGAGAGACATTACAGTCTGTTATGTTATTATGTGAGAGGAGCACATATCTTGATTTAAAGATGCAGAAGTCTGTTCCCTGACCTCTCTCTGGGTCACTCATCAACAAACCCACTTAGCCGATCAGTCGTGCCGATTACAGAAGATAAATAACACTAAATTCATCAGTGAAGTACTTTGGAAACAAAGTCACATCAGCAGAGAGGAAGTGGATCTGCACTCACCTTTTCATGTGTGTTTTGTAGGTCCAGTTTTGCCTGCAGGAGATCACAACAGTCTGGAGGAGCTGAGCAGCAGTAACTCCCAGCTGACCAGACGGGACATGAATAACATCCTGACCACCGTGTGCTGCCAAGTAGGCTGCAGGAAGAGCGACCTCACCTTCCTCTGCTGAGGCCGACCCGTCTCCAACTTCTTTAATGTCTCTGACTCTGAAATCTGAGTGAAACTGCTGATGTTTGAAATTTATAAATAATGATTTCAGTGAATGTACAACAATCCTGATGTATACAGCTGCTATTTTTCTATTTTCTTTTGACATTTTTGTGACTAGAACTTTTTGTAGATGTGAACGTGTGACACTTGAGCATCTGTGAACATGTTTCTGAAACTAACTTCATGTGTAACCTGATGAATGTATTTAATCTTTAAGTCGTCCTGTGGGAATTAAAAAGCTAAAAGCACTCAGGGATGACGTTCAAGTGGGCAAAAAGGAAACAGATGTCTTAGCCGCAGCTTGTGTCCTGCATGTAGCTACGTCTCTACAGGGTAGTGGGTTTGTAAAATGTCCATCTCTGCACTGATGTGTTTGTGGGAAACTCCAGCTGTTTTCTGTCATTTCACTGTTTTGGCTAATAAATGTTCTTGCACAGAGCAGATGTCCACAGAGGTTGGTGTATTTTTTTTTTTTTACAGTTTGCACTCTGAAACAAAAAGTACAAAACTTTCAAACATCTAGATTCAGAAGCAATAAGAGCGTCATGTGATTTCCTCTTTTTACCGTTTCAAACTGAAAATCAAAAAATAAGTCATATGGCCAATTTGTTTGACTGTTTCTTTATGCAAAATGTGAAAATCAAGCTCAGATTTGGGATTTCTCCATATCCCTTGAAAGATTCTTATTTCGCTTGGAGTGTTTTAAGGTTGTAAGGCAGCAGGAGGAAGTGACAAGTTAGAATTTTCAGAATAAAAGCTATGTGTAGCTCATGAGGCCTTCAGTATCTATTTTACCTCGGAAGTTACTCTGAATAGTAGATTCTGTGTTCGGAAGCTACAAGGTTGCTGCTATTATTGAATGTGAACCACAGACTGTATACAGAATGGACAGAGTCTGCCTTCTTGCTGGGTGACGCCACTCCGAGAACAGCACCCTCTGGTGACAGGCTGCAAGTATAGGTCATAAATCCCGCCTCCTCCAGCAATTTCTATGGAGCTGTGGACAAACTTTAGAAATTTATTACACTGAAAATAAATTTTTCTCCCCCCTGCTTGTGATGTTGACATGTAGTTACTGTAAGACTGGTTTGTGCTCAAGTCCTCTTTTTTCTGTGAAGCTCCGTTTTTAAAAGTTATTAGGGGGTTCACGTTTTCTTTGATTGACAGCTGATACAGCCTCTGGGCGTTCAGGGATTGCGTAGCTCAGCCCCGGGCGATACGCTGTTTGAGCCGAGCGTCATCACAGCGACTCCCCTGCCAAATGCGCACAACGCTACTGCGCAGTGTCGGTTTCAGGAAATGAAGAAAAATCGCGGGAATACCGAGAGCTTTTTGGCTTCAAATCTGTATACTGGCGGAAGGCGGAACCAAGTTGTCCATAGTATATACAGTCTATGATGTGAACCTACATTGAACAGGGTTCCTACACAGTTGGAATTTCCGTATTCTTCCGTACCCTCCTTTTTAAAATTATTTTAAGAAATCCCTACTTTAATAATTTAGAAAACAGTATTTTAGATACTTTAGATATTTTATTATTATTATTATTATTTCAGAACTGTGGTAATAGTCTGGAAACAAAGATTTTTCCGTACTTTATTTTTCATTTTCCGTACTTTTCAAGACCTGGAAATTAATCAAATTACTTCCATACTTTTCTATACTTGTGTAGGAACCCTGATTTAACCACAGAAGATAATTGTGTGCTGAAGTGCTGCATGTGAATCCAGAACTAAACAGTAATAATGGTCCTGTGATTATGTTCATGACAAAGTAATACAAAGGCAAAGAAAACAGCACACACACACACAAGCGTCCAGTTATAACTTTTATTGGTTTTGGAAAGAAGCAAACTAAGTTCTCAGTTCATCTTAGCGTTGTTGTTGTTGTTGTTATGTACTGTACAAACAGCTTGCACATGTGTTTGAGGTTAACGGTACAGAACCAAAAAGCATTCTGGCTTATAGCACACATAGACACACTCCCCGCTCTCTTCTCAACAGTAATACAGCTAAGTGACACTCAGCACAACATGTCATTTCAGTACTATCTATCATCAGTCGACGACGCCCCCACCTTTACTGCACGCTCTGCATGCAATACTGAATTACTGCGGGACGAGTTCACTACAGAGATGTGCGAGTTTTGATCCAATTCGAACCAGGTGCCAGTCGCTGACTGAGAGTGAGTTTTGTTCTAGTGTAGTGGGAAACAAATGCATGATGGGAATGTGTACGGTGGGCCTCTGTAGATAATGCTGCAGTGACTGTTATGCTGATAGCTTAAAGGTTCACGAGGGAGGTAACAGCTTTCTGTCAGACACGCTGATCTGTCCAGTCAAGGACAAAGTGAAGGACAAACATGTCTGAGAGGAGCGTCACCAAACTAATGTGCGGGCTAAATAGCACCAATCATCATCACTTTGCACCGACAAAGTAACGCAGCCTCAAAGGAATCCGAAATTCGGCTAAAAGTCAGTTTTTACTTCAAATCTAATAATTTTAGAGACCGATCAGTCGTGTTTCGAAACCAAGTCTGTTAAAAAATTTGGTTTATTGTTGAAAGGAAGTCGTATCATGTTGCTAATAATCGACGTTTCTCTTCAGCAGCTCTGGAGGACAATGATTGGTTGCATTTAGCAGAATGCCGACATACAGTACAGTACGAAGATCACACACACTTTTTGTTCTTCACGTTGAGTGTCAGAGCATTCAGGAAGTTCAACATCGTCAGCACAGTGTTTTTTTTTTTTTTTACACATTAAACAATATAATATTTTTTCACTTTTATCTGTTTTAAAAATATTCAGCTTATTCTCCTTAACAGAGGACTGACTGTCTGGGGTACACACACATAAAATACAAAAAAAAAAAAAAAAAAGCATTTTGGTCAACTTAACCTTGCTCCACAACCTCATTACGATCATGTCATCTCACAGAGACCATTACAATTATGCAAAATAAAGCCATGGATTCAAGCGCTGGTTGGATGATCAGGGGGGTCCTTATGATAAAGTCAGGGGTGAGGGTACCACTGAAGTGAAGGGAAACAGGCAAGAAAACAGGTTCGACTGGTGATCGAAGATGAAGATGGACTGAACATCGATGTGGGAACAGAGGAGGATGATTCACACAACTGTTTTTTCTTCCTGTTTCATCAAAATGAAGTTTGAATAACTAAAAAAAAAGGACAGAAGTGGTACCACGGTCACCAAACTTCAACTCTGCCTGTTGGAGAAAACGGTTTTCTTCTGTTGTCTTTGTCCCGACATTAATTAGAGGAAAAGTTTGACATTTTGGGGAAACAGAGACTGACTTTCTGTGTAAAAAACAGACGAAAAGATTGAGGCCACTGTCATGTCCGTCTGTTTAGCTGGACTCACGGGACAATCAGCCCTGTGAGGCTGAACTCAGGCACAGATTTGAGCTAAACCCTAACCATCACAGAGACAGTTGTTGACTCTGTTTACTATCTAAGCTTAGCAAGTTAGCATGCCGATATTGGTGGACACCTAGTGAAAAAACCATCAGCTTTACAGGCATGTGTCAAAATCCAGAGCAAGTACATTTTCGGTCCATAATGTTGCTGCAATCTTTCCTATTTGGTGAAGTAACTATGTGTTAAAAGTGAAATGGGAGTTAAAATGTTGGAGTCTGGACTGAAGTGGAGGACACAAAGCCATCTATGGATCACAATTATCTGGTGTTTACTTCCTGTAAGCTCTATCCTCACATTCATACAGGTTTACAGATAACAGCTGGATAAAATCTGCTCCTGCTGGTGAGCTTTTTCCCTCCTATAACAAAGCCAGACTCACTGTTTCCTGGCGTTTTGCAAACCTAGTTCCTGGCTGTAGTCTCCTGTTAATCAGACAGACATAAGCGACACTGATCATCTGTAATTCTTTAAAAAAAGGCGAGCACATTTCCCAAAAATGTCAAGCTTCCTTCCTTAAAAGTGTGGACCTTACCCATGGTATAACTAACTCTACATTAACACTGCTTTCACAAAGCATAACACAGCATCCAGGAAGATAGTTTCTTTAAATTACCCCTCCCCGCCCATATATATAGCTCAAATCTTCTGTTGCACTTGAGTTAAAAAATTATATCTGAAATAAATTCAAAAATTATACCTTATACTGTACACAGGTTACCCAACTACACAGATAACAAAAGAGAGAGAATTCAAATATTTATACCTCCTTTTCGGGTTCTGAGCCGAGTGATACCATTCAAACTCTATTTGTATACAGAATCACATGTTTTATACAACAAATCATCGTCATCAATAAATAAAAATAGACTGCTGTCATGTACTCTGGAGGCTATCACTGCTGTCCTGGGAACAACAGAAAGGCTATCCGACAATACGAGGAAAACACCAAACGCCCTTTAAGATATATATTATTGATTTAAAATGACACTTTGTACACTTGTTTTTGTTCTGACGGGAAAAACAGAGTTTCTTATTTTGCAACCAGTACACTGATTTATCATTGCAGCTGCCTAACTAGCTACGAACCCCCTCTCTGTCTGCATAAAACGGAGAAATAAAACAACAGTTTGATTGACTGATCAGTGCATTTCTGTTAAAAACGATGAGATCCAAAGTCATGTGACCCTGTAGTACCAGTAGGTGACGCGTGTAAATCGGTTTTAAATGTAGATACTTGTTCCTGTTCTCCATCTGATTGCATTGAGCACAGACAAAACACACTTTTCACTTAGCTGTGTGTGACAACATGTGCACCGGTAAATGCATATACTTGCTGGCAAATGGCTGCCATCGGGACGAATCAGCCGTCTCAGGCTTTAAGACGAAGATGATTCATCACCGGCTAATGAAGGTGGTCAACTCACCATGTTTCGTCTTGGACCTTTCTTTGAGTTTAACTTGAGATGTGCCAGAGGTTGAGGTGTGTGTGTGTGTGCCTAAGACCGCTTTGATCTTTTTCAGGTTTTTTTTTTCTTTTCTTTTACAGCCAAATCCTGCTGGACGACAAACAGCACGTCAATTCTGAACTGAACGCCTTTTGTCCAAGTCTTTTTCGTCAGGCAGCTGCAGTGAAACTTTGAAAAAACACACCACCACACATTGACCAGAGGAGGATGGAGACAGAGGCACAGACTTCAGAGGGAGGAGGAACCCAGGTGTCTAACTGCAGCAATACAGATGTTATGAAATGAATACAAATACGATAATTACGTGACCTAAAACAGCTCCACGATGCTATATGCAAGTTATACAATACTGCTGGGTAGGCTGCAGACCTGTCGGCCGTGTGGGTTCAGAAAGGGTTTATGGAAAGTCTGTCTGGTGTCGGTTTGTCTCTGTCCTCGGGGTCAGCCTCGGTCCACTGCGATTGATTGGTTCAACAGTGCGCTTCTCAGTCACAACAGTTAGTTGTCGGCCAGGTACTTTCCTGAAACACGTCAATGAAACGTCTCGGTCATTTATGGGTCCATGGAAGGTCTTTGATTTACTTCAGGAAGAATAAAGCGCTTCATTATGCAATAACAGGGATAAGAACGCTACATGCAGATGAAAAATGTGGTTCTGAAAATATCCAGTGCTGTGCTCTGTCTGCCTTTCCACTATTAATCTGCATGAATTACAGATTGTTAATATGGAAAAGGTCATTAAATACAGGGGTTAAATGACTTACAGTTGGATGAAATTAAAAGACATTTACTCTGATAATAATAGAATCCACTATCCTCCTTTATAGAAAGCATATGACACTATGATTTACAATCCTACAGCCTGATTGTAGTGTAAATAAAATTAGACAAAACTGAAACTAAATAAATGAATAAGCAAAGGAAAAACGGAAAACTAAACGAATCTTCCCTCTTGCTTGTATCACATGATGCTCAATCAGGTAAATCTCTCCATATGTTGTAAATAAAAGGGCAAACTCACCTGCAGCAAACCTCTTCTTGATGAGTGAGAAACGGTATCCTGGCCCAGCCAGTTCGATGTCACAGCCTGACAGTGTGCTGCCCTCACTGGTGAACTGCACGGCCAGTGGAGCCGGTTTACTGGGACCCTCTGTGAGCTGAAAACGTGCTAACAACGATCCCACACCTGAGGGGACAGAACGAATTCATAAAGACACGTGTCAATCACAGATGTGGTTATAGATTATTTAGTTTTACAGATTAAGTGACAAAAGGAGACAAGGTCATTCAAAGACATCTCTGGAAGCTGCTCTGAAGAAAAGTAGATTTTGATGTAAAAACATAGTTTATTATCCCATGGCAGTCTGTTTGATTTTGTTTTCTTGACTTGATACAGATCTTTCTCTCTTGTATAAAATATATAATCTGATTCAGTATTGTTCTCTTAGAGATCAGGTAAACCCTAAAGATCCTCAGCTTTGAGATACAGAGAAAAACAGGCCAACAACATTTGAACTTACATCAGACTGTTAGACATGAAACTTAAACTACCCTTTACCGTGACAAAGTATGTGTTAATATATTTCTTTATAGATGTTTTATCTTAGAACCTCAGAGGAAAAAGAGGCACACACACACACATCAACGGGATGGACTGAAAGAAGTGTAACACCACATCCTAGCAGAGGGGGGCGCTGTTTTTTCAAGACTCCATCTAGTTCTGGGAGGAAACTTACTCAGTTATATCTGAGTCTCTCACTGATTTTCAGGTTGTACAAGAAAAATTATACAGCAGTAAAAACTTTTCTTTTCAGCTTTTATCTTCTTGGAGTGTTTTGCTCTGATCTTAAACATGTGGTTATGATCTTTTTTTTTTTTAACTGTTTTTCAAAAACTTTTCTCAGGCTGTGGATATTTTTTCAATTTCTGAACACAAAAGAGTTACAACCTAAAAAAATGTGCCTCACTCCAGAGGGTTTCATTAGATATAGACAAATATCTAATTTAGAAGTCCAACAGTGTAAAAAAAAAAACTGTCCCTGTGTGATGATCAGACCAACATGGATGTTGTCTAATATTTACATGTCTGACAGTATAGGTCAGACATATTCATCACTTGAGTTTTCAAAGAGGATCAACACCTCTAAATGAAACACCTGCACTAAAAAGTCGCTGTGCATACCTCCATTTTCAGATTTCTGTGAGATGTCAGGAATCTTCCACAGGATTCTTTGCTGCTCTGCATTCCTGCGCGGATTACAAGAAAGCACAAAAACACGTCTATCAAGCTCTGGGGGAAAGTGACGAGTGATGCCTCAAAATCAAACCACCTTTTGGACAAAAAGCTAAGTCTTGTCATCTCTAATTTGAGGTCTCTCAGATGATGCGAAACGTAAATCTTACTGAATAAATCAGAATAAAAATATATATATTTAATATATTGCTTGTATTAGCTGAAACCTAATTCTGATATAAGCTGTCTCTGTTTGGAGTATCACCTGTGTGAAACTTTATCTGAAGCACTTAACTTTTGGATTAACCCTTGAACCAGTTTTTAAGCTCTGCCATGTGGTCATCGACAAACTTGTCCTTTTTTAAAAGTATCTTAATGCAGATTGGACCTTGTTATGAAAAGTCTGTATTTTCTATACTTAATTTTTTTTATTCTTAATACACTAATTAATAGACTCATTCGGTTGTCTGTATTTCCACTGCCAATCCAAGACAAGCACTAAAAAATAAACAGTGAATGCTGTGGTATTCCTTCTGTCTGCATGCTGTTTTTTTGCCCCTTTCTGAAGACTATATCATTGGAAACACAGGCGTATATATAAATATACATAAGCGGTATAAACTGTGTTATACCATGCAGCAGGAGGTAACACTGCCTGTAGCTTTGAAACTCCTCCATCCACAGGGACCAGGAACTGCACGTTGTTGAGGGCCATCGGTGTTGTCATGGCTTCCCCGTTGTATTTGTAGTCTATTCTCAGGTCGGTGCTGGTGGGCTCACATCTCCAACTCACCGCCAGATTTAGAGGAATCGACTGTAGCCCATCTGCTGATACCTGAAGGAAAATGCAGCATGTATTTCAGCTCTGAAGATGCCAAAGCATTTCATCCAACACAGTATGAATGTTGTCCCTCCAGTTCATTCAGACACCCTGCAAAACTTGGCAAAGAGCACAGCAGGGTTTAGGATTTGCTGTGTCCCTCTCAGCTCAGTGAAGTCTAAAACTGATCTTACCTGATATTTGAGCATGTCCACATTGTAGTATGTCGCCTGTGGCTTCTGCTCTGCCACCTTCTTTAGATGCGATATCAGGTTTGGCATGTTCACCCAGAAGTTCTTGGAGTCAGCCTTGGCTTGTGTGGTGGTGTCGCTGTGGGGGAAGAAGCACAGTTAAAGTTAAAACGTAAAATTTTACCGAGTGAGTAAAAAAGAAACTTTTTCTCTTTTATTTTGTGAAATAACACAGTTAAACAGTTATACATGTTTGTTTTGCGTGTATGTTATTTTTATTACCTAGTCCGTTTTATTTTAACTATTTGTGCACCCACTGGGCAGCTCTCAATCTCGGCATGCATTTGTATGATGACAATAAAGTGTTTTTATTCAATTAAATTAAATTTCAATTAAAGTCAAATAATAAGGCAGCTCCAGTCTCTGATTTAAAGTAATGAGTGACGATAACAGCAACCTCATTTTCACAGTCATAACTTTAGACTAACAGTCTGGATCGTCAGTGTAAAAATTAACCACAAGAGGTCTCACGAACACAGATTACAAACACGACGCTGAGTTCAGGAAAAGCTTTGATTTTCTATTTTCTGATAATATCCATTAAATATTTATATATCCAGGACTAAGGAGTAAAAGAAAAACGACTGTTTCTCCAGAGGGTCTGACTAACGCTAATGACTTCATAATGACACAATCAGCGGTCAGCTTGAATGTCTGAGATGATCTCACTATAATTACTCATCCTCTGTGTGTGGTCACCACTACAAACAAGATCTGAAAACTTTCATGAGACGGTTTCCTGGATTTTCTAGTCTAAATCTCCTCTCCAAGTCCAGAAATGTAAAAACAATCACAGATTAAGTTTTGGTTCATTATAACAGCTTGATTACACACACTCAAACACGTCTTGTGATCATGTTCATTTACTCTTTTGTATATTCTACACCTCTTGTTTTTGAATGAATCATTTCTCTTGTGAAAGAAATGCTCTCCATAAACTAAGACTGCCCTGGTGCTATGACAGAGAGTAAATATAAAAAGTAGGTTTTGTTGTGTGGACATGAATATTACCAAGATCATATAATATTCTCTGATTATTGTGGAAAATACATAAATTTGAAACTAACAGTTGATTAGAGATTCGTATTGTTTGTTATTTGCGTAGTATGAATAGATGGATCATGCTTTTAAGGCTTAGATTTAAAAATGCTGTGTCGGTTAAATTATTAATACTGATGGTAATGGACAGCAAGTGAGGACATTTTGATATGTTCAGATGAAGTTAATTTAGGAGGAATTTTCCAAACTAACAATAAAACACGTACACTGGAGGATTAATTATTGTTATTTTGTGTCATTGTACATCTTCAACTCTCTACTTGGACATGTCCTTCATTCATAAAAACACAATTTTTAAATGTGATTTTCTTTGATTCTGTTGTGGTGACTTCATATCGGTGTCATTACCAGCAAAGGAGCTGGGGGTTAGGCAGCACATGCTCCAGCCGACTGTAGTTGGTTATGCTGAAGGTTAGCGTGGCAGGGGACGGGTTATTGGCAAAGTGCCGAGTGATTCCCGCCGGAAACGACAAAACCATCTCACCTATGATCTTCACAACACACCTGAGAGGAAGAGGAAGACAAAGAGACGTGAGAGAGTGACAAAGTAAAGACTGGAGACATTCGCTGAAGATTTACTGTACCCACTTCTCGGTATTCCGTTTCTGTCTTTGTTTTGTGATTCACAGACAAATTTTCTTTTAAATTAAAGTTTGGTTAATTTTGTATATGTAGAAAGTCTTCGTTCTCATTTTCATTAAAAATTAAAAATGTCTGACATTTTAATGGAGTTAAAAAAAATCTTGTTACTTCCACTCGTTTTAACACAACTTGACAGAAGAGTAAACCCAGAGGCTGGACATGCTGAGTGTTCCTGACATGGAGCTTCTGTATATGACATGATACTAGGGCTGGGCAATATAGCCTCATATCAATATCACGATATATTGAGCAGTTCCCCTCGATTACGATAACTTCTCCACAAGCTGCTCACCCCCTCCCACATTAACTTCGTCTACTTCTGCCACCGCTCCAGCTGCTACAACTTTTGAACCGTCCTCCATCTCCTCACCTGTCTTTCCCTCTTTGTTACTAACTGGATGGGGTGGAGTCATGTCTCTGATGTAGGAAAGTGTCTTAAAGGGACATGAGACCATAGCCTACCTACACACATCCAAAACAAACTTTTATTTATTTAGTTTTTTGACACTATACATACCGATATGAGCAAAATGACGTCGGTTATTGTCATAAATTTCAGTATCAGTAAATTTTCGGTTTACTGCCCAGCCCTTCATGATACTGATGTATAATCTAGATGATAATACTGTATTCACACCAGTGACAAGAGTGGAGATCCAGGTCAGAGAAACCAAACTGTAAAGGCACATGTTAATATGTGTAAATCTATTTGTTTGGAGCAACAATTCCAGATTATTTTAGATTAAGTGATTAGCCGCCTGGGCCTGTGTTCACAAACATTCGAAGAATCTTCTTAGAGAGCTCCTTACTCAGCTGAAAAACTTTTAACAAGGACTCTGAGCTTGGGAGTGATTTAAGAATGAACTCAGAGCAACTCTGAGCAAAAGAGGGGCGGATACTTTTATTTCAGAGAGGGGGTGTGGCTGACCTCATTGCTGTGTATGAAACATTCTTTTGAAAGCTGTGATTGGGGGCCTAGTCACTATTTCTGGTGGATAAATTATGAGCTTCTCTTTCAAAATATAAATACATGCCACCTGTGCTGCATCTTTTTTCTCAGGCTGAGTTAAAGCAGTTTTCCCACACACAGATCCACTACCTCGAGACGTTTAGTGATGCTGTGTTGGCTTGAAGATACAAGAGCGACTTGGAGTGCTCCTCTCCCATATTAACATTTTTTAGGGATGTCCCATTCTGATATTAATACTGGATATCAGCCCGATATCAGCAAAAACAAATATTGTATTATATTGGCCTGCATCTAAAATCTCCAATATCAGTACTCTGATACAAGTAGTCCATTCCAGACTCTACTCTGGCATCTGTATCTAGCAGAGCTGGGATCCAGCATGCAGAGCCCACGTGATCACAACAACAGTGTGTACTAAGGTACTAACAAAGTAGCAAGAAGTAGGAGTGATGTCGGCCAAGTGACAGTATTTTTCATTGAAGTCTGAAAAAGACATTGCAACTGAGTGCAAAACTTGTCATGCACAAGTTTCTGCCAATATTTCATCAATATCGATATCGGCCAACACTGAAGGCCACAATATCAGTATTGTATCAGAAGTAAAACAGTTGTATCGGGACACTCCTACCATTTTCCTGTATTTCCCACTAAATTTGAAAAACTATGAAACCTCTAAAAGTCCTCCTCACCCCTCACCTTAGGAGCTAAATAGATCTAATCTTAACTTTTAGGGTAAATTCTTAGAAAATGACTAAATTCTTTCTGATCAAATAATCAATTATCTAAATAGATTCCCTTTATATTTCTGTCACTTGTGTGCTTACTTGCTGGGGTCAGCCCCTTTGAAGAAGGCGTTGACCGTCTCAGTGAAAGCAGCAGCTACAGGAAGAGTGTCCTGAGCCCCCATGGTGAGAGGACTGGGCCCTCTGGAGCAGCCTGGAGGGAGCAAACACGCACACAAAGACACACAAAGTGAAGTAGTCCGAGTACACACAAACACATAATCCAACTTAATCCATAATTTACAATCCACTTAGTCAATTTTTACTTTTAACTCGCTTTTTCTGTTTTTTAGGTCAAAAGTCACACATTTTACAGTCAATATGAAAAGGTACATCTTCAAATTTCCAAACCTTGACACTACACTCTTCCTCATCAACGGGGTAAATGGATGAAATGAGAAACAACTCAAGGTAAGCAAACTGTTGTAACGGCATGAAACTTTACAACAGTTTGAGATGATTGGAACAAATATTGGTGTTAGTAAGGTGGCATGAAAACATTCAAGTTATGTGCAAAGAGGACACTCATTTCTCTCTGCTCTTGACTGTGAAATCAAACAAAACTACTTCAGATGTCTCCCTCAGAGGTATGTTTGTTTTTTTTCAGACAGCATGCTACACACTTCTTCTTTTCATTCAGTATGTGCAGAGTTAGAAAAGAAAGGAAAGACAGAGGCAGAGAGAAAAGAGAAAGAGAGACAGAGAGAGATGCATGCTGGTTGCTGCTGAAGCTGAATCAGTCTGACAAGATCAAAGAAGATCAAACAGTCCAAAGATCAAAACCAAGAACCAAACGGCCAAAAGTGACGACAGAGAGATTAGCGCAGAACACGAAGAACGATGATTCTTCGGGGAGTGAATGAAAGGCAGTCGAAGAAGAAATGAGAATGAACAATGTCAAGAGGAGAACGGAGCTGGAGATATGACAAGGCTGCTTAATTGGTAGCACTTGAGGGGGCTCAGCAAGGAGTTAGCACGGCATGGGTTAAGGGGTGATGAAGGGGCTGCAAAAGAGGAAGAGTAAGGAAAGGAAGGAAGGAAGAAGGAAGGAAGGAAGGGGAAAAGGAGGGGTGAAGCTTGCACAGATGAGCCTCAGAAAGAGTGTGTGTGCATGTGACGCTACCCTGGTGCAGATCAAACTTACCTTCAAAGGTTAAATAAAACTTCCCTCTGTCAAACCAAACAAGGGATGGCTGGTCATTCTCTGTGTGGGGTTTAGGGATGGAGGAGGAGGAGGAGGGAGGAGGGAGAGGAGGAAGAGGTTTGAAAGGGAGGGAAGTGGGTGAGGAGAGGAGAGAAGGACAGTAGCGTGAGTCTCACATGGCAGGTCCATCACACGTCACAGTGAGGTGAAACGTGAAGGTGGAGGTCAGGGACGAATGAGGACAAAGGGGGGCCACCGCAAGCCGAGACAGAACAAGAGGGGTGTGTTTCTTTTCGGGGTGCTTGCGTGATTGAGGGAATGCGGGAGTGAAGGTGGAGTGAGGGTCAGGTATTTGCTGCTGGATGCTTTCTGATGGTGCAACTTGATGTGCATGGTGTGTAGTATAGAAAAGAGAGAGTGGAGGCTGTGCAGTTTGAGGGGAGCTGCCAGGAGAGAGTTTCAGGATCTGAGTCCCTTAGAGTTTTTAATGAGACGGTTTATAATTGTTGTTTGTCAAAGTGGTGTTAATCCAGACCATCGAGGAAATCTAAACTTACTAAATCTAAGTACTTTGGCCTATTGTCCTATGATGGGGAAACAAGAATAAGTCCTAAATCTGGATAAAATTGCTGCAAATGTTCCAAAAAGAAAGCGCCTGCTCATGCTGATTAATTTTTTAAACATATTCTCAGTGATTTGAAATCCAAAATCAAGGTCATATTTTGCCAAAAACAACTCATCTACACCAGCTGATGCTCATCTGAGTTGCACAAAGGCTTGATTATAAAACTAACCCTGCTTTTCTTTATCTGAGGCGCAGTGTGTCAGTCTTTCTTGTGTTTTTCCTCTTAGTGTCTCGCCATGCACATTCTCCTCAAGGCCTCTTTTTTTCCTATTATGAAACATGGAAATGGGCTGTCGTACATGAAAACACCCTGCAGGGGGCAGCCATGAGACTGCCGGGGGGACTGTGGTGCACAGACAGATGCTGTTTTTCTATTTCAGGGGCCTGAATCCTGCTAAGAGCTCAGACTATGAATGTGGAATAGAGTCAATCTTAAGGGCCAAAAGGGGGCATTAAGACAGATTCAGTGAAGTTACGCGCTTAGCAGTAAAATTCATCCATTTACGCACTTAAATCTTATATTTCCTGACCTTTTTAGCCAAAGGAAAATTCTCAAATACTCAAACTGGCATATTCTTAAAAATACATCTAAAAAAGCATCTGAGAGGAGAAAGCTATCAGTGCTTAGTTTGCTCTGAGTTTGCAGGCCAAAAAGGTTGAGAATAATTAGACTTTGAGATGTTGCAGGCTGCTGTGGGTACTCTGATTATGTCCTCAAACTTTGGCTCATTTTTCAGATGCATTTAGACCAGACGATGAAAAGGAGGCCGGCCCGTTATAATCTTTTTGGTCAAGGACTTTGTAGGAGTCCAGCTCCTAAAATGAAACTCATCCCACAGACAAAGCTCCACCACTGATTGTGTGCATATACGTTTTTCCTGTGTTTTAGTCTGCTACAGAATTTCTCCTTGCTAAGCAGGGTAAACTTGCTCGTCTACATTGTCCTGTTTCGATGGCAGTGACTGAGTGAGTGAGTGAGTGAATGAGTGAATGAACTATCAGAGCTTTGGGTGATGGAATGATGGGAGCAGCGTGGTGCTCCATGAGGGGAACAAAAGGGCAGGTGTTCAGCTGGGGGAGGGCTGGTTTAGGGCTGCGCTTGTGTATGCCTGGAGAGTGTGAGTGACAGGTGCGAAAGGTAGGTGTCAAGGGTCGAGTGTGGGAGTAAACCGAGGCTTAGTTGAACTCGCGGTTGTATTGCGCTGCTTTGGCAGCAGAGGGAAAAGCATGAATACCAAACAGATGCTGCCCGTCTAATTTGACTTAGTTCACATGCCAAACTTCAAACGACTCCGTGAACAGCAGCTCTGATTTGACATTATGTATGAGGGTGTGTGTGTGTGTGTTCGAGTGTGTGTGAGAGAGAAGACAGACAATATGGATCTCGAGGGCCCACAGATGAGGAGCTCTTCAGAGGAGCTTATTCAACACACGGCACACAAATACACTCTTGTGGTGCAGACTGAGAGTAAAGGTATCTGGGAGCGGCTGCACTGCACTCTGCACACAAACACACACACACACACACATATATATAATGTGCGTCGCCAAGAGTAGAAACAGGAGGTTGCCATGGTGACATGGCTAGACAGCCACTGGTGCACAGTCATAAAACAGAGAGAAAGGTCCCACGAGCAGGTAGATGGGCAAAATGGCAAAAGAAGAAAAAAAAATACACACGCACACTTTAAATGTTAAATATTAATGCAGCTTTTCGTGTGACCACAGCTTTCTTTTCTTTTTCTGGCAGATTTTTTTTTTTTTTTCTGAGGGTGAATGAGAGACTGAGGGGGTGTCAAGTGCAGATGGGATAGAGAATGATAGAGAGAGAGAGAGCCTCTCTGTCTCTCTCTTTCTCCTCCTCTATCATATCTATTAAATGCTTGGGAAATGTGTGGGAAGGTATGAGCTGGCGGGAGCAAAAACGGTGACGATAAATGACCAATTCACTGGAAAATGCTGCCACGTTTCAAAAGAAAAAAAATGAAGGTGTGGTATGTCCCTACGTCTGAGAGCAAAACCTGAAGCTGTCTGGTCAAATAAGTAGGTATTAGGAAAATGGACAGAGACGACCTCTTTTTAAGTTTCTCCCAATCTGAGAGGTCTCGATATTAGATCAGTGAAGGTAAAAAACATTCTCCAAAGTCAGTGAAAATGTGGAGAGGATAATAAAAAAGAGTCTCAGTGTCCTAATACCGACATTTTTTGACCCATATTAATCATAAAAGTACAAACACCCAGTAATTGCCTTTACCCTTCTATGCCAAGTGCACTCTGGGTAAAGCGCATGAAACAGATGCAAAAACCAACACAGCCCTCTCGGCCCTCTTCCCCTCTCTCTGAGGGGATTGTTACTCTACCTGCAAACGAATCAAAGTGTCTCCCAAAGGTGGGCAGTTTGTCTACATAAGCATCGTCTTCTGACAGAGCAAAAGGAAAGAAGAAAAAAAGGCAAAAAAAGTAAAAACAAAATACAGAAAGCAAATCCAACCGTGGAGAAATTAAAATCAAAGTACAATCATGCAAACAAAAATAAAACTGGAGAAAGGAAAAGTGATCGTCATCGCAATCAAGATGAGAGTGTTTAACCAGAAGGGACTGAATGTGGAAGAGCTATGACTCTCCAGAGCATCTGCTTATACATGGATTCAGATCTACAATGAAGGCTCAGCTGGAAGAGTCTGATTCTATACCTTTATGCTTATCGCTGCAATCTGCCTAAAAATGGCAGCCCTAAATCCTATAACTATTTCTGCCTCCAGAGAGTCTATTTTTTAATCTCATATGACTCAGCCATGTTACAGCCTGCTGAGATTTGCATTTATCCACTCAGGTTCCTCAGCACTGACTCTAAAGTTAGATTAAAGAGTGTAAACTCTTGTTGTGCCATTAATTCAGTAAAGGACGGCTTAAAAGGAATGTTTGCTCTTGAAAATTAATATTAACACCCTCCTCTAGCTCTCACCTCCCACTCATAACAGGAGTATGTGTGTATGAGGGTGTAATTATGAATGTGTTTGTGTGCGCTTGTCTAAACTAGACAATATTTATACACAGTTTAACAACTCGTGCTATCAAAACCACCCTCAAGAGTATTTCTCTCCCACTTTAAATGAAAAAGAAATGAAGATACAAATTGTCATTACGTACTAGCTGTAATTTATCCCCAGATGGTAATAGCTGACAGGGATTGGTTTAATGATGCCTGGTAATCAGATACAACAGCAGGTTTGGTATCTGAATAACTTCAATTCATCATTAATTAGACTATCATTGTCGGGAATCAGTCACCTTTCAAAAAAATGTTTGAATTAAATTAAAAAATATGAATGAATAAATAAAGAACTGCATGACTCATTCAAACGACTCGAGGAATAGGAAGGACAGGGCCGGAGCATCAAATCATCAATGGACTTTTAATATCACAGATAAACGGTTGAATTCCAACCCTTCAGACAGCAGGGTTCACAGCTCAGAGGCTGTTGAGGGGGCACACACCTGACACGGACACGGAGAGCTCTTTACCCACAGTCGGCGTGGTGGCGGCACTCATGGAGTTGGTGGAGGAGATGGAGGAGGTGCTCTCGGCCCGTGCCAATGGAGCAATGGGTGGGGGGCTGGCAGAGTGGACTGGTGGGCTGAATGGGCGACTCTGAGGGCAGTAGAGGAAGACAGATTAGCGTGGAAACACTTCAGCATCACTGTTTATGTGTTTGATTGAACCTCTGATTCTGAGGGCCTCTGTTACACCAGGAAATCTCTCATCTCATTTCATCAGAAGGAACTTGTTGAACTTTGTCTATCTCTGAGAGACTGTTGCAAAAGTTTTCTATTAGTCTACATGCAAATAATCAAACCAGCCAGAGAACAGCAGAGCGGTGACTGAACCCTGCAGGATTAACTGATCAGAGCTTGTTTCAAAAGTGACAGTTTGATTGTTGAAACCTTCATTATCGTTGACACTTGCAACACTGCCATCTCAATGAGAATTCAAAATATCACAAAGTGTGACGCTCACCCCATCTCCTGCAGTGGGTTTCCCTGGAGGAAGTTTGGGCCGTGATGGGGGGCGAGGTGGAGGAGGTGGTGGGGTTTGGTTGACTGATGATGGGGTGGCGGGTCGCACAGGAGAAGAAGAACCTGCAGAAAAGAACAGAAACACACAGGAGAGGAGTTACTCTCTTAAACAGTATCGTTCAGAACTGCTGGTCTAAGTTTGATTTTTTTCTCATACAGTTTTTGTGTTCTCCATGTTTTTGAGTTCACAGCTTATCTGGCTTTCCTTAGGGGGAAAGATGTGAAAGTTGGCATTGCGATGCTTATTTTGTCAAAGATCATTTTGTTTTATATTATAGCAAAAATTTGGTTTGACAGGACAGCTAAAGATGTTTTTTTAGTACATGTTTGATAAAAAAATGCAGCTACAGATGGACAGAAAGGTTAGCGGCAGGAAGAGGGGAGGATGTGCAGCTGTGGCTCAGGGTTTGTACCTTATCTAGGCTTCAGTGTGCTCTACATGTTGATCTTCTTTCAACAAGGACAAAAATGATGGAGGATTCCCACTAAAGTTTCAGCAAGTGCAATAAAATGAACACAGAACTTTTAAGGAGTCAGTTTGCTAACAAAAAAACCTGATTCTGCAGATGGGTGACGATGCACAAATAAGAACCTAAAAATATCTCCTCCACAGAAAATTAATTTTGGATTGATTTATGCAACTTGATGAACAAAGACCGTGCACTGAGATTCTGGCCAAATATCACCAACTCCTAACTGATTTTACTCGTCACCTGACTGGAATAAATCCAAAGATTTATGTCGTCTGGACATACTATCCTCCGGGCGTCATTCAGTAGGTCAGTTCTAACAATAGGAACCTTAAACTTCATTCCATAAAGAATCATGGACGGCTCACCACTATTTGTGCCTCCGGCTGTGGGTCCTGGTGACGAAACCACCGCCCGGTATGTTGGGGGAGGAGGTGGGGGAGGCGTACTTCTGCTACTCTGGTTAGCATCAACGGGCGAAGTGACACTTTCGCCTCCATCTTCTTTGGACTTGGTGGTGTCCGTGTTCTTGGACTGCTCCTCTTCAGACAGGGAGAGTGGGGTCGGGAGGGGGCGTGCAGCAGGTTCTTCAGCAGGAGGGGTTCCTGCCGATGGGGTTCTGGCTTTGGGAGCGGGGACTGGTGGGGCGCTGGTAGGTGACTCAAGAGGAGGGGGAGATGCGAGATCCTTTGGTGGCGCCGGGGGTGGGGAAATGGGGAGTGAGGGCGGATTCCTGTCCTCAGGTGTAGGAGGACCTGAGCGGACTGGAGGTGCAGCAGGCTCCTCAGTGGGAGGTGGGGAGGTTGGTAGGGGGGGCAGTGGCTCTTCTTTTGGAGGAGGAGAGGTTGGTAAAGGGGGCAGTGGTTCTTCTTTCGGTGGAGGGGAGGTTGGTAGAGAGGGCAGTGGCTCTTCTTTTGGAGGTGGGGAGGTAGGAAGAGGTGGTGCAGGGTCATCTGGAGGAGGTGGTGATGTAGGTAAAGGTGGGGCAGGAGATTCAGGTGGAGGTGGGGAGGCTGGCAGAGACGGGGCTTGTTCTTCAGGTCGATCTGCTTCACTGAAGCAGACCCAGGAGTCCTCTTTGTCCTCACCAGCAGAGGGCGCCTGTTCCGGCCCAAAGATGTTGTCCAGGTCAGCTATTGAGGGCTTCCTGGCAGAGCTGTCTGCTTCTGTTGACACTTCTGTAACACAGACAACCATTGACCAATCAGAGGCTGTATTCTCAAAGCGGTACGACATGTTTACACAGAGAGATAAAACACGATTTGGAAATTAAAGTCATACAACAGGCAGCAGAAATCTCAAAGACAGTGTCTTACCTGCATTTTCTGAGGAGGGAGAGCCAGCAGAGGGAGGGGAGGCTGGGACATTCTTGGGAGGAAGAGGAGGTGGAGCTGCAGAAAAAGAAGTGCATGATGAACCACAGGTTAGGACCCAGGGAAAGCTGCCTTTGACAGGTGAGTCGGCAGTGTGAGTTTGAAGTTACTGATTTGATTGTTGAAAATGCCGATAAATGATGAGCCTGTAATAAATAAATTAGTGAAACTTAAGTTTTAATGAAAACATGCGAGGCATAGTAACATGTGAGGAGACGGGATCATCCCACAAATCATCAACCATGCAGCACAGTGACACCACCATGCCAAACGCAGGAAGGAGGCAGCCAGGGAGGACGGGATGGTGCAGTTTGGGAGACTCATACCTTACTCTCCCAAAAAACAAAGCACAACCAATGACTTCTCATTAGGTTGTGAGCTGGCTGATGAAATGAAACGGGTAAAGAAATGCTGTCTGTCGGGTCAGTTTGCAGGATTGTTTGTTAGTCTGATGACGAGGGAGGGTTCATGAGGTGAGCTGATGAGTCTTGCGCACTCATTCCAGGGAAGGGAACCAAATGCAGGGGGAGTCGCAGAACTTACTTCCTGTCGGGAAGGATCTCGTCAAAGAGGATTCAGGCTCTGACAGAGGAGCCCCCCACGCATCGGACTCAGACAGAACCACTAAGTTCAGGAGGGGACAGAACAGGCCGAGTCAGGAGCATTACAACCAAACCACAGATGGGTTCTCTGATTTTTTGGGGGCTTTAAAATGCAATAGGTGTAAGAGGTGAAACAACACGGGTCAGCATGTCAATAAAATCCTTTGTAGAAAAAACAGATGCCCTGCTTTAATGGCAGACTGCTGTTGATTATTAACTCTGAACTACAATACCCTTTTCATGCCAAGAGAATATCCGTGCAGATTTAGTGATAGAAGACAAACTATTCTTATCTTATTTTAAACAGCAGCAAGTGAGCTGCAGTGATTATAATTTATGCCAATCTTTCAAATAATCCAGTAATTTAAAGGAGTAAAATTCTTCCACAGCAGCTTTTTTAATGGGTCTGTTCATGTATTTTATCTCCTCACAATATCAGTAAACTGAATAATCTGAGGATGTGGAGAAAAGAATATTACTATGGTAAAAAACAAAACAAAACAAAAAACCCACCGAATTGCCCTTTGCCTCAAACTTGCCCGCCAAACTTTTGTTATTACCACCACTTTTAATGTGACTGTGTGTAAAGTTAGTCCGACTCTTGTGGTGCTGTTTAAAACACGACACAGACGAGTATTGATATTCTTTAATCCATCACTTTGATCAGTAACTACAATAATACTGAGAAATGACCCTCCTCAGGCTGATATTGCTTCGAGCTCCCTCTACCAAATGAACATTAAGTTGCAGTAGCATCTCCCAAACTACAAACACTCAACATTATAACCTTCATGAGGAGATTTACTGCAGGACTGGAACCCGAAGAGCTGTCACCTGAGAGGAGAGTTACATAAACCATGATTGAGGATTTAATCCATATCACAGCCCCCCCCATCTCATAAAGATGAAACAAAAATGGGTGAGAAACTAAGACGCTGCATGAGTCAAACTCAGGTCTGTCTTATTTGTCTGGCTGAATGAATGTAAAAAGAGAATTTGTGTCAAGTTGATGTTAGTCACGCCTGACATGGTAGTTGCATAATAGCTATGAGCTCCCCCCCCAGCCTGTGGCTCTAAATCCTGCTGGATTGGATGAGAGCGAGTGACAGAAGAATCTGCATATCAACAAGCCGCGCTCTGAGTACATGAGCACGACCTCTCGGAGGAAATATCAACTTTGACCTTCGCAAAAACAGATGGAGTGACTCTACAGCTGCACGGCGAGCCTGAGGGAGGAACAAATGATGTCAGAGAGATAGGTGAGGTGGAGGAGGAGAGAGAGACAGAGAGGGAACCTGCTGGGCTTAGCAAAGAGCCTTCAAGAGGCAAGAAGTGTGTTTTCAGACAAACCTTTTCATTGTGTATCTCACAGTATGAAAAGAACTACAGTGGTTAACACCTGTTAGCACAAGTGCAGACACACACAGTGGAGGGCTTACCTTCAGTTTTTGGTTCTCCAAAGGCTGTATCCAGAGGAGGTCCAAATAAGGCTGTGGTGTCTTCAGGGACTGGGGCTGTTGGTTGACTGCTGCAACAGACAAAGGGTGATATAAAAGATGAACATGGATCATAAGAGAAGAGCCACTCCACTATTAAGCAGGTGGCTGAATATTCACTTTTTAAAAATAGTTTTATTTTTATTATGTTAAAGGATGCCTTTATACTTCAATGTAGATGTTCTTGTTCTTTTTTAACGAGTAATTTCATGTATTTCTATCGATACGCTTCCTAGAAAAGACACTGTTCTAGTGAGTGTACTCTGGATACAATATGAAATAGTCATCTCCTCTGTTAGCTTGAACACTGCTTTCAGCTTCAAGGGAGGTACCAGCAATGACACACTCAGTCTGACCTCTACAATAAACAGCGGTGGAAGTGAATTGTTTCCGCTGTGGTTCATACCTGGGGGGCTGTGGTGCTGGAGCTGGTGGTGTGGCTGGGGCCACAGTGGGCAAAGTGGTGACGACACGTCTCGGTCTGACGATATCCTCACCTGGAACCAGAATGGACTCGGTCAACCTCATTTGACTGTTGAATCCCATTTTGAATATCCTCAGATTAAAAGTGTAACCGGCCTACTGTGATACAAGACTAATACTTACTGGATGTGTTCCTTTTTAAGCCCTGAAAGATGAAAAATAAGAGAAAATGTAAAACCCAAACGGAAAAATACTTAAATAGAGAGTCACTTAAATAGACTTTGCTGCATCAAATCTATTTGTATTCTTTATTGTGAAACTCGGTTCAGCCTCCTACACAGTTATGTTCTGTTGTTGAAAATAGAAAGAAAATATAAGAAGGCAGTGCTGCTGAGGTAAAAACTATTGATTAAGTTTTTTTATTTAAAAGCTGTGTAGTTTAAACAGAACTTAAACAATGAAAAAGGCAGAACATCCAAGCTTCATCTTCAGGCTAAATCAGTCTGCAGGAACCTGAGGGACTGCCTGACCATCTACTGGCTACTGAGGAGTGTTTAGTTGAAGACACAAATAAGAAGTCAGCGGGAGATTTAATGCAAAATGGTTTTGATTTAATTTTAAGAGAGATTTGACCTTTAGTTCACTCTTACTTTCTTTGGCAGACAGAAAAGACACGAGTGGGAAAGTTGGAAGAGATGGGAAAGAAGATGAGAAAAGTCACAGGGTGGATGCCACCCCTAGGTAGGCCAAACTGCAGCATTTCTGAAGGCACTCCTTATTAAGTCTTGTAATAAATAGGTAGATAATACATTAACGACTTACTCTATATTGGTCACACACATTCACTGTAAAGTCTATTTGTACCAGATTTATAGAAAACTGCACATGTAATAAAAAAAAAACACAGAGAGCTTAACAAGAGTGAGTCCTTCAGCAGCTAATCGATGGAACAACACAATATCAGCCAACAGGGAAATAAAAGTCCAAAATTCAATGACCAGAACATTGTTAGTATCATGATAGAAAACGTCGACTTGGTGAACTAAAGCTGCCCGCAGCAGGAAAATTGGAAAGCTTTCAAAACATGCACATCTGAAATCTAAAAAGCCGCCCAGGCACCAGAGAAGGTGAGAGGCTGATAAAGCTGGCGCGTAGGAAAGTTAAAAGAGAGATGAGTTTTGATGTTTGAGAAGCAAGAGCACAGAAGTATTTCCTCTCCAGCTGTGGCTTTAAACACCAGGATGTGCCTGAGCCCACCATGAGAGGGACCAAAAGGAGCCAAGAAAAGGCAGAGGGCAGATAGAGGGAGAAGGAGCGAGGAAGAGGGAGAGACGGGAGCAGATGAGAGGAGAAGACACGACGATGGGGAGTGACTGAAGTAAGACATCAAAGGGTCCAGCTGTCAAAAGTGCAAATTTTCTCCCACTACTGAGACCGAGCATGCAGCTTTTCAGGATGAAAAACAAGCATACAAGCAAACTTGTGATCTTCAGATTCTGTAAATAATATATTCAAAAACTTGTTTATATGTTTAAAAATACATGGAAGAGCAAACAAGCTCTCAGTTTTGACCCATCTCCTCAGCCACTGAACCCACCGACGTATTTTCTGTCTTTCTGGATCAACTGCGGGAACGGGGTGACGGACAAAAGGGCACAAGAAGCATATGACATATTTTCAAGCTTGACCCCAAGGCGTCGGAAGAAAAGGACACTTACCGGGCTACGTCTCTGTGACCAGCAAAAAGGAAGAGAGAAGAGATACCTGGTCAGAGAGTGACAAATCAGTAAAGCAGACATCGTGTGCATCAAGAGAAGAAGAATTGTTTGGCCTGGCTGGTAAGATCTGGGAGTAAGTATTCTATCATGTCCATCCCCAACCTTGTCTTTTATAAAAAGGTTTCAGGCTTTCTGAGCGTGAATGGAAATAACTTTGACGTTAAGGAGGAGATAACTGAGGGCATATTCAGAGTAATGTGCTTGTTTCTACATAAAAACAGCAACAATCAGACTGCTTGAATTGCCGATTTCAACAAAAAAGGTGGAGCAGCTTTATTTTCTTCTCTTTCATCCTGCCACTCTTGTCTAGAGTAAGTCCCTCCCTTTTGCTAACTTATGTTGCCTATTAATCCTTTACAGTTTCCTTCCACTTTCCCTTTTTAGTGTCCTATCTTCCGTCCTTCCGTCTCTTTAATATCTGCTGAAACGTCTCCATCTGCCTGCGTCACTTCCACCTCACATCATCCCCCTCTTCCCCCATCCCTCACTCCTGTGCTTGTTCCAGTTGTGCAGCGAGCCATGAGTGATTAAAGTGATGTAACAACGGGGCGGGACATGCTGGCGGAAGGGATTAATTCTATTGGGTAAATTGGGGCAGGACAGAGCTTAACACTCTTGCTCAGAACCAATGGTGTTGCACCTGCTGCGAGTAAACAGGAAACACAACGGGATGACCTTTTAGCCTCTCTATGATCGATTCGCTGATTTTTAAAGGGAACTTCTCTCATTTCTGGTGCTATTATTTATCTATAATCAGAAAATGTAAAGAAACAGAAGAACAGCTTTTATATAACCGTTTGAATCGAGGACTGGAACTCCTGTTTAAGTTTTGAAGTAATGAAGACAGGTCATATGTGAACAGAACCAGCTGGATTATAAAAGCAGCTTACTTTGCCTCAGGGGACTCTCCTCAAAAACCTGACTGCACCTCAGCTGCCCACACTGACTGCACTTATAAAATACAGAGAACTCATTATGAAAAGTAGATGCTGGCCTCCATATTGAGCCATTTTCTGGTGGAAAAGAGACAAGGGAGGAATGAAATGCAAAGTAAGACCTAGTTCTTTTTGTGTCAAACGTATTAAATTCATCCTTGACCTTTTTCTCACAGTCGCTGCTACTTGTAGTCTCGTTATTTGGACTGAGAGCTGGAATCTCAGGACTCCAGAACCAATTAAAATCAGATTTAAGACATCTTAGTCAGTGGAAACATCTTAAAAGACACAGCTCCAAGTACCAAGGAAAAAAAAAAAAAAGGAGTGCCATAGAAGTGCTGAGCAGGACACATGCAGCAGGAATCTGCACCACGATGTCCTACATCCCAATGAAAAACACTTACACAAGAGGAGAAATCAAAGAAAACACCATCCATTTCCCCAGGAAGTGGCCCAGCTACAAAACCTACAGTTACCATATGATATCTTTGTGTCTTTCTCTTTTGAAGCCTCTTTTCAGCAACACAGAGCACGTTTATGAGAAAACAACAGCACAAGTAAGCAGTTAGTGTTTAAGAGGGGGTGAGAGTGCAAACGGTCAAGAGAAAAAAAACAAGATTTTAACACAAGAAGAAGCAAAGCAGAGGCTTACCGGACTCCTCTACAGGGGTTTGCAGCAACAGAGATGTCAAAATAAGAGAGAAAGAAAGAGGAGAGAGAGTTGGAATAGTTTAGAAACTACAAGGACTGGCAAGCATTAGTTATGCAGAGCAAAGCCCCCCTGTGTACAGTGTAGGCTGTAACCTACATCCACTGACTGCAGTATCAAAGATGTACTGTATAACACTGTTGTAGTACGACAGCTCTTCACCCTCCACCTAGACTTTACCACTGCCCCTCTGAATGTAATGCTAGTTCTGATTTCTAGTGAGGGTTTGAAAAGACATAAGCTGTAAACATGTATTTTATTCCCCCTCTTCCATAAATATGGTTAATTTTTAGAGAATATGACAAAAACTACAAGAAAAAATGATCTTTTTTAAGTTTTTCTTACAGACTTTGAGGGTAATGTCTTTTTCTAAACACAGAATACATCATTTTTGGCTTTTGGTACAAGATCATAACGATGTTAAGTCTCACAATGATGTTCAGACAGCTATGTCAAGTGTAAACAAGAGTATCCATCAATGTTTTATTCTAGGATAAATCTTCCTGTTCAAGCTCATGGAAAGAAAAAGCCTCCAAAGAGAAGAAAAGGACCAAAGCAGGGTTTGCTTTCTGGACTTTTCGGCCCCTCTTCCTTTTTGTACCCGTGCATTTATTCCCACTTCATATCCAAGGTTACCCTGAGTTGCTGGGGGACTGGGAGGTACTGTGCGACTTGTGTAATTTATGTGTGAGCTCTGCCCAGCCAACGTGTTGCTAATTTGAACCAGTTGAGGTGTGGTGGGTAGTTTGGTAATTAAAGCTACAGACCAGTTAATCCAGCAACTGAAGGTTGTTGAAATGTTTTGGTTGATTGCCTCTTTTGAAATGAGCTTAAAGAGTTTGAGAAAACAACTTTGTATTTTGTAAAGACAAAAATACAAATCTTACATTTTAATCCAGATCAGATCTTTTTGTTCACTTGAAAAATAAAATAACAATGAAAAAAAAAAGATAATCAATCTCCATGACCTTTTTTACAGCATTTATATTGTTTCAAAAAGGGGAATCTATAATCTATTCATCCAAAATTCTTCTTGATGAAATTTCTGTTCATTAACTTATCACTTATTATTACTGAACCACTTCAAAAAAGACACAAATAGGCCCCGTCTTGTTCTTATTAAGTGTGTGCACACAGACATTACCTGCATGGAAAGACCTTCACACCTGATCAGGTTAACAGAGCCACAAGGCTGGATTAAATTATTGAGTCCACAAGCTCAAATGACCACAAGCAATCTCACTGTACAGAGTGAGACACACAGGTCCGATGTGCCCACTTTCCTACCTGAATTATTCAAAGCGGACACCCAAGCTAACTGTCTGCTCTGAAGAGATGAGGGATTACAGGTAGGAGCTAGAAAGGCAGCAGAGGCCAAAGCCTGCGGCGGAGTCACACTCCCATAACGGACTGTCTGAAAAAGGAATGTGTGCTTGTATTTGGACTCATCAACGCGGCTGCAGCACTTTCAGAACGAGCTTCACACCCCGCTGTTTGGCAGGGAATCTGTCACATGGCGTCTGTTGCAGCGGGGCATCTGTGTTTTGTTTAATGACACCGAATTAAAACCGGAGGACGCTGAGGTCGCTGACAGCCGTGACCATGTACAACAAATTAACGACTTGGAAATTCAAAAGGTCTAATAAATCAGGTCCCTTCACTGGTTACAGTCTAGGGGGGTGAAGCAGAGGCATTTCATTCTGCTTCTTACTGCCTCATTAAAACAAACAAGTTCTGTTGTCATGTAGAAAAGTACAGCAGTGACTCATTTTAAGCTCCTACATTGAAAAAAAACAAACAGTACACGGTTACAGCAGCGGGATGAATATTGTACAGATATAACAGCTCTGTGGATACAAACTCACACAGCACATACATATACCTGAGTCTATATCTTACAATGCTGTTGAGGGAATAAGGAAGAAAAACCTTAATACTCCTAACTACACACCCTCCACATCTAAATACAGTCCCCATGCTGTTTGTTAATGAGAGGCTCACTCACCAGAGGAGATGGGGACAGGGCTATGTTGCCTATTGAGGCTTTGAGCTCGTCGACTGAGGGCGCCGACACGACTTGATCGGCCGGCAGCGGCTTGATCTTGATTTTGAATTTTTTCCTGTGGTCCTCCTCTTCTTCTGACTCGTCGGAGGAAAAAAAGTGGGTCTTTTTGGTTTCAGGGGGAGGTGAGAATGTCAAGGAAAATAACCATTTCTTACCCACACAGTTGAGATCTATTTGACACCTGACCTCGGTAAAATAATAATGCCAGCTACACAATGTCAGGGCTGTCAAACTGAGAAAGTGCATTTAAATCTGAAATACTGCTGTCTGTGATTTAACCCAGTTTCTGTCTCTACTTCCGAATCTTTTTATCCCGCTTCTAATTAGTACAGTCAATAGTTATGAGTCAAACCGTTTCATTTAGCAGGATTTCAATTATAGTCGCACCGCTCTAAAAATATCCTCACTGCATGACTGATTACGGCAAGAACGAGACACTATTTGAAACCTAAAAATTACTTCAGCTACTAATATCAATTTACAAGAGATTAGATTAAGTCTATCCAAGACCACAAATTTAGGACCATAATAAGAGGCCATGAAAAGGTTACTCTCTATGTCTCGACAAAGAATGAGTGGCTTTTCTCAAACATTTGAACTTCCTGCTCACAAGTGGGGCATTAGTGACTCATCCTTCTCCAGCAGTGCTAAAAGTTGTGGCCTCTTACCTTTATTTAGATCTTTGCTAATTAGATGCTTTTACACTTCATTGACGCACTTCATCAGTTTTGTCTGTCGCACTTTGTTTGCGTGGGTTTCCTTGTAAAACACAAGGACACACGATTATTTGGATCTATATCCACTTATTTGGCAGTCGCAGTATGTTCTCATGTGACTAAGCTTTACCATGAAGTTCTCGCCTTTACATGTGCACAAATGAACAAATCCCGTTCTCGCCACAGAAGCGATCCCATTTATGTTTGCCTGAGGAAAAGAAAAAGGTAAACGACAGGTAAACGAGCATTGTAGAGGATATCTCCCTCTTCTGACTCCTCGTCTGGTCTGATACTGTAGCCCTCATCATCCACCATGGGAGAGTTCTGAAACAAACAGAGGCTCAGTGTTAATCTCCATCACTAATAATATCAGCAACACAGCAGCTAGTTCAAAGAGCTCTGCAGGTCAGATTAACTATGAATCATACTGATACATACTTCCGGTCATAACAAATGATATGTTTTCATGAGCAAATGCATATTGACTTAGTATCATACTGGATTTCAAATTAAAGATCAGCCATCAATCTGATTTACTGTCTGTTACTGCTGAACTGAACATGCTGCATCAACAAATGGTCAATAGCGTATTGATTTTACAATAACATAAATCTATCCTATAGCCTTATTAAAAGTCTGTGAAAAACAGTGATGAGATGAGATGATTGTAACTTTTATAACGTACATATCTGTCCCAGTCGATGTCTCCGTAGAAACCATTAGGGGCCCCATTGGTTTTCTTCTGAGCCTGAGAACGAGAGACACTTTGGTTTGAAAGACGGTGCATCCTCTACTGCTGAACTACCACTTAATGTGTTTCTATGTAAGCTAAGGTTCACTGCCACTAAGGTGCATTTAACTCTGCTATTAAACTTTGGTGTTTCGTGACCTAAAAATCATGTCAAAACAGTTAAGGTGTGATTCAAAGATGATCCATTAAAACAGAGAGCAACTGGGTTTCACTGTCTCACATTAACTGTGTGATATAAAGCCATTGTTTTTGCTGCTTTCTCTACATTCAGCAGTCCTTCACTTGAGAAACATTTCTGCCAAACTCTGTGATTTCCTCTAGATCTTGTAACTCTAATTTAATTCACCAACTGTGTCACAAATCCATCACTCCACATGTCACAGTAACATTTTTAACCTTGGAAATTCATTGAGATGTAGTTATCAGGAGGCGTTAGATATTGGGAGTTGCAAGTAATGTCAGCAATTTGGTCAAAGGGTCTTATCAGGAGAAATTTATTTTGCAGCCTTTGCATCTTATTGCTTTTCTGCAAAGTGTGCACATTGGCAGACTTTTGGAGAGTTTTCAATCCTTGGTATTTAGCCCACATGACTTGATTTCTGAGAATCGCTCATAAATCGCTTTGTTGATTTCATCTTTTGATGTTTTCTTGCTGCAGCAGGACCTCAAAACATGACTTTAAAACCAGACCACTGACCAGTTTGTGTATCATTTTTTACTGATCTAGGGTGCACTTGGGTTTTTAACAATAGCATCAGTATCAGCAAGAATATCTCCTATAATTTATTCATACAGGGTTTGTTTGCTTTTCTGTTTTTTACAATTTCTAGTTAACTTATGTTCAAAATATATCAGTTTTTACATGTTTATAAGAATCACAAGGATACGTTTCACTCTTAATATCTTTTTCTCAAACCTACACAGTGTTCCTGCTAACAAACAGAAAGCTGAGACAGCAACACTGACTGAAGACAAATGAGTCTATGAATGTACAGAGATGTCTACGAGATCTAAACAAACTACTCTAGAGGTTAATCTACTCCACAGAACCAAGAGAGTTCAATACCGATTCAACCTCATGGAGTTCCTGGCGAGTCAAAACACAAAGAAAAAAAAAGTAATGTACCGCACAATCATCAGACTTGTTTTCTTCTGGACATCCGGGTCATTTACAATTAAATTAACTGGTTGATTAATATCGAATATTGTCTACTTACACCGTCTCTGTCTGGGGACCCCCTGTGAAAATTTAAAGAGAGAGAAAGAAGAGAAAGAGAGTCTACGTCATTTCTAAGCACTTCATTTGAAAAAAATCAAGCACTTGCTAATGAGTCGAGTGAAAATATTTGAAAAGGGGCTTCTTAGGAAAACACTTTCATACCACCATACCCCACACACATATTTACTCAGAGATCCCGCTCTTACAGACTTCACAGCCTACAAACCTTTTTCTGTAAGTTGGTGTGAAAAGCAGTCGGATAAACAACTCTGCAGACGTGTCACACTTACAAAACTCCAGAGTGATTTACTTGAGTCACACATTCAGGATAATGATGTCTGATGGGATTATGCACGTACTTCATTAAAACTATTCACCTGTGCTTGTGGGAGTGTAACATCTATTTGACAAAACCTATGCTTCACACTATTCCTGCAATCATTTTCACTTATTGTAATCCTGCTGCTGTATGATATCTGTTCTTCTTAAAATAACTTATTCCACTTCAGGGGTTTTAGTCTGCTTTCTGCACAGCATCACTGTTGATAGTTTCAGCAGTGGAGCAGCTAATATGCTGCATGTTTGGATAACACTGTTCAACAGGAAAGAGAGTCACGACTTACGTGGAGTCATTGTCCTTTTCTTTCTTCCGTATCCCGAAGGCCTTCCTGGTACGTTTTTTCAATCCTGTGGAGAAAGCAAAAACAGACAAACAGGTGAGTTACCGTATGAAGAGACTCCAAAGGCCTGGTTTAAAGTGGGTGTTTGTGGGTGGGTTAAAGGGTATAAGGGGTCAGCTGTCCAACATCCATCATCTGAGAGATTAAAGGTGGCGTTTTTATGTATTATTGAGCGAGTGCTTGCGTGTCTGTGAAGGCAAACACCTTTTTTTTTGCAGCTTAAAATGTGTTCATGGTCATTGCTGATGGACACACAGCCTTGCAATCCTCAAGGTATGATGAGGAGATGGAAAATTCATTAACACTGAGAGAATCGATGCAACAAGAATGGATCACAAGGTCACAAAGCACGGCAGAGCCTACTGTAGGTCATCGAAACAGCTGATTATGAGACTTTGATCATAATGTTTAACAATGTATATCATAGTCCTGATGCACAGATTCACTTTGTGGCGGCCTGTTTGAATCCTTGGACTAACTAAATCTAAACTGCAGGGTCCAACAGTACTGTCTGTCCCTCCTGTCCAAACTTTAACTGTTTGGTCAGAATACAAGGGTGTAAATCAAGATATCAGATATTCAGCTGAGGTTGTAAAGTAGTTGTGAGAAAAAAAAGATGACATTAGCGAGTCTGTGTTCTGACCTTTAAACAATTTCTGTAGTCTTAAACGCAGACTCTGTCTCCTGTTAAGGTGCAGAAATTGTGTAAAGTAAGCGTCTGTTAACAGAGGATGGACAGGCAGTGGAAATGCAACGCTTCCACCTACATTTGCACTTCAACTTAAAGTGCAGACTTAAGCAAAGCTTTGCAAATATTTATTGTGTATTTTAGCTCCTTTAGTTTTCTGTTTGATAACAGTCATGTTACAGTGCTGCTTGGCCATCAGGATGTCCTCTTGACTGATGAAAAACAGAACAAAATCCATAATAGCACAAAAGATTTATATTTAATTTCTAGTTTTAGACATAATATTTACAAAGTAGATTCTTTTCCAACTGCTCTCACCCATCCAATATCCTATCCAATCCATCATCCATTTAGGGGACCTAAAGTTTTTACTCCCTGTCTAGTTTATGCAGAAATGAGGATACAAGAATTGTTATAATTTCACTGCACTGTATCACCAAGCAGATGTCAAATGCTCCTAGCTCCAGATGTCCCCCTCCGTTGATTTTTAGGTAATTCCTGAACAACCATTCATCCTTGTCTTTGTCTGGTTGTGAGCTTATCACATTGTCTCATAATCTTCCTCATACAACATGCAGGCACACACTGAGTCCTCGAGCAGGAACCTGATGCTACCTGCTGCTACAACACACAGCTAAGGTATCCTGATCCTGCTCTTAATCCACGCCTGGTGCTCAAAAGTAATACCCATCACTTCACTAACAAAGAAAAAGGCCACATTTCTTACATTTCCTTCAGTTTTCAAGCTAAATAATCTCTTATCAATATGGTTTCAGCCCAACGGGAAAATTGATCCAGGAAGGCGGCTTGCCGTGAGGAAAAGTGTGACCTATAAATATCATTGTATTGATCCTGCTGATGAATTCAGCCTTGCATCTTGCAGGCAGCATCGCTGTACAAGTCTAAAACAAAGGCACATTCATAAATACAAAAGTTTGTCCTTGTATACATTTTGAAGCTTGTGTAAAGAAATGACCGCCTAAAGAAACAAAGCTGTATGGACATTTATGCACACAACACAATCTGTTAGTAGACTTTACAGAGTAAAAGGAGGAGAAGTTCACAATCAATGCTTAATATTTCTTTGAAGAAAAAGCGCTCAAACCATCATACTGTCTGCATGGGTGCTTGTGAGTATGTGTTGTTTGGTCATTCTATTTGCACACTTGAACACACACACTTAGCTCCTTGTTTGTGCGATCAAATTTTACATTGTTTAACCCAAAAGTATTAACAGATGACTTCTTTGAAAGCTTCTTTCATTTTGTGGGTTTCTGATCTTCACAGGGAGGATGAGGACATGGCGTGCTCTTTCAGTCTGCAGAGTAACACAGGGAGGGAAGCTTTGGTTGTTCCTTCAACAGCTGTTCCACTAAGCCGACCAAATTTCAACACTTCATTTACAGCAACGGCTTCTTTTGTTGACACGCTACTGAGTCAATGCTCTATACTGTCGCTTCAACTCCTATAATTCTGCTCTTGTTTAAGGGCTGATGCAATTTGGTGGTAAGGTCCTATCCCAGCTGATGGTAATAAAGTGTAATCGTCTCATTCAGTATCAAATCTGTCTGAATATCTGACTTCCCGATGTCTTGTTCCCTTTATAAATGTACCAACTCAAACTCACTTTTACGATTCTGGATCTTGTCTGTTCCCATCTTGTTTAAGGCTGAAGTGGATGTTTTCAGCGTTTATCTTATGTCTCACCCCTCTACTGGCCTCTCTTTTTTCTCTTCCCGGAGGTTTGTTTCCGTCTCCTGCAAAACCAGCTTTGCCCCCGAGCAAGAGCCGACAGGTTTACAGCGGTGCTTGTGAAAGAATATTGGGTGTGTTGTGTGTGTGTCACTGCGCACATGGCCACTGTAACCTGGCTGCAGAGTATGTATTACATGGGATTCAAATCTGCTTTATAGTTTTCCTTTTCCTTTTCTTTATTTTGTTTTATTTGCTCTATTTCATAGACATGTAAAGTTGTAATAAAAGGCAAATAAAAACCAGATTTCTTGCACTATTAAGCCTGTATTCTTGGGCTGCACTTGTGTAAAGTGTACATTGACAGGCCTTTTTGGGATTTAAGCGGGAACAAACATAATTTATTATATAACAAAACCTACAGCAGTATTCATACATGAGTGAACTGAACAGCCTCATTTGATAGTAGTGAAAAAATAAAGAAACGGTCCATATTTTGTCTCCAGCAGGATCTAAATCTGATTGGATGACGTTGATGTGAATGCGCATGGCGGGGTTTAATCAACATGGAGGGAAATAACCCAGCGTGCGGTACACACTGTGTAATGGCTTAATGGCTTCCGTTCAGAGGGATGCTAGCCCAAGTTGCTAACGCAATTAGCGGTCTGTTCTGAAGACGCAGTAATGTAATTCAAAGAAAAGCCAAAGGACAGGAAGCCAAACAGGACAGGACGCTGCCAAGCCTTAAAAAAAATGCTACATGTCAACTCTTGAGCAGCAAAACACTGACCAGGATTACACATTAAAGTTCTTGGCTCTGAGAGAGACCTCTAGAAAAAAAAAAGTCTCTCTTTTAGGGTATCTGTGAAAGAGAGGGAACTGTTTCCAAAGTTATGTTTATCTGGTCTTTAAAAAGAGTTGCAGCTTTAGGAAAATCTTAAAAGGGGAAGTTAACATTAGAAAGGGTCCCATGAAGTGAAAACAAACTCACAAGACAAGTAGGGCACCACCTTGAGCAGCACATAGTGTGTCATTATTATAATAGTTCTGTGAGGTCCACCCTTCAACCACCACAGCTGCCATGGATGAAAAAACACAGTGAGAGACCGCAATCATAGATTTGGCACTTTATTAAATAGAGAGCATGTGCATGTGCTTATTCTGTGCTTTCACCATCAGCATGCAGATTAACACCTGAGCACTGTTTAACACAAACGTCATATGTATATATACTATGTGACAACCATAATGCAATATTCAAGTGAGATATTGCACAGAAACACACACAAAGTAAATCCCACAGGGTTGCACATGTACCCCGCTGCACACGGGCGCTGAAACATGCGTTTTAAAAGTGGAGCTCTGCATCTGAAAAAGCCGAGCAGAGGCTGTTTAACAAGCCGCTCCAAAAGGGGAAGAGATGAAGAGGCCCTATAGGCCAACCAACAAAACACGCACACACACACACAGCTTGTGCTGGCAGCCACAGCAGAGCAGACCAGGCCGGGCCACTCCAGACTCTGGATGAGAGACCTGTGCTGCTGTGCATAGTAAGTAGAATGGACAATAATACACCATTGAGAGTGAGAGGCAGGAAAGCAGAGGCAGTTTGGAGTAAAAATTCTGATGTAAAAAAGGAGCATTAAATGGACAGTCTACCCTTCATTTATTCATTTTCTTTTTCTATGTGTAAGCATCAAAGAAATCCAATCATGATTTATAAATCTTACAGTGATTTATCATAAACTGAAAACACAGTGCTGATAAACTGGTGTAGTCCGAATGTTGGAGCATGCCCAGATGGGCACAGGTAGGAGAATAAAAGTGAGAAGACACCGGGGAGTTGTTTTGGTTTCGAGTCAAGCTGTTGACTAGGCACGAGGAGATCCATGTGGAGCCACTGAAAGGCGCGCAGACAGGTTAGCCGTCAAGGAGACAAGTAATTAGGAGAGCAGGATGAAGGCTGGCAAGAACATAAACAAGGAGAGGGAAAAAAAAATGCAGGCAAAGATTTAGTAATGACTAGACAGCGAGCGGTGAGAGAGGCAGACTGATATTAAGTTGACAGAGAGAGACAGACAGACAGAGAGAGAGAGAGCGAGAGAGAGACAGAGAGAGCGAGACAGAAGTATTGTGATCAGAGGGTTTAAAAAGCTCTTTCCTTGGGAGTGACTCATCCATCCTCTTGGCCCTGAGAGACAGAAGGAGGAGGAGGGGGACGCAGGTGAAGAAAGAGAAGCAGCTAAAGACCAGCAGAAACACAAACAATGACCTCGCAATGCTGCAATGATGCTGAGGCAGAGAAATGCCCTGATAACATGCAGAGACACGTGCAGCTATGCGAGTGCAGCCTCCATTTTACATCAAGCACTGTTTCTGCAGACCTGCATGGAGCTAAAAATATGATCAGGAGTCTCAACCCTGAAGCGGATCGTTGAAAAAGGCAAATCAGAGGAGACTGGAAAAGATGAAATTACTCATCATGTGCTAACAAACCGTTTCTGTCCATGTAGCAGCTACTATCCTGCTCTCTCATAATACAACCTTAAATATGGAGCAGCATGTCTTTGGATATTATTCATGTAGAGAGAAGTCAAGCACATTCAGCAGTTTCATTCACTGTAAACAAAAAATGTACTGATCTCACACTCACTCCAAACCACAAGGATAAGGGCCACATTAAGAAAAAAAATAATTACAAGGATTGAGATAGAAGTCGAATTTCCAGATTAAAGTTGAAATTTTGTTATTAAGAAAATCAAAATTGTCAATAAAGTCAAATTTCGAGATTAAAAATTTAAATTTTTAAATCAAAGTTGAAATTTCGAGATTACAAAACGTTGAAATGTCGTGAATAATGTTGAAATTTCATGATTAAAAATTAAAATTTTGAGATTAAAGTCAAAATTTCGAAAGTAAGGTCAAAATGTCAGAATAATGTCAAAACTTCTGGATTAAAAATTAAAATTTTGAGATTTAAGTCGACATGAATTAAGTCGAATCTTCACTTTTTAAGATTTCAACTTTAATCTCGAAAAGGAAATTTAAAAAATCTCCCTTTGTAATTATTTTTTCTCTTCTTGTGGCCCTAATCCTGTTTCGTACCAAACACCACATATCAACCAGCATCAGTGCCGCACACACGGAAAACGACCTTTTGGCTGAATGGGAATATATTTCTACTAAACTCAAAATCTTTTAAAAAAAGGTTGCAGTTGTTGCAGTAAGAAGTGGGGTACATATCCATATTCATGCCTATATGATCTCCAATATGCAAATGACCAGGTGTTCCCAGCTGTTTATCCAACAGCGTATTTGCACACGGTGAAATCTTGCAGTTTCAAGCTTGATGGAAAAGCAGAGATGGAAGATGCGACCCAAAAATTAGGTCAAGGAGAAAGATGCAGTCCATCCATATGTCTTCCTGTTACCTGGCAAAGCATACAGGGAGCCATAAGGGTCATAAGAAAAAGGCCATCTATCACTTTCAGCTGTGGCCTGTGTGTCAGTGAAAGAGCCTGTGTTGGTGTGGCAGAGGAAAGACAAAGAGAGAGAGAGTGTCGGTTTGCATTTGTGCTAAAATTAGGCCTCGACTGTACTGTCCAGGTGGCTGCACTGTGAGCTATCAACGCTAACACTTGCGGTAACAATGTACCCACGCACAAACAGGCACGTGTGTTAGGGATTGGATGGAAAAATGTGTGTTTGCTGCACGAAGGCACCCTTTGGAAAAGAAAAAAAAAAAAAAACAGAAAAAGATGTTTCATCCAGTGACGTCACCCACCTCCAAGAAAAGTGGGTCAGAGCCAGAAACCATATAGCAGCATGCTAACAGTTGGTGCAGAGACGCACAAAAGATGCTCAAGAGAGCCGAGGCTGTGATGATGATGCATCCATCTGTGCTCTTACACTGCTGATAAACTCTCCTGGTGTTCCATTTATTCATGCCTATCATTTGTAGAAAGACAGCAAAAAAAGCATAAGCATTAATGGATAGATATAGGCAGGATAGACGTCAGCCATAACCACTGAATCATCTGTCAATCTCAAAATGCTCTGCTCCATGATATAACAGATAAGAGGATAAAGAAACAGCACATTTATTTTGAGAAAATACAAGCTTGATATTTTGGAAAGATAAATAGAATATGTTTAATAAAGTGTCCATGTCACTGCTCTGTTTTTGTGACACAGAACAATCGACGAGCTGTTCTTACTCTTGTCAGAATAATCTATCCATAGATACCTGACACAACAAATGACATATATTCTTAATCAAACTGAATTATTTTGGTTTATCGTAATCGTATCTCGTTGTTTCTGGGCTGCGTTAAAACAGGCTTCTTATTGTTCTCCGTCAGATGATTCGCAGCGCTCGTCTATCTTGACCTCTACCCAATTATTGTTCATCCACTCACTCCTGTCTTTTTAAACAGCCAGCACTCATGGTTCCCATCCCCAGGCTCCAAATAGCATCCACCAAGGACTGTGTGGTGAGTGACCCCGCTCAGAGCCAACAAAGTGGCTTTTAGCATAGATTTTCAACACAAAGACACTGAGGGAAGATGTATTTTCAACCAGCTTGTCCACTTATTGACATGAGACATTCAAAGATCTGAAGATATGGGAACCAAGTGCCCCCTTCACCTCCAGCTGGTGCTAAAAGAACTTCTATTTATGTCACTGCTGGATTCTTCATGTATTTTCTTGTAAAGTTACATAGCAAACGTCAGCAGATGTGTGGCTAAATGTGATTCATAATGACACTTGGGTTTAAACAGATGACTGTTTCCCAGACTTTTTCTTGGACTGTATCGTTTCAGTCAGTAACATCAGCTTTTTCTTTCTGAAGAGGTGTTACAGAGCTCAAAAATAGCGTCTGTGATCACAGGCTTTGGATAAGGTGCCTCAAACAAAATTCCAGATACTTCTAAAAACCCGCAAAGAGGCTGATTTAGGGCTATAGCCTTGTGATCAACTACAACATACCCACCCAACAGCCAAATCAGCCTCGCCTCGACTTTAGTGTTAGGGACCAAAAACTGCATCATGTATTTGGCTTTAAACACCAGTTTCACCACCAATATCAGCTCTCAAATGGTGTCCTAGACTTATGGAGCCAGCCTCAAGTGGAGAAACTGCAGGTATATGCACTCTTGCATTGGCTTCATTGTTTTCTTTTCTTTTTTAAAGGTCTTTTTGGGGATTTTTGTATTTAGTGAAGGGGGAGCATGAGAGACAGGAAATGTGGGCAGAGAGGCAGTAGCAGTTCAGTCCACAGGGACTTGACTTTGGAACTAGAGGGTCACCAATTCAAGTGGCTGGGCCAAGTTTTGATAGAGAGTTGCCAGTTCACTTCCTGGGCACTTCCAAGGAGCTCTTGAGCAAGTCACCTCAACTACCTAGGGGGGGCAAACAGAGCGAATGAGGGGGAGTAACAAAACCAATTTCATTTAAAGAATTTAAACGGAGGCATACAGCCAAATGGTCTCACGCCAAAGCTGTCAACATTACTGGGATCATTTTCCCAAACTAAGCATTACATATGACATGACAGGGGCGTGGTGGAAAGGTCCAGTAACAGGTGTTCTTGGGTAAGAAATGGGACACTGGTGAGGAACTTGGACCACAACTTTAACTCTATGGTGCAAACACAGGGTTGCACAGGCAGACAGATTACAGCAAAAACAACAACAGCAGCAGGATTAGGCTCTGACCACAAATTTAATATTCTTTTTAGAACTAATTTTGAGTTATTTCTTTATCAACTGAAGATATGTTTTAGAAATGAAAGAAAAATGGATTAATTGAGTTTTCTAGGGAAAAAGTTCTGCACAGCCCTCTGTAAGCACAAGGAAATCTAGGAAATCTGCAGGGATTATCGCTCTGAGCTTTTACATACTAGAAGCTCTTTGTTCTTGATGTTTTCAGAGAAGCCTTTGCAATATCAACATTCACTGAAACTGCTTTAAAATTTCCAAACCATGAGGTTTGAGTTGAACTACATCTTAAGGGTGGCCTGAAATAGAAAGGGAACAATGTTTTCCACAAACCCAGCTAAACCCCTCCAGAAAAATGTTGTATGTATGGATGTTCAAACCCCTGCTAGGTCTCCGACTGTACTCAGGAGACAAGTCCCCCTGCTGTGTCAGTCATGTCCCCCTCTCAGAACAGATCACCGCAGACACGACCGAGGCGCAAAACCAAGAGGTAGACATCCTGCCTTCTCTTCTGTCCTCCTGAATTTGACAATACTGAGATCTACAGGCACACAGCTGAATCTTATTACCACAGCGAGATGAGGAAGCAAGGCCAGAGACATGTCCTCTTCTTTCCTTCATGCTCGCTGCATTTCATAGCCACAGTTACCTGGCACACTTAGCTGTCAAGTGATGTTCAACAATCAGCTCAGCTGGAGCAGCAGTCATTCCACAGAGGCAGAGGAAAAGTAAAGCCATCGGTTTCTTCCCAAGTTTGCACTCGCTGTGCTTACTGGACTTTTTTACTGGCTGGCTGTGTGCTCTCTAAACCGGCATGCTGTTTTCATCCTGATCATGATCATTCAAATTCTCTGATCAAGTTTTCAAAAATAAATCACTCAACAATAGTTTCGTCTATCCAAAGATGCCTTCGCTTTTGCAAATTATACAAAATACTGTCATAAATAGAAAAAACACTGTGAAGCAACTGGAGTTTTCTGACATCTATGAAATAGACTGAATTTCACATTGATATCTTATTATGATATCAGACAGCAAACAAGATCGTCATTGACAAGATTGGCATTATGAAAGCTGATCTTTATTGCCTTAAACTGGTGTGAGGGGGTAGGTGTCAGCCAAGCAGCTGAAGAAAGAGACCTTTATTTAAACTTCCACACAAGATATTAATGAAGAATGATATGTTTGACTGTCAAAAGTCAGTAGGATTAGTTATTTTTTCATAAGAACCTGCTGCAGCATGTACAAGATAATCTCAGTAAAGACCGCTTTGTCCACAGAGTTGACACCAATCATCAAGTTCCTCCCAGGAGCTTTAAGGTTAAAAGTAGGGTGTGAGAGTGAGGCACACATCAGCTGCTAGGTGACAAACTGAAGATCTGCTTCTCATGATAACTGTTATTTATCTGAGGTATCAGAAAAATAAAGATGATCAGATGTTCAAGCTTTTAGTTGAACAACAACATAATGGAAAATTCACATTTTTCTGTCACTAGTCTGTCCCTGTAGATTCATTAACAAACAGTTCAGAAGCAGGACTGTGATCAAATAGTGTTATGCTGTAAACTCAAGGAAACACCAACCTGTGATGTAAAACATCAGCAAGTTTATGACTCACTGGCATTTATAAAAGTTCCTCATTTGATGTCTAACTAGCAGAGTTTCTTTGGGGGTACAGCAGCCCTGTCTTTCTGTATCACTGAAAGCAAAAACCAAAACAACGTCACCACAGCCTTCTTTGTCATTCATGAGTACAGAACTTGTCCTACAAGCAGAAAAGTTATGTTATCTTGAACATCATGCAAAAAGTCGTACTGACAGTTTTATCTTTCTTCAAGGAACATCGCAAAGTCTCTCAAAATGTCTCCTTTTTTTAGAGTCCTGCTTGTCTTCTCAATCAGGACTAAAACAGCAAGAACCTTGGTGTTGACGTGTTCATGTAGTTTCAGAGAAGAGTGTGAAGTACAGCTTCAGCTAAAGGGCTGCTACAAGAAGATAGAGTATAAGTCAGGGTAAGAAATGAAAATTGTTAAAAGGGGACACTTTAGAGTAAATAAACATAATTCAAACATTATTCCTGTACGTTTATTGATACGAAAGCTGATTTTACTCACAATTGATCAATATTTCCCATAATTGTCAGGATTGTCTCTTTAGCAAGACAGAAATGAGTCTGCAAGTAATTTAAGCAATGATATTTTTAAGAACTGAACAACCACCAGAGTTAAATTCCTGCCAACTTCACTTGGAATGAACCGCTCTGAATTAGCTTGATGTTATACTCAGACATATTAAATAAGACTGATTTATTTGTCTGTCAAATATACTCATCCATATGGGACAGTTTAATACAGTCCCAGTCTTTTTGTCTCCAACCTTTTATACGATGCTGGAGAGCTGCCTTGATTCACAAAGAGCTTTCTAAGATTTTTTTTAGAGGCAATTATGTAAATAATCACATAAAATCTTAATGACTCAATATCCCAGAGATTCAGTATCAAATTCTGATGATTCAAAGTAGCTGAGCCATAAGGCGAATGACAGCGTGGGAGAACAATGAAGTGTGATTCACAGATGAGAGGATGGATCATTTTTTCTTCATTTCAAAACTTGGAGAATTGTGTTTGCACCCAGTGTGAACTCTGCATTGTATTAAAGAGGAGGTGGAGGAGGAGGATGAGGATGAGGAGGGATGATGGAGGGTCTGTAGTGAGAAAATGTCTTCAACAAACACACACACACAGGCACACACGCCTACAGCAACACAAGAAGCAAACACAGGCCCACATTTGATGAGTCACTGATGAATCACTCTTACAACTCTCTAGAACAGACAAGCCAATAATGAAGAATTAACAACAACCAGAAAAACAGACAGTGCCTCCAGTGGCTCTTCTTGCACTTTTCATGACAAAAATGTCCATTACATCGCAAAATCTTGAAAGTGTTTGATAGATTCAAGGTATTTCTGAGACTGGATGGTCGATAGACATGAGACAATGAGGCATAATATCTCTAAATGAAGATACTGAAAGAATTTAAGTCATGCTGTCATGTATCCACTGATACATGTCCATGTCTGTCCCTGTGTAAAAATTACGCCAACATGAAAGGAAAGTAGGACACTGAGATCTCTTAAGAGAGGCCCTTTGAAAGATGAATATTTATTCCAATGATATCTGAAAACAGGAGAGGTTTTTGTATTTTAGAAAAGTTATGAAAGACTGTTAAATGTACTGGCCACATTAAGGACAAAACAGGCAAATATCAACAGATAGAAGAGTCAGAGAACTCAGGCAATAAATTGATCACAAAATACTGGTTAGTGTAAACAATATACACAGTAATGAAACAAATAGGAGATAAAATATTTTCAAAGTTTTTGATTTCCCCCTGTTCACAATATGGCAAAAAATCAATCAAAGGTTTCTGATCCCATCAGTGGATGACGTTGAAGATATTTTTTAATACTGCTAATGTATCCAGGAAGACAAAACACACAAAGCAACAGCAAACTGCAGGGAAGTAGACCAGGTGTTGGTTTGACTTTGTGCTTCTGTGGAGAAAGCTAGTAATAATTATTTTAAAAAAAACTTACAAAAAAAAAATGCTGATGTAAGACTCTATTTGATCTCTACCCAGCAGTGATGACACCAATCACCAATATAGGTAAATCTGATAATTTCAGCCAGCTGGATCAATTCTAGAATCAATGCCTCAAGTCATGAGTAGAAATGTGTAAGTGCTGAGAATGGGAACCGACTAATCTAAACTAAGAGGTGGTTTGGATTTATTGGGATCTGTCAGTTATTAAGGTACACTATATTCCCCATTTACTGCAACACGTCTCTATAGAAACAATGTGAGGGCCCAACAAAACACCATACAACCCAGCACAATGTACTGAAATGCAATCTAGCACAAGAGCCCATTCCCACAGCTAAGAAATGTTAAATCCCTGGTACACAAAGGTAAGATTTGTCACAGCGCCTTTCAGATGGATGGCATAAGAAGTGTTTATATTGACTCAATAATAAGAAGCAACAGCTTTCAGGGAAACTGGAGGTAAAGGTAGGATATAAAACAGAGCTGCTTCAGTGCAGTTTTTTGGCGCAACTTAACCAGCCAGGCTTCGGATCAAGAAAAGTATCCAAGCCACAAATAAGATCCTGGAACAGCAATTTGACTGTTATTTGTCCACCTTGATTGCTTAGAAGGTAAAACTGAGAGTTTATGGGCAGACTTGTGATAATAAAATCCAGCAAGTATTTTACAACATTAGAGAAGTGTTCTGCATACACTCTCAATTACTCCCACTGAACCTTAACGATCCCCAGCACAGTTTAATATCACAGTTTCATTCAGTAAGTGTGTGTGTGTGTGTATGTGTGTGTTAGTAGATATTACACAGGAAATCATCCCATCTGTCTGGCTGAAGTAGTGTATGGGTCTCCTTCTCAATCCAAACTTCCTTACTGTCGGCCGATGTGCCAAGAAACAAATCAAGTAAAAGGCTTTGGTTCAATTTCATAAAATCTAATGAATACCTACAAGATGATATCAAGTGATAATGGAGGGATTAAGTGATAACAGATTATAGAGAAAGAAGTTTCATCACTCAGCTTAAGATATTGGAGTACAACAGATACCTCTTCGCCAGTTTTCAACTCTAATTTCTCTGAGCTTCCTGGTTCCTTCTCTCTCCATCCCCTCTATTCTGTTATTCCATGAGTGCACATAAAAGTGGTGGCAATGCTGCCCATAATTAATAAACTGCCTTTCCTCCCACAAGTCCTGTTAGTAAGATAAGCCCATTCATCAGGGTGTCAGCTCCACATAGGTCAGCACTGTTTCCATGCTCTGCAGAGAGCAGATAGACTGAGAGCTGAACTCAGAGCACTTCAGAGTCTCTGGAGACGTACTCTTTGATGAGTGGGTCACATCTGTCAAGCTAAAGTAGATTTCATTTACATTCTCTTATGGGAAGACGGACAAATGTGACATTTTTGGAACACTCAGTTGCATAAATGTACTTTGGCAATGTTTTTTGCCACTTGAGGACCTAGGGCTCACACTCAATTTTCAACCTGGCAGCACAGGTGCACCACACTTCAAAAAGTGATGAGCACAAGCAATAATTTAGAAGCACCTACTGCAAATTAAGGAGCATCATGACTACAATATAGATATTAATATTTTCATATAAACCAAGTGACGTTTAACAGCCTACTAAAGAAATCCCCCTGCGTACTCCTCACTGTGGTGAAGCGGTTAGCACTGTTGCCTCACAAGCAAGAAGGTAGGGCTGGGCGATATGGCCTCAAATCAATATCACGGTATACTGAGCAGTTCACCTCGATAATGATAAATGGACGTTAGCTACTCCACAAGCTGCTCAGCCCCTCCCACATTAACTTCATCTACTTCAGCCGCTGCTCCGGCTGCTACAACCTTTGAACCGTCCTCCATCTCCTCACCTGTCTGGGGTACAGTCACATCTCCGACGTAGGACAGTGACTTAAAAGGACATGAGACCAGAGCCTACCTACACACATCCAAAAACAACTTTTTATTTATTTTTCTATTTTGACCCCGAATATATCAACATGGGCAAAATGACGTTGATTATCGTCATATATTTCGGTAAAGGTACATTTTTGGATTATTGCCCAGCCCTACAAGAGGGTTCCTGGTTTAAATCACCAGCTGAGCAGGTTGCATGTTCTCTTCATGCATATGTGGGTTCCCATCAGGTACTCTGGCTTCCTCCCACAGTCCAAAAATATGCTTATTAGGTTAACTGGTCTCTCTAAATTGTGCATGAATCGTTGTTTGTCTCTGTGTGATGGACTGGGTGGAAACTGGGTGTTCTTAGCCTCTCGCCCAACGGCAGTTGGAATGGGCTTTAGCTCTAGTATGACCCTAAATGGCACGAGGTAAAAGATAATGGATGGATGCGACCATAATGGTTGCAAACATTACCGCATCTGTTTCGTCCACTCATGTGGGTCAATGGAAAACTCAACCAATTTCACTAGCATACATCTAGAAAACAATGAGGGCATTGCTGCTATTATTAGAAATCAAACCTGCAGCCTTTAAATCATGTCCTAGTTGAATCATTTCGTTAGCCTTTATCTTAGCCTGGATTACAAAATCTTTGCACTTTGCAGGAAAAGGAAAGAAAACAAGAGCTTAAAGAGATGCATGACGCTACAACTGAGACAAATGTAAGAAGGGGGTGTGGACTTCTGGGTACAGCTTTCCTAATCTCCAAGCAGACGACTTGCAGCTACCATGCCAGCTATATGACTTGGTTTTAAGTCTGGTCTGTTTGCTGGTGAAGGAGACATGTGGGTGCATGTTCATGTGATGTGTGAGTGAGAAGGATTGAAGCCCAGCCTGAGAGACATACAGTAGATTCTCAGTCAGATTACGAGGCTGCCCAGAGTGAAAAGTTTCCACATGAGCAACAAGTAAAGCTGCCCACAGTCAGTGACCAGGCTCTGAGTGTGTGTTTGTATATGTGTGTAAGTGTGTGTGGTCTTGTCCAGATGAGGCTTGACAGAAAGTTGATATGTATCAGTAGCTTGGATGCAGGCTGGTCACGTCCTCCTCCCATGTGCCCCAGGGGAGCACAGGAAATTACTTTGTTTGTAGAAAAAAAAAACAATTATGAAAATGAGGACAGAAAAAGAGGGAGAGGATGAGAGAAGATGAAGCACAACTCAGGCACACTCTGATGGGAGACAGAAGTGACAAGCCTTGTTTTAAAATGGATGAGATAAGCAGCAGAGGTTCCATCTTCTCCTCCATCTCCTGTTTCCCCCAGTGAGACAGCATCCTAAAAGAGCGGCTTGAATTCCTGTGGATTACATCTGCTTTATTCTGTCCCTGCAATCTAATCTCAGTTCATTCTGGTTAAAGCGGACCGCTGACTCCACCCCTCCCCTGTTCACACCCAGATTACAGGTTTGGTCAGCTTTTGGTGGGTGTTGGAATGTCCTGACACCATAAATTTCATTAAGACGGGTTTCTTAAAAGCAAAACCGCTGTGGATCTTCTCAAAGTTGTAGTCCTAAAATAAAATAAAAAAAAACACGGTCATCCTCGAAAGGTGGGGCGCTGTTTGTCTCCAAGAATAAAGGGAGTTGAGGAGGAAGTGAGAGTGACACGAGGAGGATGAGAGGCAGAGAAAAAGGGGGGAAATGAGGAAAACGATGATGAACCACAAGATCTGGAACCATTTTGAGGGAACACACATCATCAGTTTCAATGACTCTCTTAATACCCAACAATCCACTGTTATGAAAAATCTTATATAACCTGCAGGTTAACTCAGGCTACATCATATTGTATCTTACCCTGGAAAATAATATAATCTGGTTGTGCAGAGACACCATGTACAACCTTTGTAGAGATATCAGTTTGAATCAGTTCAACTGCACCTCTCCAGCCAACCCTGATAGGATCAACTTGCAGAAAAACAAAAATAAAAGAAACAAGTTGAAAACAAAATAGTCCTCTTGAAGTTTTGTGCACTTTTTGCTTTGTGCATGTCTCTCCATCTCAGTTAGGAAACACACTCTGTGGTTTTGTCCGACACTTGTCAGACTGTGCTGCTGACATTGTTTACACATGCTGTTTTAGCTGTGCAAAGGTACTGAAAAAAAAGCACATTGTTCTTAGTGACTGCACGTTATGTAACTCGGGTACTTCTAAAACAACAAAAGGGGCCATTGCAGGAGATCCCTGCCACAACTGCTGCACTCAAGTCATGCAAAATGGAGGAGAGAGTGTGACCCCCACTGTACATCAAGTCACAGTCCTGGAGCAGCGGCATGTGTGCAGCCACATGAGAGAAACAGGAACAGTTTTGTTTTAGCTTTATCTGGTAGAATATAAATAGTGTGCACTTGCATTCATTGTTGCTGAAAATTAAAATGAATTAGAGAAGTGTCGTGCTGTAATGAAACAGTATAAGGATTAATACTGTCTGGGATAAGTGCTGGATTACACATTCCCTCTGCAGCTCACACTGTGTAAATATGAACCCCCCCTCTTTTACTGCTGATATTTATAAGAATTAAAATTCTTGGTCTATTGTGCGAAGCAAATGGCATGGATTTTGGGTATTTTATTGAGGAAAGAGCTTTGAGAAGCTTAAGAAATACTGTTGGCTGTTAGGCACCAATATGAGTAACTTGAGCTAGAGTACACAGAGCTAACACTCACTAGCATATTGTCTCAGTATTTGTGCAGCAGATCAGGTTTTTCCTTGTTCATTTTTAATTTCTTCCTGATGAACTCTGCTGATGAAAATGTCAATTTCTGTTTTTGAGTGCTAGAAAAAAAAAATCTTTATAAAGTGTCATGACACAGCAGAGGGTAAAAGAAATAACAAAACAAAACTTTGTGATCCTGGTAAAAAGAAGCCTGCAGTGGGGGTGGAGAAATGTTTGTCACGTCTTGTTTGTGCTGCAAACAAACTCAAACAACCCTCGAAGATTACTTTTTCTGCTGACGTTTAAAGTCCTGTACAGCCCAGTCTAAATAAGAAATAGGACAGGAAGGCATTCTTATTTCTGCATCTCCCTCATCAACTATAGAAAGCGGTTCACATTGTGGTAAAGTGAGGGGAGTAACTTCCTTTTCCTCCCATCTCCCTTTTAATTTAGACAGATCGTGCTCCGGGTCTGCCCTGCCCATCTGCTTTGGAAAGGATGCTCAATAAGAAAAAGAGATTCTCACTCAGTTCCTCACCAGTGGGGTCAAAGAGATACTGAATCTCCTAAAAAATGTTGGTGGGAGTGACGAGCCTGTGGTGTGAAGAGAAACGTTGGAAATCATCTTTAATCCAGCTCACATCGACTCCCATATTTTTCCATCTTCCCACCACTGCTCACGCTGTTACTGTTTTTGAACTGTCTGCAAAAGCACACATGTCAAACAGATTTCGCTTATAGAATATAGACTACACACTATTTTGGCCAAACTGCACATAGCAACCTGAGTTAACATAAATCGCTTTAAAGAGGGTGGACACATTTATTATTGGATGGGGCTTTTTGCTTCAAGGAGGAACAATTTGACAAACTGAAAAAATAGTATAAAAGTTCAGACAACCCTTAGTTCTGTAAACTAAAATACTGATCAAGTCTTGGCAGTTTCAGAGCTAAAAACTGCAGCTGTTGACAGCTTGTATACGCTTTGCGTATACAAGGTCTTTAAAATCTTACATTTCAAAATGTATACATTTATGCAAAACATTTAAAGCTCTGATGGGGAGTATTGTGATGACCATGAAACAGACTGAAATTCATATTGATGCCTTTTTATGATTTACAATAACAGACAAGGCCATCAGTTGCAAGATTGTTGATTTTTATGCTGTAGTTTCTAATGTCTGACACTGGTGTGAGGGGGTAGGTGTCAGTTGTCAAGCAGCTGAAGAAGCAGCCCTGTTTTTTAAAATTTCCACATAAAATATTCATAATAAATGATACATTTGACTGTTGAAAGTCAAAATAATGTGATTTTTTTTGGGGGGGAGTGTCCACTTGGGGCTGGCTCTAAAAGCACTGTACGCCACATACACACTCAGTCTTAAAAGCTCATTTTTACAGCAAAAACTGAAATTAAAAACTTTGCTCTATTTGAAAAACATCTCCTCATTCAAGCCCAGCAAAAAAGTCTGACTGAGGTATACAAACAGACCATGTGTGGGTGCCGAGTCATGAAAAGTCCTGGCCCAAGTTAGCCCCTGAAGCCATGTGTTTAAATGTTATTGACAGGACTTAAATAAATCTGTCTTTTTATCTCTTTATCTATTAATTATCTTGTTCTTATGAGTCTGTCTTCTTTTCATAAACAGCCTATTCATCATCAGCTGATCTTGTCAAACAGCTCAAGACTCTCAGGTATCATATAAAGATCACACCACATGACCCAGTTTCACTTTCAAGAGACATCATGAGTCTGCAAGTGTCTCCCCTCCGCTGGGGCAGCAGTGAGATTAACATCAACATTAGTGAGTCACTTGGAGGTGTCATCTCAAAGCTAACACTTAACAACAAAAATTTACAGGGCAGAAATTAATGTGTTATATTGACCCATTTCCTTTGTTTTAAGACAGTATGAAAGTCATTTTTACACCACACTTTAAACACACACACACACATACATAAAAAACGTGTAATTGGATTCATGACTGGAACGGTCTGGGGGCGAATGTTTAGTAACTCTTATTAGCTGTAAAAACAATTACGGCTATGCTGTACTGTAATACTGCATGTCAAAAACCTGAATTACAAGAGTTTAGGTGCACTCCCCATGAAAACAATTTAGGGAAAGATAATAGAAAAAAAGGCTCCGACTCCCTCTTCCACTCCTGAAACTAATTAATCAGCTGAATCATATTAAGACAGAAATATCTGTAGTCCTTGGTGACCATTTTTTCATAATAGACACAGGGACTGAACACTGCGCAGCTGACTATGTCCCAGCCTGGGTTGCACAGACAGGTGCTTTGTGTTGTGTGGTTAAGTTTCACTGATGCACAGTTTTCTCTGAGTTGCACTTGTCTGTGTGCCTCTAACTCCCATGTCTCCCAGCCTCCAGAGTCCAGGCCCCCCCCTCCTGTCACTCTCCCTGCTGATATGGTGGAAATCAATGGCTCCTCTATTCTGTGGAAGGTCTGATGTCTGCTAATGAAATCCTATCTGCCATGAGTCATCCATCTGATAGCTGCCGGGACAACGACTGGCAGAGGGACCGTCTCTCCAGCATCATTTATGACTTATCACACGCTCAGACATGCACACCTTTATGGGATTATCCATCCATGCAAACACAGATGTGTTGTCTGCTGAAGCAATCACCTCATAATTGAGGTCATTTTTCGACATTAACCTGCTCACATCACATTTGGTCCACGGGTGCCCACTCTGGTGTTTTGCTGCTTGTGATTTCATTTCTTGGAAAATTTCCAAACACTTCATAATATTTGGAGTTTATTTTATATTGTATAGCCTGGGGCTGCTGTAGCTCAAAGGTAGGACTGGTCGTTTCTCAATCAGAGTTTTAGCAGTACGATTCCAGCTCCTGCGGTCAAATACCACTGGATTTTTAGGGAAGGCACTAAACATGAAATTGCTCCTGGTTTTAAACTCCGTGTATAAATGCATTATAAATAAAGTTAGCTACGTTTACTGATCAGCTACTATTAGAACTGGGCGATTGATCAAATTTCAGTTTCAGTTATGATGTTGGCCCTCTGCAATCATAAAAAATGATAGATCGAGACTGAATGATTATAACCTTTAATGAAGGGAAAATCAAAATGTATCTTTGTCTTTAAACATCTGATTAGGGCTGGGAGATATGGCCTCAAATCCATATCACGATATATTCAGCTGTTCACCTTGATAATGATAAATGGACGATAACTACTCCACAAGGTTTTTACACCCTCCCATATTAACTTTGTCTGCTTCAGCCGCCACACCAGCGCTACAACTGTCCTCCATCTCCTCACCTGTCTTTCCCTCTTTGTTATGGACTGGATGGGGTGGAGTCACGTCTCTGAGGTAGGACAGCATCATAAAGGGACACGAGACCATAGCCTACCTACACACATCCAAAACTTTTATTTATTTATTTTTTTGACACTGAATATATTGACATGGGCAAAATGACGTCGCTTATCATCGTAAATTTCGGTATCGGTAAACTTTTGGTTTATCGCCCAGCCCCACATCCACAATTACTACATTTCGCACAACAGATACAGATTCATTACCCCAGACTGTTCTCCAACACTCATACACAGTGCGCAAACACACAAGCATAAGTTATAGCTCAACTGTGATTTTATTTCTCCACTTTTAACAGCCACACATCAGTTCATATACACACATTGTGCTACAAAAAGCTGAAATGCTTTTACAAAAATGAAAAAAAGAGGATGTTTTCTGCAGCTACTTCATGACCTAAATGTTAGCCTTAAGTACACATAGAGTGCATAACGCCTAACACTCACATAAGCAGGAACCCCCCATGCAAACACGCCTGAAAACATGTCACACAGCTGGCGAGACGCTCGCACACATGCTGTGTTTTTCTCTTTAATCACACCCTTAAAACCCTCCATCATGAATCCCATTCCTCTTACCCTACAACTCTCTCCCAGCAGCCCTCCAACCTTTCAATCCCTCCTTCATCATCACTACATCCCTCTACCCGACCAGTATCAATCCAAACACTGCTAATCTCTTCCTGTAGCTGTGTCCCTGCGTCACTGTGCGAGTGCATAACCCACTGATTGAAACTGACATCTGTTTGCACTGGCCCGCCTCTTAGCCATACAGTACAGATACGCACAGGCAGTGCTGAACACAAACACAACCAGAGATATGGCAGGGAGGGAGGGTGTTCGTCCCGCACTTGGATGCAGAAAACACTATTTTTACTGACATATAAGAAATTGATAAAACAGCAGTAGGGTGGATAGAGGAGATGAAAAATGATGCTTTGAAAGAAACAAGAAACTGATGTCAGCAGTCTCTGTTATTTCAAGGCCTATTTTGTTCTATGCAGCTATAGCATTTTATTCCCCCTAATATAAGTACCAGTGTCCCAGGATGTAAGGACATACTGTAACACAACAGCTCAAATACAAACAATAAAAGCAGATTTTCCACATCAGCTTTTAGGATGTAAAAGCAAAGCCTTTTTACTTTGGTCCAAAAATAAAAAAAAAGTAAAAAACACTTGAAAAATAGATGAGTCGCTATATTTTGTTCCTAACAAAGTGGACAAGAATGATAAAGTATAAGAAAAAGGGGCATGGTGACAGTTTATCTTCATTGAAAACATTTTGTACATCTCTAGTTCCTCCCTTTCAACATTCCTATACACATCTACTCCCACACAGAATAAATCATGCTACTTCCTTAGGGCTTTTTGAAAGGTATGCTGAGAATGGGGATTATGTACTGAGGAAGACGGAGCAGGTTAAAAGGTAAGGAAGTACTTTAAAAACACACTAAGTTGTCTTATTAGAACATGATTGGTGTGGCAGTCTGTCTGATAAGAGACAAAAAAAATAACCACCACACAATTTTAATCCATTTCACTGCAACAAGATTTCATGTTAATTTATTAATCAAGTCAACTCAAAGGGAAATTGAGCCAAGCACTAACTGTCAGCTAGGGAGCTGAATACATTATGCAGAGAAGCACATTAATATTATATGACCAAATAAATCCAACTTCCCTAAGGGTTCCCCGGGTATGGCCCCCCTCTCTTTCGATAAAGAGGGAAACACAGGAAAAGGGGGTAGGAAAGGAAAAGAGTTAACATGTTGTTCACACCAGCTGGATAACAGGAAATAAGAGATGTAGAGGGGGTGAAATGGGTGAAGGTGAAAGGTGTCTCCACCTTTCCTCATCTGCAAGACAAACCTCAGTGAAAGCAGAAATAATAATGCACTAGCCGACCTGGACTGAGCTGTTTTGGACACAGAAATGTCGACAAAAACCTGAGTAGCTGAACCTGTGTTGTAGAACCAAGATAAATATCCAGACAGATGACATGAAACAAAACAAACTGGACCCTGAGTCTTCCTGCCTCACATGCTGATCAGACCCCTAAAACAGCCACGAGCGAGGAAGTGACTCAACAAAAATACAGGCCTTTCATAATGATCGTGTCCTCGTCCCCTCCTTCTGTATCTTGCCCTCTCCCTCCAGGGCTCTGACACGCATTGCTGCTCTCCATGTATCTCTTCCCCTCTCACGCTATCCTACCAGGACATAGAAACTCACTTCATCTCCTGTTTTTTGAAGCTAACATCAGAATTTTGTTATCTTCTCCATCCTGACAGTGATGTTTGAGCACACTTTTCACACCCCATTTTCCTCCACTCTCCATGCTTGCGTCAGCTTCTTTGTGTGACTCTCAGTCATTGAGTGTCTCTCCTCTAATTGGGTGCTGTGGATTGTCTTTTTAGCTAAACTGCAAAAGACAGTATTATGAAGGCAGATTTTTCAATGTGAGTTTGACTGTAGAAAGACAAAGAGATAACATAAATAAAGCGAAGAGAGGATCTAGACTGTGACCTGAACACGTCCTTCTAATGTGTCTGCAAGGACAGACTGATAATACGTCACTCAAACAGACAGCACACTCTGAGACACTGAACTATTTTACATAACATCTCAGAAGCTGAATGATCAACCGGGCAACATCTATTTGGTTTTTGCCTGAAGTCTGCAAGATGATGGATCCACCAGAGACTTCCCTGCTCTAGTTATGTCATAAACTACAACAGAAAGGCACCCATGGTGCTATCACATTGACGATATTAGCGCTGCTGCAGCAGACACAATAACTAGGCTGTCTTTTCACGATTTAACATTTTCCACTGATTAAATAAGAGCATGAGTCTCTGACACTAAATCACTGACTGTTTTGACAGCAGGCTCCTCTTATCTGTGAGTGGACTGGAGATGCAACAATACAGTTAGTCCACTTTTCAACACCTACCTCAGTTTTCTGGTTATCTGATGGCCCAGGCTGTCACACTTCGCTTTTTTGATTTCATTTTTAGGTGTTTTGAGTAATTTTACAGGAATATCGGGGGGAATAATACAATTTTTCAAAATTTATTCCTAATGATTTCTTTATTCTAAAAAATACATTTCCTGTCATATACATCACTGTTATATTGTATTATATCAAATTAGTTTACAAAGATAGAATCATAATATTTGTAGGTATAAGTAGAGATAGACAGATTAATTAGTTAGCCAATACATAAGGCTGATTGATGGTACTTTCAAATAATTGGAATCATAGCAGCATAAGCCCCCACAAGGCCAAATCACCATTATCTTTCCTAATGACAGATACATTTCTCCCTAGTGATAGCATATCAAATCTAAAACCGACTCTGGCTAGTGTGTGATATAAATTCTGTTACTGTTTTAGTAACAATACAGTATATTAATTATATCTACTAAATTCTACTGGAGTAACGGACACATGCAAAATAATGTTTGCAGACAGGCTTGTTTTTGTTTACTGTCGACCACAGCTCAGATCTGAAAGATAGTGGTGCTTCCTCATATTGCTCTTCACCTCTCTTCATGTTAAAGAACTGTGTGAAATCTGACACTGACACAGTCGACTTCCCTCAATTTAGCACAAAGTGATTGGATGTTTACTTGGACTCTCAGGCACACACAAACAGAGCCAATTTGGAGCAATATTATGTGTCAGCAGAGCAGAGGTCAGCACGTTCAGGACCATAATTTTGGGACTGTGAGAAACATAATGAATGCAAGCTAATTAATAAACACAAAAACAAAAATACTGCAAGTCAAAAGTGAACCGTGAATGCTGTTTGCGATATAAATATTCGTGGTGTGGCGCTTCTCTTTTCTAACTTCTCCATGTTAAAGGGGGATCTGCTCAAACACAGGAACAGTTAAAGCAGTTCAACCGGTTGTTTTTACAAACATATTTTAAGCAGTGTCTGATCTGTCATTCAGGAAACAATTTGAATATGCAGTAAAAGCAACCCCCCAGCTGCTACAGGATTACACAAACATCTCTGTTTATCTGGCACTGGATCCTTGGCTTCATTACATAACATTGTCCGTGTGTGTGTGTGTTTGTGTGCATTTGAGTAGATGTGACCGGGCAAAGTACAAGATGAAATTTGGAAGGGCTGTCATGAGGATGTTGTGTCTATGAATGACTGAGTTAATAAATGAATATGGTGTCAGGAAGAGCGTGAACAAGCTCAAGCAGATTGACTTTGACTATTCTCCCTCCGGCTCTTCCTCTTCTGAGTCTCTGCCCCTGCGTGTCTTTGTTGTGGGAAAGTTCATTTGGTTCTCTGACAAACTTATTGTTGAGCACAGTCACAATAGTCCCATTGTACTGCGGCAGATTCAACAATGGGTTTTCCTCAGTGTGTCTGACACACTTTGTGAGGAAGACACTCAAAAGTATGCACTTTGAAGATTTAAGGATCGCACATATTTTTTTCATACAGCCATTGTCTTCTGTTTTGTTGGCATCCATGCACAACAAATACTCGCACAAAACTAAATGGCTTTTCCATCATCTTGCCTTCCTTTGTACTTATTTCAATTAACACGTGCCCACATCAGTCATAAGACAAATCCATCTGTAAACTGCTATCAAACATGCAGACATTTCAGAACTCACTGCATTTTAGCCATGGCCTTTTAGCCATCCTTTGGGGCCACATGTTAATATACACACTTACTACATACTGTAATTGCATGCTATTAAAGCAGTGATATGCCACTCCTACTGTGCTCCAGTTTAGGAATTTCCTTAAGAGCAACAGCCCTGCAGCTTGATTTCTTCAATCTTTCGCTCTCTGTATGCCGAGTGACAAACAATACATCTCTAAGGATCTGTGAGAACATAAAGGCTTGTTTACAATTACTGCATCTGTTTGCCGTGAAAATGTGGATGGATAGATTTGCAAGTCTACCATGGCTGTGTCCGTGACGAACAGTATTAAAGTAATGCTGGGGAAAACAGACTCAATGTGTGAGTCAAGAGGGAGAATCGGTGGCACAAATCCGGTGGATAGCGGGAAGATATATTTCTGCATTTCCCATCCACAGAAGCTACTCTACTCTGTTACATATACCATCATAAAGTTTTTTGCAAGGCCACCGAGGGCTGTTTCCAATGCATCAGCCCACATAATTTGTGTGTTTGAGCCAATGGCGAGACATGGAATTACTCATTTGGGACTGTAACAGAGAGCAGCGTAGCAGTTCCTGCAAATAAAACATCAGGAGAAGATTCATACAACTCACAATGTTTTTCACAACATGGATATACTGATACAACAGCCTTTATATTTGTCTGCTCTCACTGACAGAACAAACAAGTATTTACTCAGAAACCAATACAAAATTTCACTTAGGAGCCTCTGTCAATCTACTCAGCCAAAGAGACATGAGTCAGCCTCGTGGTCGTTACCCTGGAAACCATATGGAAGCAGAGCCTTCCTGAGAGCCACCGGGGATGTGCTGCCATGTTTAAGGTCATTGATCTTTTTCCAGCACATCTCAAAGTGAATGAGAGAGTGGTAATAAAATATGACTGTGACTGTGTGAGTGAGGCCAAAACAGCTGCATGTTTATAAAACTGAGCTCAGCATTAGCCTCCCGCGTCCACCGTCACGACTCCGTGAAAGAACAGATGATACCACTGCAGCATGACCAAGCTGCTGTTATCATGCTTGTGTTGCAGGAAAAAAAGGCCCCCTTGAGCTTTGTCATAGGGCTGGGCGTTATAGGCTTGAAAATTAAACTGTCAGGTCTTTACAAAAAAACTCATTTTACAATTTCTATCAATTTGTCTTTTTCTCCTAAAATATGAGTACAAATGACAAAATCATGACCCAAAATACAGTGGTTTGTTCAAGGTCTGGAAAACCAAACCGGTTCCCAATGACTGACCAGACCAGGCCTTTTTTTTTGGGAATAAACTCTTCACCCATGCTAGCAGCCATGTTGTTGTTGAGTGTGTTAGTCCCTACAGGTAGTGAATGAGGGGAGAATGAAGTTACAATAGGAGCAACTCTAGATTTTTCTTCCTGTTTATTGCATATTGCAAATTAATCTGTGATCAATTTATTGTACAGCTCGAACTGGCCCTGAACATAAAGAATAAACTAGGGGAAACCAGGGGTAGCTCATGATTAGACACCACATACAATGCTCATGCTTACTATAATATCACAAAAGAGTGACTCTACTAGAATTGATGATTTGCAAGGCAATCATATTGATGTCTGATGAACTGTAGATTGCAGAGTGTGCATGATTACTGTCACTGGAGTCACCATTGAGGACTCATAAACTAAAGCAAACTCTTTCAGCGCTGCATGTTTTCTTACTCTGCTCATTTCTATACAAATATAACCCAGCTATGATTGATAGTATAGTAATGATGGGTAAACATATTTGTAATCCGTGTGCTATCAATAGACCAACACAGACACAAACAGTGGTAATCCTGACGGGACATTAGGAACAATTCATGTTGTGTTTATCACAACTAAACCAAGACATGCTTTTACAGGCTAGGATAATAATGAGAAGCCGACTGAGAGGCTATGCCCATTAATACTTGTATGCTGTTTATATAGATATAAAGTGGTCAGGGAACAGATAAGTTAATGGATTTCTACAGAAAAAATATATAGGTATAGAGAGTTAATTCACTCCCTTGAGAGTCCCTGCCAGGGTCAAAACCACTTAATAAATGCTCATAAGTGATCATGTCATGTAGAGTGAGGTAATAAACCATTTAATAAAGTCCACCATATGGCCTTGTGTCCTCTCTGCCCTTTACTCTGCAGCCTGGCAAGCTTTAAGTACTGGGCCTCCCTGTGACAGTCTGATTCCCAACCAGGATTAACAAGACTACAAGTCTGAAGCCCTGCAAACGCCCATAAGACATTGCAGTGTTCATTACTACCCACAAAATTGTTGGACTGAGTCAACAACACTCTGACAACATGCTGAAGAACAACAAACAGAGTCTGCGTTTCTTAGAGGCTTATCAGTGCCAGGACAACAATGTCCACTTTCTATAAAGACTGGAGCAACAGGAAATACCATAGGCTAGTTAAAATCAAAGGGTTTTCCCATTTGGGGCACCAGAGTACTTAGTGGAGTTTGAGAAACTTTGTTTACATTTTTGCATTTTGGACTGAATGTGGAGAGAAAGTGTCTGTTAATTTTGACTTAGGGGGTTTGAGGCAATATCACATCATGTCTTCTGTGAAAAGGAAGGCCTTGGTTAAGTGGGAGTGATACAGGACTCATCTTCTGGAGACCAAGAATATGAACAGCAAACTGTCTTACAATCAACCATAAATTTTATACTAAATAAAACAGAATTAATCCAAAAATGTCCATTCTCAGTATCTGTCATTTAACTACAGGTTATCTAGGAGCCCTCACTGATGTCTTCTTGTCTGTAAGTATAACATTCAAAATGGATCTGTTTGGCTTTGTTTTTATCTTGATCATGTTTAAGCCTCCTCCTCTAACTGCTATCCTCAGAGTCCATTTGAAACAGAAATCCCACGCTGCACCAGAATGATTACCTTGAGGAGAGCTGAGTAAATGACACATAAGTGCAGGCTCTCGTGAGTACAGGAAAGCATGCAGGAGATTTGTTACTTAAAATGACATCCCCTTGCAATGCTGTCCACACACTGTGCACCAACACTGATACCGTAATCCTTCTCGCAGGTAATCCAAGAAACTCGTTGAAAATGAGCAAGGTAAGTACTGTAAGGAGCAGAGGTGAATGACAGGAGCAGGCTATCTCATTATGAAGAAAAACGTAACTGAGGCATATCCTTTTTTACACTTATAGAAATGTGCTCTTTGGCATCATCACTTACAGGTCACATTTCACCCAGTTTTTTTTCATCACTGACATGAGCTCAAACTATTAATTACTACCCATTTCCCTTTGAACTGAAAAGAAGATACTACTCCATGCTTTATGCCCCGTGAGTTATCCAGGGACAACCACGCTGGACGTGGCATGGAGCTTTAAAAAGCAGAGCTAACAAGGATTAGCATCCAATTTTAACACCTGACTGTAATCCTGCCCCCACACAGTCCATGCTAAGCCTGAGCTAGCCATGCTAATGTGAGGGAAGCAGTTTGCAGACAGTTTTTTTTTTCTTCTCAACTGTTACCTAACAACTTGGCTCGTGACAAATGCAGTCGATGACAGGGCAGCACGCATGAAGGGGAGGGGGGAAGTGTTGGATTAGCTCTCTATACCTTAACCTCCAGGTCAAGCTGGTGTATTCTTCCAGATAAAAGGTGATTTATTGTATAACTTTGCCCAGCCCTGCATTTCGATAAATCATGATTAAACACTATAAATTTAACAGAAGGGTAGAGATTGCCTGCATTATCAATTGACACCCCATAAACACAAGACACATCGCTGTTGTTTTCACTGATCTGAAATGTGCAGAAGCCGGGCTTAACCTCAGAAACAGACACTGATTCACGGACCATTTACAAAAGAGAAAACTTAAAGCTCAACACCACAGCCATGGCTTATTTCACACAGGCACTGGGAAATCCATTATTTATAATTATCTGTTCTGCATGTGGACCTGCAGATTTGCACAGCATGAGCTTCATATTCTGAGTGTGTACATCTCTGACCAAGCGCTGACAAGGCGAAGGAAAGAAGCCTTCACTCTGGTCATCATCTTAATCATAACCTCCACTGGGTAGTTTGTAATTTGTATGATGACCTATATCTGACAGACAGTGATTTTGTCACGGCTGTTGTTATCACAAACTGCTCCTAAGATGATGCAGTAACATGGCAGTTTTTCACAATGTTATCATACATTGTGGAGAACCCATCAGTGTTGCAATAGCCATCTTAACTATTTAAAATCTTATTGAACTTAAATGGTGATCTATTCAGACTTATCTCTCCTTTTGTGGGTGATAAAGAATGTAAACATCAATAATCAGCCATGTATTTGCCTCGTATTTGAAAAGATAACCTTACACTTGAACAACTAAGCTCACTTGGTGGGCTTGTGGGTATTATATTCTTTCTTAATTTGTAAATATGACCCCCTTCTTTCCAGAGCCATGCATCACATGTAAAGCGTATAGACTTGGCATCAACACAAAATGTGTTTAGAGAGTATAGACTGTAAAAAAGGCTAAATTTCAAACTGCAAGAAACTGTCAATTATCAGAAAGCTGTTCCTTTGAAATCTATACCAATGTTTCTATCTATCAAATCTGCTCTTAAAAGAAAATGTCCCCACAAATGCTTCTGTAAACAACCTCACTTCGAACCATAGTTAAAATTTGACCACTTTAGTAACACTAACAAACAAACATGCACAAGCACAGCCAGACAAGGAGCTAATGAGATTCTTCCTGAGCAGCAGACATACTGATATGGAGTTCATTTTCTAAATGAAGCAGCATAAACAGGCTTGAATGACGACAGCTTTGACATTTGAGATTTCTTTGGATCAGAGGCAGAAAATAAACAATAAAAAACACAGAAACAAAAGGAAAAGTAAATAACTGCAGGGACGCGATAAAAAATGGCTGATCCCTACTTTCACATGTTCACTGCTACAAAATGCTGCCTGTGTATCACTGAGTCTGAGAGCTTACATAACTCAAGGTTAATTCAGTAAAAGTCAACACATCTCTGATGCTCTGCGTAAACAAATAGCCGGTAGTCTCTGATAGAGGATGACAGAAAAAAGTCAAGGATAAGAAATAGGAGTCATCATATGGAACAGATGGATGGATGGAGGGTTTCGTGTGCCAGCTGCAGAGCTGTAGGGATTCATCCCTCCATCACCGGCCTTCCCCTCTGATGATGTCATCAATTAAAGGGACATGGAACTCAAACACTCATCAATTCTCTCTTTCCTCACTACACTCAACCCAAAATAGATGGACCAGGCCGACCATGGGTGGGAACAAATGCATATACGTAACCTTCCTATACAGACATGCGATGCTTACTCACTAGTGCTGGGTCAAATGGCAATGTACTGTGGGCAGAGTCATACATTGCTTTGAGTATGTATGAGTGAGTGTCTGTTTTTTAACACCATACAAAGAGAATTCATACTAGTGAGCCAGCTGGGTACATAAGCCGTCCTGCACAATAAATCCAAATAATCCTTTACGATGGGAAGCGGGAAATGGGGGGGCTTGGGGGGGGGTTACTAAGACATTTGCACACACACAAAACACATTTAGTGACAAAAGGTACACACGGTTCAATTAGCCTTGCTATTGTGCCTCTGTGGTAGACATTCAGCGGCTGAACCCTTTTCCTTAGAATAACGTGCAAGTCACCCGAATGTATGTACTCAAAATAGCAGGGCAGCTTATGACATTTAAACGTCCCAAACGCATACATGCTGGCCAGCAGATAAAGCGCTGTAGGACAAGGACATGGGGGGGGCGGGGGGATTACCCTGAGCAGAACAGAAAAAAAAAAATATATATATATATATGTATAAAAAAAGATCATCTTACCTTCCATCATGGTTGCAGATTTGCATTCCTCTATCTCCAAGGAGCCTGAAATGAAAACAGGAGGTGGCGGGAGGGGGAGAGGAGAAGAAGCCCCCGGTTACCAGAGAGATACAGTAGAATTGATGAGCAGCAGAGCAGCCGTGTGCATGTGGCTAACGCCCTGGCTAAATGTAAGCCTCAAACACTCCCAGACGTCGCTTGTCAACTATCCCAGAAGGGTCAGAGATACTGAGAGATAGAAAACAGAAAGAGGAGAGAGGAGGGGTAGGGGCCTGGCCGGACTAGCTGCCGAATCAGAGCCCGGGCTTAAGCCATGGATGATGCTGCTGCTGCTACTGCTGCTGCTACTGCGGCTCTAACCTACAGCCGAGGATGCTGAGAGGAGGGGGAGAATCTAACCGGAGGAAAAAAATAAATAACAGACGCAGGGTAGAGAGAGGGAGGGAGGCGGAGAGACTGACAGGGAGGGAGGGTTGTGTGTATGTATGTGTGTGTGTGTTTGGTAAAGGGGGGTGGGAGTGTTGAGTAGGGGCGGAGGCAGCTTGCTGAGGTCAGAGATGGCCTCAGCCAATCCCAGCAGCCTTTAGTGGAGTCACATGGCATACAGCTTGAGTCTCCTGACACCATGGCCCAAGAGAACACTACATTAGTAACCTCTGTGTGTGTTCAGTGTGTGTGCAGAATTATTTGTCAAGCAGAAGACATGTTTACATATCCAAATAGGGGCACAAAGATGCCACAAGACATGTACAGAGCAAACACAGAAGATACACAAATATCCTATACACACACACACACACACACACACACAAACACCGCATGCACCCCTCCCCTTCATCCTACCTTATGTCAGTGCAGAGAGCCGAGCCTGCTCAGCGGTGAATGACATCAATTATTTGCTCGCAGAGAGACTACCATGCAGGTGTGAGCCAAGTGACAACCCATGTTCAAGACACACACATACACACACAAGCGCACATAGACACTGACTCTAAAGCCACATATTAACACAACACTGCACAAAATATCTACCCTGCACCCTCCTGCACAGTGACTATTCCTGTAGTAGCAGCCTGTGTTCCCCTGCCTGAGTCCCGCCCCCTTGCAAAAAGGTGTGGTTTTACTCTGCCCTCTCCCTTTCTCTCCTCCCACCTTCCTCCTCCTCCTCCACCTCCTCCTTCTGTGCTGCTCTCTTTCAGTCCCCTTCTTACTTTGAGTCTCTACTTTCTCAATGCACAGGGGTGAGGATCGATCAACGTGACGTCGCAGCAACGCAAGCTACAACTGCAAGCGGCAAGCAGGAAGCAGGGTCAATGACAGATCAGCCCCTGGATAGAGTTATGCACTTGTTTGTGTGTGTGTGTTTGTGTGTTGATTAGTTTTCTAGGAGGTGGTGGAGAGAATGAGAGTGAAGGAGGGGGTGTATGTGTGTGTGCACAAACACAAGAGAAGAGGAGACTGACAATTAGACAAAACCTAGAAAACAAGAGCAACAACACAGAAATAATATAGGGTATATCAGAGTACTGACTAGGAATTGCTATAGTGAGCTGTTTGAGTGCAGAATAATTAGTAATGGTCGTTAATGGTGGTAAAAGTAACAGTAATAGAAGTAATATTGTTAGTATTGAACAAATGCTAACTGACTATCAAACAGCTCAATTTTTAACGTTATTATAACTGTTGATGTGAATTTTTAATTGCTATAATTCACATTTGTAGTTGTTATTTATGCTCTTGTTCATGTTTTCAGTGATACATAAAACAAACTTTTTAGTTAAACCTGCCATTTGTGCAAGTTATCATACAATAACATTAGTTATGAATGAAATCTATGCAAATAACTGATTGATTGAAAAAAATACGATTCATCTGGATGCAAACATACCAAGAGAACCACACTGCAGCACTTTTTAAAGCCACAAAACCTTGATATTGATCTTTGATGAGTAATCTACTGACAGGCAACGTGATCCTTTTCCTCTGGACCAGGTAAACAACAGCTTTCATGGCAAATATAGGTAGATGCATTTTAAATTTTAGAGGAGATTTTCATGTGGTAGAGATTAGTTTAAAATATGATTATTTGAAGGTGATCATATACTGTAAACTCTACATATTTATGAGAAAAAATGTGGCAGCTAAATTCCTCCAGATGGACAAATGTCTTTATGTCTCTTTGTTTATCTCTCCATCTTCAGCCACGCTTTAAAAAGAGCCAGCTGTGTGCCTCTCCATGCCCACTGAATCCTCCCAAGTCATGCTCAATCCCACGTGATAATACCCCCTCTAAATAAAACCTCCTTCTCTCTTTCTCTCATTTATCACCTCTTTTCTTTTAACTTGCGTATTTCTCCATTTTCCCTGTTTTTATCCGGTTATTTTTCTCAAGCTGCCACAGTGGCCCAATCTGTCACTTGCCTCCTCCCTCCTTTCATCCCTCTTTCTTTCCTCACCCAGCTCCTCTGTCTTAACACCCAGCAGATGCTCCCAAACAGAGGGTCCCTCACCCTCCCACCCTGCCCCCAGCCTTAACTCCCCTCCCCCTTGTCCTTTTCTCTCCCCTTTACTCCTCTAAAGCTGTATTTACTGACTTCCGTGCCCCCTGCCCATTCTGAATTGCTGCCTCCTGCTCTTGTATTAACACTAACTTTTCTGTTCTCTCATTCTCCAGTTCTCATGATTTTATCTTTCTCCCCCCAATTTCAGCTTCTCTAATTCCAACTGATTTAATTGGCAGCAAGACAACTGGCATCTTCTCCTGCACTGCCATCTAGTGTTTGATGAGAGTCATTGGAGATGTTTACTATTCTTACACTGTTGTGAAGGTTTAAGTATTCTGGACGTCCCTTAATTTACTGGTCCTCCATCAATGATCCATACTACACATTCACTGTAGGGTGTCAAGCCGTTTACTTGTGTAATTTCTGTGATAAATCTACTCACAAATGCTGCTATGCCAACTAGTGGAGGTGTATAGAACCGGGGGAGGAGGAGGGGAGGGAGGATTTGCTAAATAAAGCCTAATGCCTTATAAGCTCTGTTTTTGGAGCTGCAGGCGTGGAGCAGCCTGAAGACAAACAAACAGATATGTCATTAACTGTGAGGTGTGATACATCATTTACATTATATCTAACTAATCAGAAAGTAGTGCCATTTTTGACAATCTTCATAATCAAATTTTTTAACACTCATATATGAAGATACATATTGGTTTTATTTACTTCAAATGCATATAGATATTGTCCGAACAGGAATAGAAATACAAACTCAAAGATTTTTCTATAAATTTTACAAATACAATACCTAATGTATTTTTAAATCTTAAATCATATACCCTCCATGGCAACATTATAAATTTAACTGATGGTATTGATTGGCTACTCTACTCACCATGTTGAGGTGTACAAATTGTTTAACGCACTTGATATAAATATTTGGAGTGGCCTCATGGAAATAATATCTGGAGACATTAAGTAATAAAGAGTGAGGCTCAAACTACCACATTTGGAGTTACTGCAATAAGAGCACTGAATGGAAAAACACGTGCTAAGGAGGAACCACTGTTCCTGGTATGCAGAGATACTGATGTGCCAGCTTTGACAGAGTGGGAAATCTCTGTACATTAACTTTCCACTGGTCTGTAAGCTCTGTATCCAATGATGGGCTCTGCAAAAAAGTTTTCGATATCTGTGACTGTGGTGGTGATTGTTGAGTATTTCTCTCCTGAAAATAAAACCCTCCACAGGGTTGCATCTCTGTCTGACTGTCTTAGCCATATGGTTTGCATTGAGACATGCTTTTGACTCAAAACACTAAGCTGACGATAGCTGAACATAATACCAGAGCACATATTGTTGAACTCTTCCTGATATAAAACAAAAACAAGTTTTTGATTACATTCTTAATAATCATCTACCAGATGAATTGTTCAAACCATAATCAAGGTGTACTCTCTCACAACTCAAAGTGCAAACAGAGCCCAACTGTTTCTTCAAGCTATTGCTTCAGGTAACAACACAGCATATAAATATTTGTCGCTTGGCAACCTCTATGATTAACTTGTGACAGGAGCTGCGGCGGCTTCTGCTTGGACACCAACACGAAGATGAAAACAACAGTTCCAAGATTTATTGTGTATGCAAAGCACGTAATGGACGACATAACAGGCAGCTTTACTTTATAATGTGCATTGTGTCTTTTCTGTCACTGTCGCTGTTTAAAGCTGTTACTGGGTACCTAAAATGCTGCAACACAAATGGCTGCAAAAGTGAGCATCCATGCTAATACTGAGTTCAGTGTCGGACTCTGTCATGCTGACTGCGGCTCTAGGTCTGTTATTTGTTGACATAGTGACACAGAAATCTCATCTTAAATCTCATGAAATCTCATGCCGTAAGATCTCATCACACCCCCTATTTGATAACAGTGCCCTATGAAAGTCCCTTCTGGCATGAATGCTATCCACTTGTACAGGCGAGTTTTCCTTAAGTGCAATTTCACCACATGATTTTATTTTTGTGTGTGTGGGTGTATTATCTGGATTTCAATAAAAGATGTGTGCCTGGTTACCATGGGAATAGTTGCTTCTTTTTTATTGACTTGCTTTCATTTTCTCTCTAAATGGCAGAACCAGAGTGTTTTTAATGCATCTCCAAAGACACTTCACAGCAATCATGCAGATACGCACACACAAATATCATAAGCAAGCGAACAATCATACCTGTTACATACAAAATAAATGAGGTCAAACAAATGTGAAGGTTAGATAACTGATTATTTTACAGTTTAGCCGCACACATTTTCATCTGCAGTCGATACAAAGCGATTAACTCACAACCTGTGTCCCCACAAGCATCAGACATTTGAGAACACACACAAGATCATATCACCTCACCTCCCCCCCTGCTAAAGGAGGTGAGATGTGCTGTACTCAAAGGTCAAGTGAGAGGGTTTACCTACTGTACCTGCAATGATGCGAAACCAGCCAGTACACAGCTCCTCAGCCATTTACAGCTCTTTCCATGGACCTCCTTGTGCTTATCCCAGCCAGACGGTGAAGAAGAGGGGAGAAGACGAGTAGAGGACAAAGACTATTTTCTGAAAAGACAAGACGGAGACAGGAACAGGGAGTAAACCAAGGACTCTGTCACACTGAGCTGTTGAGAGGATGCTCACGTACGCTGATGCTGGCACATAATTTGACCAGTGCAAGTGTATGGAGGCATGCACACTGTCAGGCAGGGACACAACCTGTGGAGAATAGTAATGTGGAACAGGAGACTTTGAGTCCAGACAAGTCGGGCAGTGAAGGTCAATCCATCCTCTACTGCAGTACAGCCACACACACATTAACACTGTGAATGTTTTCCTGTTCAAGTGCAGATTAAATTGGTTGTTGATTAACCTCTTGTGTATTTTTCTGTTAATCAATCAACTGATTTCACCAGGAAATGATGGAAATTGTTAGTAGACTTGCAAAAAGTCTAACATGATAGTTTGGTGTGCAACACTGTACTGTGTAGGAGACAAGCAGGACACAAGGAAATATTCACAGTTAACAAGACTGGATGGAATAATCCTGACTCTAATCATCAAACAGATGGATAGTATTTTGATAGTTTACAACTGATTATCCATTGGAGTTATTTAAACTTTTCTTCTGCCTCTTTACAATTTGATCTCCTGAAAAATTTTCTCTTAAATCTATTTTTTTTGGATTTTCTGCTTTTACTGAGGGGATAGGACAGTGGATAGAGTGGAAACCTGGGATAGAGAGAGGAAAATGACAGGAGACAAAGGGCTGGAATTGAACCTGGGCTGCCCACTTTGAGGATTACTGTTCATTAGGCCTGTCGCGATAATCAATAAATCGCCTTATCGCTCGGTAAATAAAAACGAGGTCGGTCATTTTGCCAGCCTCGATAATTAACGTGCGTTTGTTTTCCTCCTCTCTCGCTACCAAACACGCTGGATGAGAGAGGAGGTCTCACTCTGCGCATTTTTCTCGGCACCTGGGGGCGTTGGCTCTATAGCGGAATGAACGGAGTTAGTGAACCCTCCTGTCAGTCATTCAGTGTCTTTGTCACGGGGGGGGGCGCGCGCACAGGTACACGTAGGCGCGCACAGGCACACAGACTTTTGGATACAGTGCTGCAAGTGAGCGTAGTGAGTGAAAAGCAAGCAAACAGAATGAACACGACAGCTTTGGTGTCTAAACCGAACGCAACAGCCCAAGTGTGGGAATATTTCGGCTTTAAACCAGTTTTGTTTTCGTCAACCACAAAACTCCACGTGTTTGCGCGCGCGCTCGTGTGTGTCTGTGTGTTGGAGGAGCACAGCAGGCTGATGAGAGCTGTCAGAGCGGACCTAAGCTGCTCCTATATGTTTAGCGTTTAACTGACTGAGTTTTGCAACTCTGTTCGTCATTTTCGTCTCGTCCCATCAACGTAAACGCACTTTCATCTCGTCACATTTTAGTCATCTCCGACTTATGTTTAGCTCGTCAACGTTACGTCTTCGTCGTGGGTAAAATTAAAGTTTATCACTTTTGACACGGTGTACTCGCATTATTATGCCATTTAATATCATTATCTATAATTTAAAAAACGGTGTCAATAATATCGTTTATCGGCGATAATTTGTAGCACAATTATCGTCCAGCAAAATTTGTTATCGTGACAGGCCTACTGTTCATACATCTGTACATTGGGTGTGCAATTTAACCACAGTAACAATTTTGTTGTTCTGGGGAAAAACATGCACACACACCAAACTTTTTTATAAATACTGCTTTAAGACAGGGACAGCGGAAAATATTATTCAGTATTGAAAGTTAGTGACAATCTTAAAGATTAATTGATTTCCTCCCTAACAAATGAAATAGACGTGCTGTTGGCGCCATCTGCTGTTCACTTGAACAATGTGCTTTCCAACATTTAACTACTCATCCACTCTTACGGCTTCACTCAAGAGAAGTGCGGGGATGATTTAACAATTGGTGCAGTGCTGACAAGTAACAATCCAAAATGCAGAAAATAACAATCCATCTGTAAACTCATTTCTTTTTTGTCTTCCAAGTATCCTTATTCTGATTGGTTCATTGTTACACTCAACCCAATGCTGAAAACAGAGCAGTCTCCTCAACATTCACACAAACAGCACTCAATGTTCAGATTGAGACTGTAGCACAGAGATGTCCTTACATACTGTAGCACCTATCATATACATCTAAAGTGAAAGAAATGAGAGGAAAGGGAGGCTGTTTGATCAAAAGAAATCAATACAGAAAAAATCAATTTCCACCACTCCTACCCATCCACATCCAACGTCCACCTCCCTCTCTCTGACCTATATTCCCTCCACCTTTGTTCATGGTTTTGGCCTGTGGGGTGCAGCATTGCTCTTGTTTAGTCTTTTCTCTTTCCTTCAGTAAAGTATCTCTGCATTTGTTTATAATTTTCCAGACATTTTTCAAAATGAGTTAAAAATAGTAAGACAAACTCAAATGGGTCATTTCTGCTACTGTATGAGTACAGTCATGGAGGGAGAGCAGCAAACTGCTGTGATCATCCGGCGAGTGAGGACCCTTAGGGAAAAGAGGATGAGGTATGGTGTTGGTCACTGTAAGTCCCTGAACTGCTCGTCATTCATCAAATGTGTTCTAGTTTCATCCACAGGTCAGCCCGTAAAACACAAATACTACATTTGTAACAGCAACACTTACAGCCGAATTAAAATGTGGATTTAATACTTACTTCTAATGCAATGTAAGGATATCTGCTTCTCTGTGTTTGTATCTTGATTAATGGTTACTATCTTCTCACAGGATTAACTTTATCAATAGACCACTGTGGAAACCTAGATGACAAGATAGGCACTTTTTTATTGACGTATTTAAAACTAAACAGTCAAATACTAAAATATTGACAACAGTCATTCATGTCATGATATACACACCATCAACCCAAGTCTTTTTGATAGACAGGATGACAAGGAGGCCTCATTAAAAGACTTCAACAAAAGCATTGAATACACAACTACAAGTACAAGACAACAACATTTAAATCACTTTTACTGAGTTTCGGCTTTACAATGCTCAGTGAGGTGAGCAGAATGATGACGCTAATTCAGAGCTACAGGACCAGGGCACGGAAGAGCAGGGAAGGCCCAGTAGCACATGATGTGAACCGAGCTAACAGGAAGAATGAAGGGCAGCTTTTCTCTTGCCATCCAATCATTTGAAAACAACAGCACATCTTTTAAATTTCGACCCTTTATACTTGGATGTCTCATCACGCAGAAATGGCCGAAACTTTTTAATGCACTGCAACCTGAGTCAACTTTAAGGTACTTTTTTATCCTTGTGGCACCCCTGCACACTACTCTTAGCTTAAAATGCAGTGTATGAGGACAGCGCAGGAGTTGTTTATGTTGCCTGCAAGTAAACAGTATCTTTTTACATGGACTTCCTCGGGTTAATGTTGCAGCGGTCATGCCGCACGTACCAATTTCCTGCATGCTGCTGAGGCAACATCCCTGCAAACCTCCACCCGGCTCCATCTCCATCCACCCCCCAAAGTGCTCTGATGAGGGACGATGATTAGGCAGCAGTCATTAAATGTACACAGACGACAAGCACCCACCCACCAATTTTGTAGCAGTAAGTGCAGCCAAAACCAAAACAACTCACTCTGCACTCAGCGGTAGACCGAGGCATGCGGGGCGATAAGGCGTGGTGGTGGCAGGGTGCCATGTCAAGTGCCTACGTGCCACCCAGCCACTCACGATACTCTCAGTCTGTTTGTACTGCCAGAAAGATGGACTGTTCTACATCATTACCCCACTTGCTGCTCTGCCCAGGGGTGTGGGCAGGCAAACATGTACAGAGGAACACACACACACACGCACGCACGCACACACACACACACACACACACACACACACACACACACTTCATCAAGCAGCAAGGATTTCTGTGTAATTAGCACCCACTTCCTAATTATTTGATGATGATGCTGAGGAGGCCGGCTGCCAGCTAAGAGGTGAATTTGGTTTGTTTAGTCTATTGTCACGGGGGTGTTTTTGTTGGATTCATCGCTTCGAATCCTCATATCTCGAAATGATCTTTGGCTCAAAAGCAATCAACTGTATGACAATTTTCTCACAGAGCATTAGAAAATCCACCCAGGTCTGACCTGAATTTCTTGTTTTGAGTTGTTCTAATACGTCTTAGATTTTTTTATAGGGCAACTGAAGAAAGGAAATTATTAGAAATGAGAAATATGAGACTGAAGCACCAAAGGGCTGAGGGTGGATTGAACCAACTGCCAAGTTTAACCAGCACCCTGTTTCTTTTTATTTTAATTTGGATACAAAATTAGATGTAATAATGTTTCCAATCTGACAAAATCATTGCTTTAAACCATTAGATTTGTGTTACTGATTGGAAAGAACAGTTTTTATACAACTTTGAACTTCCATACTACAGTGACCTCTTAGTCATTTAAATTCAAACTCCGCAAAGGCAGTCATTATTTTCTTCAGCTTTACAGAATTACTTATTTATCGCATTAGTTAAATATACAGCAAGAAAAAAAAAGACTCCATATGTGATTATTTTTCAAGGACTGAAATCATGTAAATGTTACTTTAAAAATGCATCTTATATGTTGTCTAGAGAGGCCAGGTGCTTGTGTTTTTTTTATCACTACACTGCCTTCCTTATAAATATTGCACTTTACTGGATGAAATTGTCTGCAGCACCTGCTGAAAATAATCCAACAGTGCATTGTCTCTGGTCCAAGCAAGGCGGGAGGATCTATCGGTCAGCAGGCTGACTGTTTACGACCAAATGTTTAGGTAACATAGTCATACTTCCACAAACTCTGTCAGCCATGCAAAGGCAAATTGAAAAAAAGACAGTTAGAGGTAAATCTAAAACAAACTTCAGATACTTAAACCTTAAAATTATAGCCTTAGATGACTATATTTCCTGCCCTGTGGCACCAATTTAACAACAAACACAACCAGTCTAGATTCAACGACCCAAAACTCCATCCAGAGTCAACCCCCTGTTAAAAGCCCCCTCTGAAACCCCAGTCCTCTCCTCCGGCCTCAAAGCTGGGAATGGAAAAGATGAGCTCATCTCCTGATAGTGGGTTGGTTCGGTTTGTGGTCTCCCTAATGGTCTGCAGGATGTTCACAACGGTCCAATAAGTTCCTGTTACTCAAACCAATTACCATTTCCACAGGCCCAAGCCTAAATAAACACAGTCCAAACCTGCTATACTATCAGCATATATCTATAAACAGAAGAGACGTTTAAATTAGCATGATCCCAAGAGGACCAGCCTTTGCTTGGACAGCCGGGCTGAGCTGACAGAATGGAGCCAGATGAGCTCACTGTGGGGAGTTTCAAGAGGGTATTTTACAGACAATAGAAATAGCACAAGCATGAATTCTATAGTGTCAAATAGCCCCTTTGAACAACTCATAAAGAAATCAAGTTATACAAGTTAACACCTGATATTCATGAGATTTAGAAGCTTGGCCCTGTTTCACTGCTAAATGCAACTAATACGAACAATTGAACTACATTTCTCCTCTGATTGTGAATTATGGCAACATCTTCATATATAGACCAGAGTTGGAAAAAAACGGAGAACGATTTGCCTGCATCACTTAGAGACTCTTTTCTCATTTGGCTGGACACCCACAAGAATGTTATTAATATAGGTTATGAGTGTGCTTTAGTGTGTGACTGTATGTGTGTGAGCTGTGACGTGTTGGTAGAAGCCCAGATCGGCCTCCCAATGACGCATTTAATACTGTGCCCATAATTCATGAGGCCTCTTAAAATAGGAGTGTGGATTTTTAAGATGTGCTCTTCCTGAAAACGCTCCAGGGTAGTGAGAACACCAAACCTGCCTCTGACATAACATAGTAGGTCATGAGGCAGACTTAAAATCATGATATAAGAGGAAAAAGTCTCACAGTGGGTTAGCGTGGTGTCAGGCCTTTCTGTGAACCAAACTAAGACCGAGCATGAGCCACAAATTCACATCATTTCCTGAGCCAGAGGGCATAAAAAGATCACTAACACAGAAAGAATCTCCTACAACAGGAAAGGATAGATTGTCATATAACTGGGTGATAGAGTTGGACAAGTAATACTGGTAATGCGCTGCAATTTCTATGGCACATTTCAGCCACACAATCACTGCTGTGTAATTAGAAGACTAATTCTGAGCACCTTCGCATTACAGCCCGACCGATATAGATTTTTTGGGGCCGAAGCCGAAACCGATTATTGTGTGTGTGTGTCTGTGTGTGTGTGTGTGTGTGTGGGTGTGTGTGTGTGTGTGGGGGGGGTAATCCGATTACCAATTAATTGGCCGATTTTTTAAATTTTGTATGAAGTTATAAAAACATATACTGTAGATATCCGCGGTATATTATATACCGTAGATATACTGTAGGCTACTGCTCTTCATGCCGACAGGAAGACTGACTGATCATCTCAGTAATATTCCACATATTTATTATGAATCAAACTCGGACCGGAAAAGCATTTGCAATATCGGCGACAACCAACGAGTTTTGGCCGATTACCGATTAGTCTCAAACGGGCAAAAATTGGCCGATTTAATCGGCTCGCTGATAAATCGGTCAGGCCCTACTTCGCATAGCTTACAGCAAGGAGCTAGTCCTACAACAGTACATGGCTCTAAGGTAACATCCCCTCTCTAAAAACTTCAGCTTTATCAGTACTTTTTGTAAACAACTGTTTTTTCAACCCAAAACACAATGGAAAGAAACAGATTGCATGTTATCATATATTCACCTGAAGCTGTAGCGAGAGAAACGTCCCACCTGTTTAAGTAATGATTGTCATAATAGCATCAGCTAAAGGATATAACCTAAAAGAAGTAATATTTTTGGGTTGTTTATTTTATACTATCAACAAAGCAACACCGGAAATTGCAGCCCCTTGAGCATGGTCTTGGTGAGTGACAGTAGTCTGGCACAATAGTAATGTAAACTGTATATATAAACAACTGTCATATAACTATATAAGTGATGTAATGTGGAGACATCGAAATTAAAATAAACATTCAAACGAAAAAATTGTAAGTGAGAAATTGAGAAAAAATAAAAACAGAATGTGGGACCCCGGTGTGTGCTTGCATGCCCACACATACAAGCAAAAATACTGGAGCTGACACATCAAAAGCATTTCCACCATGCCGGTGCTGACCCATTTCCAAAATATTCACACAACTGAAACACAAATGTATGACAAATGCACACACACATACATGAAACTATCTCTCCTCAGTAGTGGCTTGCCCTGATCTCACTTACTGACCATGAAATGTTTGACGCTTTCTTATACGTGTTGAGTTTTGAAGCATTTATTTTCCTCTTTTTCTCACAGAGAGCCCCTTCGCCCACCCACACACACTTCCGCTGAACTCTCTGCCTTAAAATGAACAGTCTCTATGAAGCTTACAAATGCACCACTGCGATGCAAAACCTTGTGTGTAGATATATCACACTGGAAAAGTACATTCTTGTCAAATCACACCTACCAAATAGTGAAAAATCCTGATATTGGCTTACTAAAGAGTTTCATGGCATAAAGATGTTCTACCTTTTTTTTGATCAGATCTTTTTCAGACAGGTGCTCCACGGCAAATCCACTTATGATCTGCAAAACACACAAAAGAAAATTATATAATTACACTTCACAACTTAACACACAGTCTTATTCTGAGCTTTAATTAATCAACATATTTTATTTACTTTAAGTACACCTTTAACTAATATTCATTACTCAAAAGGAAACAGTGAAGGATGACAGCTAATGATTATTCAGTGGTAGACCAGATATTTAATTTACCTTTACGTGATTTTTCCCTGTTAATGTTGGTAATTTGTCAAATTAAAATTATTATTATTTTTTTTTTTCCCCATTGGCTGCATTTTTGTTTTCTTTCCACAGTGTGGCAAAATAATTCTAAAATGTCTTTGGAGTTAAAAACAAAATGTGGAATACACAATTATTTTATGTTGCATTAAAACTGTTTTGCACACCGAGTCTCCTTTGCTAGAGAAAAACAAAACAAAACAGAAAACAGTGTTGTCTTCACAGGCACAACCCAGAATTCACTGCCTGATAGTGCTTCATTTCACAACTCAACGCAGGAAACACAGATCAGAAATTTTCCCAGGCTGATTTCCCAGGCAGAATCCATCTAAAACTAAAACCTCATTTCCTACTCAGTGCTGTCAAGCTGGGCAATCCCCTTTCACTGCAGCTTTTCCCACATATCATAAACCTCCGCTTGAACTCACTCTGCTTCAACTCTCACACACGCAGTAGACCTCTGGGGTATTGCAGCAACCCAGAAGAAACACCCTTGAGCCCAGAGCTACGTCTGTTCTGTGAGCTTTTGTTTACTGACAACTGTTACTGCTGTTAAGTATGACTTTATCATTAAATAAGATAAACAATGATGGATAAACTGTTGCAATAACAATGTAACTTTGGAATACTTGCTCTGTTTTGACTGAACTCAAAGCTTTATATCAAATCCTGTACCACCTTTCAAAATATATGATTCTGCATGTTGTTAAGCAAACTTTGATTGTACTTGTAAACAGCGAATGTGTGTTTCCTGAACGTGACTCAGACTGCAGTAACCACACGGCCAGGTCCATGCCAGGACCACCACTGATACAGGATGGCCATGTGAGGACAAGAGCCAAGCTCAGTGCTCAGGTGGAGGTCCATGTGTATGTGATCACAAGCAACAACACCTGTTTAGATTAAATTAAAAGAACAGAGGTTTGTGATTGGACTATAATATCTGCACATGCTGATGTTGTCTCGTGTTTTGGCTCAATTTTCCCCAGGCATCAACACTTCTCACAGCTTTTACAAACCATGCTGTAATTAAACAGACTGATAAACAATTTGTTAGACAACAATAATTATAAAACAAACAATAAATTATATTTCAGTTGTGCCAAACCTCATGCACGACAGCAGTATGACTACAAATCAATATAATTTAATTAAGCAGAGTACAATCACTGATGCCTACAATTATATTTATTTTCGTACAACAGTCTCGTGTCCACATCTCTTTATTTATTCCCTCCTTCATCTCATCATTTCACACATTAAAAAAAACGGTAAAATGAAGCCTGACTGGCTGCTACTCCATCTATTATGATAATGGCATTGTTAAAGGTTACATTATTTTCTCGGCCCCAGTAAGAGTCCCAACACAGCTGGATCTGTAATAGTAATTGCATCCCTGAAGTACTCTCCTAACTTTGATATAAACTCTACAACGCTGATTAGAAACTAATGTTTTCCCTATGTTTTTTGTAACATTTCATTTTCAAATGATGTTAAAGAGAGTCCTCGCTCAGTAGTTTATGTGGCGGGCCGTCTCATTAGTCTAACGTCCTCTGTTGGTAAGGACGTTAGCGTTAACGTTAGCTAACGTTAGCGACCAGTGTAAGTAAACATCTGCCAAAACCTCTCAATATTCTTGTTACGTCTGCTCGTATCGGCTGTAGAAATATGCAACACTTACCGCTACTTGAAAAACTCTTTGGCTTATAAAGTTGTCTTGAATTTTACTCATTTGAAATCAGCAAAAACGTACAATTTACTTCAGACTCGCAACGACACTTGTTCGGTTCTACTAAGTGAAAGATGCCTACCGGAAGTGACAAAGCAAAAATTAAATAGCTTAAAACTGTGCGCTTTTCCATCAGTATAAAATATTGTTATATAATTCTAAAATAAAAAAACATATATCAGGAACAGTTAATCAATCAGTATAAACAGCTATTAGTGTTTTCCAACAATGCAACGTTACCTACCCTTTTCTGTCACCGCATTTAAATTGTGTAGCGCTACCCCGTCACGCGTGCGCATGCGTACATATGTCACAGTTATGGTTTTACAACTACGTAACCGTTAAGACTAAAAATTACGGTAAGGCAACGACTAAGAAGTTAGTTGAAGTCTACAATGTTGAATATTCTTCAACAGTTCGATAAATAGTTCTTCGAGTTTGGAGACGACACCCAAACTTGATAAGCCAAGTTACTTGTTAGCATTAAAGACCATAGCTGCGTCCGAATTGCCAAGTAGTAGTCGAAGTAGAAGTCGAAGTAGTATCTAGCATGTCCGAATTGGCCACCGGAGCGAGTAGCATGCTACTTCAGATACTACTTCAGATACTAGACACGCCCACATTGTAGGTTGGTCTCGGTGCATCCTACGGGCATGCTACTGACCCAAAATGCACCACGGGCTTCTTCTTCGTCCTCTTAAAAGTTGTCTTGAAGCGCATGTGATGCAGCAAAACCAGCTGCTCTGCCTATTTAAATGTACTCGCAACGACACGTTCGGCTGGCCACAAAGCGAAACCATGCCTACCGCAGCAGTACAGATGTAAGTTTCAAACTTAAATAGTCCTAAAAATGTGCGCTTTATCTCTTTGTCATAAAATCATGGTGTCATATTTGCCCAAGTAATCATTTTATGAGCAACATTAATGGCGACATCATGTAGGTAAACAGCTATTATTTTTCATTAAACTGCACAGCTGCAGTACTACAGCCAGGCACCGCAGATGAGGGGCTTCAGTTACCACTGTCTGCACGGGCGCATGCGTACATATGTCACAGGGGTGGTTTTACAACTACGTAACCGTCTAGTGACTCCGAATTGGGCCAACGTGTTTAGTATGTAGGAGTAGGATCTAGCAGTAGCACGTAGCAGTAGCATGTAGTATCCGAGCGGGCAGTTCGGACGCATTAAAGCCATATTTCTTGCACTAGCTAAGTGATGCAGTCAACCATATTAAAAAAATGACAAGCAATCGGCACAAGGTGGTCAAATACCTGTGGAAAAATTTTAACACAACTATCTCGCAACAAAAGTAAACCACCTGCGCTTTAAGGGTTAACTCTGCATGTCATTAACAGTTGTGTATCTTATACTGTATATTTAACAATTAGACAACAGCTGACGATTGAAATTCCAAGTGCAAATGTTAGAGGATGTTTTCTACCCTACCGATTAGGTTTATTCACACACCTGTTTAGCACCTCAAACTGTTTGCTGGCTGATAATTAAACAAAACAGCCAGAAAGTAATTTCCTCCCGGCAAACCTCAACATTTGGACGTGCAGCACAGGACTGTTGCATAACAGGGACTCTGCCTGATGCCTGTGTTTGATTTTTCCAAAAGTTTGTGGCAGCCAAAACTGAACTTTTCTTTACAGCATGCAAACTTTACCTGATCTGTGTGAAGATCCTCTTTTTCCAACTTGTCTCTTATTAAATATTCTATGAACGATATGAATCCGACTGCAGGTGATTGTTTTGGTCGACATGCACGGCATGCTCGTTTGACCACGCCCAGTGTGAGTTTGTGTGTGTGGTTGTGTGAGTATGTGTGACTGTGTGCATGTGTTTGCACTCAGAGGTATGCCAGTGATTCATTGACACCTGCTGGGGCTGCTGGACAATCTGCTCTTTCCTTCCCCCTCAAAAATGGGCCTCAAGAAGTCTCAAACCAGTCTTGTTAAGTGAACATTCAGATTTGATTTAATATACTTAGGATTTTTACAGCATTCAGCTTAAACCTCAACCTGACCATATTATGCATATTATACAACCTCAACCATATTAAGAATATAATTAGAGAAAAAAAAATCTTAAGAGCATCAGGAGCATCAGTCTTGAAATTTCGTGTCATCTGATCAGCTATGCCACACCTTAATGTATTTAATCCAAGTATACTAATCACCTAATCTGAGGCATGAAACTTCTTTTTTTAACTCTGCCAAGAGAGAATAGCTCATGTAAATCCATAACAATAGCTTTACTATTACCTTAATCAAATTGATAAAGCAATGCTGTCAGCTACATCTTTTTGTTGTTTTGTTTGTGTGAAAGTATACCAAACGCAGACATACACAAACAGGGCTGTTGCTATCTAAATCTGGGTCTCAGTTGCTGTAGAAGTAGTATATTATTATTACATATACCAATACCTGCCTTGTGAGACAATACCTTGCATGCAACTTTAAGATGTTTACTCTCAGAAAAATATGTCTAGAAAATGTGTCTCAGTATTCAACTTCAGCACAGTTGCCATGGCAACCTGATGACAGGGGACCTGCCCATCCCTGTGATAAGATGAGAGAGAAAAAAACATGTCAAAAATCCATTCAGTGAGTCTCCTGTCTGTCTGGCTGTCCCCCCTCTTTCTCTCTCTCTCTCCTGCTGTTACATTCTGTCTCTGCACGTGTACTCACTCACTCCCACACACTTGCATGCATGCATGAACAGACCCTGATCAATTTGTTGTGGGATCACTACTTGTTTATCAGGGGCAGATAAACTGCAGTTTGGATGCTCAGTATTCTACCTAAAGAAATAGATTCAACTTGGAGGAATACATTAAAAAATACACATACATCCGTATCCATACATAAAATGACTTTAATTTTTGATAAAGTAGTTGTGCCAGGCATTTATTACTGTTCCTCTCTTACATCTGTCACAAATCACTCCTTCGTTTCAGTCATGTGGACCATAATGAGAGCTTCTAGTTGGTAAGTCTTCCTCTATAGTAGTTGTATGTAGTATCAATCAGTTGTAATGTGGGTCACACAGCATGTATAGCCATTGATTGTATGTGAATTGGACAACGTGCCTTCATTTTTTGCCCATTGTGAGGTGTGATGCCAGAAGACCACCTCAATAGGCACTGACACATCTTGCTGGTGGAGCCAAAGCATTCGTAATACCCAACTTGGACGTACGTCACACCCCACCCAGAAAACCAAGACACACATTTCACAAAGAGATGAAATGTTGAGGATCCCTCAGGTTGGTACAGTACACAGCAGAATAGATTCTTGAGTTGATTTTGAACAGGATCCTTGGAGTTTCACAGCTGCAAGTTTTTTTAAATTGTTCTCAACCTGTCATTATTGAAGAAAGACACAGAAAGAATAGTATTAGAGTACAATGACATTCATCAAGCATTCCACAATGAGATGTCAACACAGAATGATATATCTACATAAAAAGAAAAATGAACAGTCTGGCTTTTCAAACAAAACGTGCCTTTAGCTGCACATCAGAGCCAAGGTCGGCCTCCTTCCATGTGGTATTGACCCTATTTCCACTAGATGACGATTACCCACAGCAATGACTAATAGTGAAAGTAACTGACTAGTCGATTAGTTAGAGAAACCTCTGACAGACACTTATGAGTATAGAAATTATGATGGCTCTTAAGTTAATGTTTGCTTGTTTCAGTGATGTACAATAATATATTTTTGTTGATATCTGATATGCCAGTTTTCATGTTGTGTAAAGAAATTGACCTTCCTGCCACTAAGTGAAGATTTCTATGTCCATCATATTCTGCATATGATATGAAGTTCAACAAAACCAGATTATTTTTCTAGCATTGAAAAATTTACCTCTTAAGAGCTCTTGCTAGTGCGTAATGTATTTCTACGAGCCCAGTATTAGGCCAGTATTATTTAAAGAGGGATTGTCAGGAATATTAGCGTGATGAATTTGCCTTACCATCACTCATCAGCTAGAAGGACACTTTTGCTGTTACATGATGTCCTAAGTTGACTTTTTGCATTAATAGATATGAGCTGTAGATTCATATATGAGTCTACTGTTGTTGTTAAGGTTGTGTAATTGTAATTGTTGGTCTGTGCATTCCAATTACAACGACACTTTCAGTTTGCGTGTCCCTGAGTAAGAGTTCACTCTGATGATGCTCTTCCTGATCTACTCTCGTGTACATTTGATCTGTTTTCCAGTCTCAAAATCATCTACTTGAGTCAAAGTTAACGGAGTGTTGTGCCCTGTTCAGATTGTTTACTCCCTTTGGACAAACTTCTAGTTACATAAGTAAATTTGATCTGACAAATAGAAGTCTCCAGGGTAGTGCTGCAGGCAAAAACATCTTTTTTTGCCGAAAACCATTAAAACATTGTTTGCTCCGTTTCCAGGATGTGTTGTTAAATGAGATGACCCAGGTTCAAGCCCTGCAGGTTGCCCTGTGTGTCATTAACTATAAATGCTCTGCAGTACATAAGATTACGGGAAAGAATGGCAATACCAGAACGAGTGACACACGTGTGTTATTATACAAGCTCTCACGCAAGCAGCACAAGTGTTCCCATGTGCTGCAGACATCACTGATTTTTCAAGAGTGCGTGAGGGCAATAAAAGATTGATACAACTCGGAATAATATTTCCAAAGAACTGAGGAACACAGCTGTGGAAGACGTAGAGTAAGAGTGAAACAGAAAGGACTGTGAAATGGGTCATACTGTGGAAAAATCACACATTCTTCACTATAATTCGGATGTACGTAGGTGATCTTTCCCAACCTGCTCTGTTGAGTTATCATTAATTACTAGACTTCCTTTAATCTGGAACTAAAACCAGGTGGATCATGCCAAAGCCTCTACTTTCTCAGTAAGGAAGTTGGTTACAGCACTTTTAATTGAGGTCTTATAGCTGTGGGGTTATTTAAGGGCACCAAAAACACTCCTGCTATTCTTGTCTTTTACCACACTGGCTTTTGACTGTTATGTATAACACAGAGTATGAAACATACAAACTTACAGTTTAGCAGAAATAAGGTTGGATTTTGGATTTGTGGTTTCACACTGTGGTCTGTGTCTGAAGCCCCAATTTTAACCCAACAAGCAGTCAGTTGTATCGGTCCATCATTGCTCTGGCTGTTCCACAGGTTCAGATAATACAAGATTAATAAGGAGAGCGTGATAGTGTGATAGCTTGTTAGTGGTAGAAGGTCATCCAGTAATGTGCAAAGAATTTATTTACTCTTGGTAAAACTGCATCAAAGCATAAATGTATACATAAACTGTAATCAACGAAGACAGGCACAATACTTCGAGCTCCTCTGATAAACTTGTTATTGTTAATTTGGCGCCCCTTGTGGACAGGACTGTGTTTGCTTATCTTGTCCTCTACATACCTGAGCGTCAATTTTTGATTAAAAAAAAAATCTTATCCAGGTGAGGTGTATCATTTATTGTGAATTTTTTGTTGAAATTGTAATAATGGCTGAGAAGCAGTAGCAGACGGACAACTTTGTTCAGGGCTGTAGCTGCGATGATCCGCTACTTGGGAGTAAACAAGCATGGATGAAAGATGTATCTTATAGTGTGATGCATTCTGGGAGCATTTTAATCAAGAGAGTGAGGATAAGTTGTGTGAAGGCTGTGTGTGGATAAACTCGCATTTCACTGGAGCAAATTTAACACACTGCCCAACACGTCATATCATGCCAAACCTTTGAGTCTGACGTTGAACTAGCTTAATAGCTTAGCTGCAAACCACTGGATGGCATGTTTGGGACTGTTGGCATTTTAGCCAGTGCTTATTAATTATTGAATCAGCATAATTTAGAGGACAGAACTGGTCTTAATGTGTAAGGCTTGGATTTTGGAGTTTTATATAGTTGGACTTTGTGATGGGTGCTCACCGTGCCCATTCAAACTTTGGCAGCCAGCTCCATTCATGACAGACAGTACCTGTAAAGGAGAGCATTTCCCTCATTGTATCAAGTGCACTTTTGGATGTGCTGCAGCTTAGTTTGGGACTTCATGTTCACATGTTTTAGAGCACTGCTGAATGTCTCGGCACACACTGTCTCTGCACTGTGGCGGCTCATGTCCCCCTCCAAAACACCACCAGCTGTTTCCACCTGTTCTCGCACAGCTTTCTCGGCATGAGAACTCGGCAAAGATCTTTAAACAGGCTGTCAGTGACATTTCTCTGCACCCTCAGCCACTTCATCATCTCTCCTCTAATTGGCTCAGGGGATAAAAATAGCTACTCGCATCCATCACAGGACTGGTTTACTTGCTCCACTCTTAAGGTTAATGCAGACTCAGGGGACTCAAAGGGGCATTTTGTGGCCTTTTCCCTGAAAGCCACTGCAGCAGCAATGATAACTTTTAATTCTTGTTCCGTTTCAATGTGCTATATGAATTCATTTATGTGATTTTACTTTATCATGAATTTAGTAGTCATTTCTTTGTAAAAAAAAAAAGTCCTTTTTTTATTAACCGATTCTTGAAAACTCCACATTTTCTCTAAGCTTTTCACTCTTAGCAGTGTATCCCTTAGAGTGCAGAAGCAGCTGTATTGACCTAACTGGTCCTACAGTCAGCTATAAAACCGCAATGACGCAAAAGCAGGAGCCACAAAATTTGCATTAAGGAGAATATATCTAACCCTTCGTGGTCTTCATAAATATAAGCACTACCATTAAGCTGACTGGGGAAAGTCCTGGCACTGGAAGTACTCTGCCTGTGTGGTCTCTCGCTTTGACAAGAGTCCCATCCACTTTGCACCAAGTTATCAGACTCAGCTCTCAAGCAGTACAAGGGTTTGACCTGCTGAGACTGAAATAAAACAATCTGGCACACAGACATGCCCTTCTGATAAACGGATG